GTATTTACAAATACGGGGTCCAAATGCTATCTCCCGGGGGCACATGTATGTCTTATCTGCGTCTATAAGTGCCTCACAATACGAGATCTCTGCTCAGTCAGTGGAGAGACATAGCGGAGGAATGACTTGGATCGCTTTGCTCATCGTTTACCTCGCAGCGGTTGTTGCTGTCCAGGGGGAAGTACCAATACCGATACCAATAGTGACGAGGGCAGAGTGGAACGCCAGACCCGCCAGCGGACCGATGGACAGCATGGATAGTCCCCTGCCCCGAGCTGTGATTGCCCATACAGCCGGAGGTGGTTGCACCGATGATGTGGGATGTTCCCAGCAAATGCGCAATCTGCAGAACTTCCAGATGTCCAGGCAGAAGTTCTCGGACATAGGATATCACTATTTGATTGGAGGCAACGGCAAGGTCTATGAGGGCAGAAGCCCGAACCAAAGAGGAGCCTTCGCTGGAGCCAACAACAAGGGTTCTCTGGGCATCGCCTTCATTGGCAATTTCGAGGAACAAGCACCCAGTCGGGAGGCCTTGGATGCCGCCAAGAAATTGCTGGAACAGGCTGTGCAACAGGCTCAACTGGTGGAGAACTACAAGCTGGTGGGTCATCGTCAAGTCAGTGCCACCAGGAGTCCGGGAGAAGCCCTCTACATTCTCCTGCAACAGTGGCCCCATTGGTCAGAGCAAATATAAGCGATAAAATACAATAAACTTAGGTTTCGACACGTAAAGACCATTCCTTACACATTTATTTTGTAAATATAATTATGTATAATTTGTTGTTTTGCTTAAATACGAATACTAAACTTTTAATTTTGTTGATCTGTTTCCGCTGCACTTCGTCGACTTCGCGCACTTTGTCAGTTGCCAATTTGAAGCCCGGCCCGTTTTGGGGGTCCTGCTCCCCGGGAGCAGGGCACTGGGCCACAATAGAGATTTGAGACATCACATAGCATCATCGCATCATCGCATCATCATTCACCGAACCGGAACTTCCGCAAGAAACTAAGCTAACTATACAGAACCCTAGATGAAGCACGGAACGCAAATGGAACGAACGTGTGAACGTAATCGTAATCATAATCGTAATCGGAATCGGAATCGTAATGGTATGCAGCAAAGAATGCGCCAAACGAGAGGTAAACAAGAGTCGGCAACGTGGCAACATGGCAACAGATGCTGTTGCAGATTACAGATTACAGATTTAGAAAATATAAAACAAGGAACTATACAAAATTCGTAAAGTACTTAGGTAAATTGCACTAATATAAACTCCCATTTGAGCTGCCGCTTGCACTGTCCGTACTGCCGCCCAATCCTCCATTGCCGTTCATACTGCCATTGCCATCGCCGCTTCCGATGCCGATGCCCAAGCCAATTCCGCTTCCATTGCCGCCCTGCCCGCCAAAGTCCAGCTGAAGCAGCCAATCCCGCTTGGCCAGACCCTCGGGCGTCTCGCCGCGCTGCGTGCACAGCGGCTGGAAGCAGGTGGTCAGTCCAACGCTGGGCGTGAACTCGGCCCGTTCGCGTAGCTCCTCCTCGGTGGCCAGCATGATGCAGTCGTCGTCGATTTCGTCGCTGTCAACGCTGTAGGCCGCCGCCAGTTGCTGCTGCTCGGCCCGCTGTTGCACAATGCTGTCGCTCGTGCGGCGAAAGGAGTCGTCCGTCTTGCGCAGGAAATTGTACAGAGCCACGCAGCCGAGGACCACTTCGCGGATGTGCTTGTCGCTGATGCGCAACGGCTGCGCCAGAATGGGGAACATGTTGCAGAGTATCCGCATCGTCTGATCGGCATGGGCATTCACCTGCTCGAGGGCCTCCAGCACGGCCCGATCCTTGGGCAGGTTGCGTGTGGTCACCAGATACGAGGTGGCCGGCAGTACCGAGTCGCCAGCGAAGTAGTAGCCCTGCCGGTCCATCTCCGCCGACTGTTGCTCCTCGAGGGCGTGCATCTTGTGCCTGATCAGCTCAACGGCAGTGGTCTGGTTATAGATATCATTGGGCCGGCTGCTCGCCGCCCGCTCCACCTTTGCGTACTGGAAATTGTTGTCGGCATCCACGATGCCCGTGAAGATGACGGTCGCCCGTTTGCGATCGTCGCCACCGGCGGTGCCGCTTCCCGCCGCCCCGGTGCCCGAACCGGACCCGGTGCCCTGGAGCTGGATGCTGCGCATGAACAGATTGCCCACGCAGTGTGGCAGGTTGTGCTTGCGCTCCATCTCCTCGGCGGCGCTGCGCCACTGATCGTCAGTCTTTGGTAGTGTCACGTATTGGTCCTTGAGGTGCTCGTAGAAGCCCAGACAGATATTGGCAATCATTTCGTTTATCACAAATTTCGAGGCACGGAAGCAGTAGTTTCGACAAGAATGTACTTCACCTGCGATGGGAGTAGTTGTTGGCATATTAATGGGGCACATATTGAAGAAGGGGATCGTCCAAGCAAGCAAGCACTCACCCGTTGCCAAATACTTGAGCGTAATGGCCAGTCGCTCCTCGGCGCTGAAGGACTTCTTCTTGCGCTGCGGCGCATACTGGCTAATGATGGGCTCCAGCTTTTGCACCAGATACCGAAACTGGCTCTCTGTTATGGCTAGGAAGTAATTCAAGTGGTAACACTCGTCCTTGCGCGACTGCAGCTCGCTGAGCAGGTTCTCCTTGCTGAGAAACTCGGCCTGGTTCTTGCGCAGCCATTCCTTGGTCCACTCGAGTCGTCTCCGCGTGTTGAGTATCCCGGCCAGGTCCAGAGCACTGATCTTCGAGGTCTGCGGTCTGGACAGAACCGAGGTTCTGGCCGCACCACCCACACCCACTCCCACTCCCGAGGCTCCAGGTGTTGCTCCCGTTGCCTGGGCTTCTATTGTTGTTGGGGCGTTGCCTTCGTTGTTATTATCCTGCGCGACCCCAATCGTCGGTGCGGCCACGCCCACTCCGGTGCTGGCCAACTGATGACCTGTGGAGGCCGTCACCCCACCAGATCCTCCTCCGGCAGTTGCACCCAATCCTCCAGAGCCACTGCGATTGCCACCATCGCGTTCGCGCAGCACGCCAATAACCTTTAACTTGATTTTGTCCATGGGGCCTGCAAAGATTGGTAGATTGTACTATAATCCCAGGTCGACCTAGAATCTATAGCTATATAGCTATATAGCCGCACCCCACTTTTCGGCCCCCGATTTTCGCCCACTCGTCGTGAGTTTTGTGCAACAAATCGATTTTTACTCACCCTCTCCAACCTCCCGTTCCTTGCGTTGTGTGTATAACCAGTTTCGGATCTTCGGGGGAATACGTCTACGGGCTGGGTTGTATAATTAGAACTATCTGGCGAAACTATATGTCTCGCCGCTGCCCTTCTTTAGCTGGCTTTATGCGTTTATCGGTTACCGATTTGAACCTCAATTTACATGCACACTAGATGTACCCAAAAAAAAAAAAAAAAACCGATGCCAATACGAAAACGCAGCCAGCAGCAACAACAACAGCAGCAACGAACGTCGACAACTTTCAAGGGACAGCCAATCTCATCGAGTGGAGAGATTGCAGTTTTCCGGCCAGTTGGTCCTTGTCCAAATCCGTTTTTCCCGGCCAGCTCAAACCAGCGTCGCGGCTATCACTTGACCGAAAACCACATTTTCCCCAATTCTTTATTTTTTCACGGTGATGTTGCCCGATTCCCCAGCAGCAATGTGAGTGTGACCGTCTATGGGTCAAAAAAATATACCGTTTACACAAGGGCTGCCAATTTAGCTCTTTTCCGTCAGTTTTGGCCTTTTCTTAGGGCCATCAGCGGGAAAATATTTATGAACTGTGGAAGCGGGAATTCTGGCTTTTTTTATGTTTTCTGTTTTCTGATGTTGCCAACATTTATATAGACCATTTAAAAAAATTTTAACTTTATACTTTTAACATAGAAACATATATTAAAACCATGAAAATGATTTTTAAAAGAGATTCCCACTAAAGCTGCCAGAATACTTTAATCAGTTTTAGATTTCTATACCGGTAAAAACCCGTTATTTTCAGTTTTGCGTATACATTCGAGTTATTCACTCAATCAATTTGTAATCCAGGCAAAAATTTAATATATCTTCAACACATTTTTGACGCAAGCCATTTGGCCGTTAAACAATAAATAATCGTTAACAGTTCGATCGTTATAACAAAAAAATATTTATGAACTGCGGAAGCGGAAATTCTGTCTTTTTTTTTTTAATCTGCTTCCTATAAAAAAATTGTATATTTATTCTTTTAACATGGAAGCATATAACAATACTACGAAAATGATTTTTAAAAGAGAGGCCTCTAAATCTGCCATATACCCGTAAAAACCGTTATTTTCAGTTTTGCATATACATTCAAGTTGATTACTCAACAAATTTCTGATCTAGACAAAAATTGAAGATACCTTCAATACATTTTTAAAGCAATCCATTTGGCCGTTATAACAAAAAATCACTGATTTTATAAGATAACTTTAAAAGTGTTCTGTATGAATAAAATTGATAAATTTATATTTTTCTTTAGCCATGTTTCTGTCGCTCGTTTTGCTTTGATTAAAACAGCTTTTTTTTCATAAAAAAATTATCTGTCGAATTTTGTACCCCAAGTTTATATAATTTATATTTTATATTTATGTATTTACAAAAATAAAATTAAAATGAAATCTATGATTGTTTAAAAGCTATAAAACTTCGATTTGCGGTTCAATCGTTCCTATAACAGCTATATGATTTCGTTGTCCGATTTTAATAAAATTAAAACCCTAATTCTGAAATATATAACGAAAAATATTCAAATTAATTGAAAACCCGAAGTTTTTTTTTTCATATAATTTTCCGATTGTTCCTATGGAGCTATAAAAATATTATTGCCGAAGCCAAAATATGTTTTTTTTTTAATTTTTGAACTTTGGGATAATAAACATTCCTTGATTGCAATCATTAAAACCCATTTGAAAGAAATTCTCTTTTTGCCCATATTGAAATATCGAAACAGAAAATTGTATTAAGCATTTTATTTGGTTATTCATACGCGTGTGGGTTTACAATACAATGTTATTTTTTTTGTAATATTTCTTGTATGTTTTTAACACAAATATTATTTTATTCATATTCCATTACAGTGGTGATGCTAAAACGTTTAAATCCTTTCAGTAAGTAGGGTTTTTGACGAATACTCGTTTACGCAAGATGTGCTTTACGAAAATTAGCGATACACTTCATGGCTGTTTGTGGTAGCTCTTATGTGAATAAATGTCATATCTTTTTTGTATATGTTTTAAATTTGATCTATGCATTATTTTTCAGATTGTATATTTATGTATATTTCACTGTTAAAATATGCAAGCGAAAAAGTTAGCTTGGTTCTTGTAAAAAAATGAGACTTTAAAAGCATTTCACTTTCCAGGCTTCGACTATTTCATTACGTCCCCTTTTCACATGCGTTTGTATAATTGCTTAAATTAAACTACAATAATAAGCGATTCATTTAATAATAAGTATCCTTCGTACATGTACATATATAATAACTACATCAAATTAAAAGCAAATGTTTATTCCATTACAACGCTCTAGCACAAGAGGTTTCGGTTTCGGTTTCTGTTTTAATTTTAATTAATTTTTAAACGCCAATAAGAAAATGCGTTGAACGGCTAATGCCTGCCATATTCATGTTCGTATTCATATTTGCAATTTTATAGTTTTTATAAATATATAAAATATATATATATTTGCCTTTAAAAACTCGTGTATGCACTTCAATATCATTAAAAATGTGTGTAGATGGAAAATGTCAAATTTGCTAATTAATAAATCCTCCTCGCTGTTCGATTTGAAATCGGTGATGTTTGGAGCCGGTGAAGATGCGTTTTCCGTCATCCAGAGATTCCTTTACTAGTGCTGCCCCTAGAAGAGCGCCTTATCTGAAAAATCAAAAGGAGAAGAGTCTAATTTAGTGACCATTGGATCTAAGTGGGGCGGCGAGTATTACTTTTCTCTGTCAAAGTTGAGCTCTGCTTCTAAGTCGAAGACCAAGTAAAGACATAAAACAAAAGTAAAACGAAAAGCCGCGCAGCCTTGCCGTTGGGATGCTTACCTAGCCGAATATTCTATGTCACCGTTTAAGCCCCATTTTTATATAGGATTACGTGTGACTTCTCCCACTTCTCTCTCCCAATCCCATCCAGCGATTACTGGCCTTGCTGCTGCTTCTTCGTGGGGTCGTGTTCTTCGTCCTCGACCACCGTGGACTCATCGTGGGACCAAAAACTGGCCGACATTTGGGACGACGACATGCCACCCACACCAGGGAACGAATCCTCCATTAGAGTACTGGAGGCGCAACTCGTGACACTTCCGGACATCTGAGAGTTACCGGCGCTGGTCTGGTACGTAGCCGTGGTTCCAGCCGAGCTGGTCGTCTGTTCCATGCAGAGATTCAGGGAGTCCACCGAAACGTCCTTTGACATTCCGGCCTCGTCCATTGGCAGCTCCTGAATGCCACCACCACCCAAGCTCGTTGTGGTGGTTATCACTCTGGTCACCGTGTGCTCATGTCCATCGGCATCGGTGCTGGTGGTGGTTGTCGTCGTGGTGGTGGTGAGACCATCACCCAGTGTCACTCCTCCCCCGCTGACGAACTTGGTCATCAAATCCAGCTGCTCATCGCCAAAGGACTCTATGCTCTCCTGTCGCGAGTGTCGCTTATCTATCTCCAATGAGTCAATGTCGGATCGCGTTGTAGCATCCTTGGATATATCAAAGCTCTCTATGCTGCTGGTCATCATATCGTGACTTTTGCTAATCTCCATGCTATCGATGCTGTCCTTCTCGGAGTCCTGGCTGTCGATCTTGGACTTGGGTTCCAATTCAGTGGTGGTTAAATCGGTAACTTTGACCACCGCGGATCCATCCTCCCGCTCCAACTTGTGTTTAAGCAGGGCTTCGATATTTTCCGCTTGACTTGAGGGAACCACTTCGGTGCGTGTTACGGTGCGGGTCACCTTGGTCACTACCATATTGCCAGTGGCTCCTTTGTCGCTGGCATTCGACTTGTTTGACTCATCAGATCGCGATAGTAGTGCCGCTTCTTCCCTGGCCTTGATCTCAATCAGGTGGGCTTCAATGCAGGCATTCTCGAGACCCTCGAAGTCCTTGAGACTGGAGACAGACACATCGTCGCCCGGGCCAGTTCCACTGCCACTGTGACGAACCACATAGCGTCGGGTGAAACTTCCGTTGCTCGAATCAGTGGAGCCTTGGTGTGTGCGATTGCGATTTTCCAGGGAAATGGCCTGCTCCAGAGACTCAAACTCCTGCAGACTGCTCATTGAGACATCGTCGTGTTCACCACGTGAGTGATAGCGACGAGCCGCAACATCGTACTCCGGCGTGCTGGAGAAGGAGTCTTTGAAGCTGCTAATGCGACTGCTGCCCACCTCGAACTCGCCGTCCTCCTCTTTAATGTCCTCCAGCACGGCCCCGGCCAGGTCGTAGGGATATCGCAGCTGATTGTCCGTCAGTTGCATCTCCACCCAGCGCTTGTTGGCTGCTGCAGTTTCGCTGGAATCACTCTCCTCCTGCTGCTCACTGCTGCTGCTGGCTGCCGTCGGCGGACTCTCCTCGAACTCGAAGTTCAGATCGTCCTTGTAGAGCTGCGACCCTAGCTTGGGATCCGCAGGCGCCGACTTGATGATGATCTTCTCAACATCCTCATCGTGTTTCTGCTCGTACTTGGTTGGCTTAATCTTGATGCTCTGGCCGCCAAGATCCACTTCGTTGGCCTCCTTGGCAACTTCTTCGATGATCACGAACTCATCAGAGATGTCCGGTTGCTCGACCATTTCAAAAGAGTCTGGGGAGTCGGGCGCCTTGCGATCATCGTATTCGGCTCCAACTTCAGCCCTCTTCAGCTCCTCCAGCTTTTGTCGGTACTGTTCCTGCACTCTTCGCTGAAAGTCCTGCTCTTTCTCCTCGGCTTTGGCCTTCTGGTAAGTGGAGGTATCGCTTGCTTTGTGAAGCTCCTCCTCGGTGCGTACCTTGTACAGCATCTTTTCGGGGAAATCGTCGCTCTCCTCCTCCAAAATCGGAGACTTAATGTCTTCAGTAACCATTATGTCGGGTATATTTGAGTAGTCCTGCATATTCTGGGACGGGCGACGTTCCTCGATCAAGGCTGCTTCTGCCTCCAGCTCTTCTGTGGCACTGTCCTCTACGATTACTTCAGCTACCAGTTGGGAAGGGGTAAATGGACGCTTCTCCAGCTCGCCACTGTGATCCATTTCGGCTGCCGCCTGCTTTTTCTTTTTGCTCTTCCGTTCTTTAGGAGAACGGAACTGGCGGGCATATTCCGATTCGTAGGGATCCGTGTCTGACTCGCTCTCAGATTCCTTACCCTCGCCTAGTAGTGCCACCTCCTTGTCTAGGTTCTTCAACGCTTCTCCCGAAATGCTCTCATTTCGCTTGTGGCCTCGACGTTTTGACTCTCCCCCTGGAGGTGTACTTGCATTAGAATCCTGAGGCGAATGTTCCTTGCTTTCCATTTCCAGCATAAAGGTTGCGTCTTCTGGCACGGAGGCAGATGGAACCGACTCATCATGCCCATACTGAAAACCTTCGATGCCGGTCAGCGAAGAAGATCCCGCAGATCCAATGATATCATCAAAATTCTCCACAACAGTATCAATGTTGGATGTGCTCGACATGCTAACGGAGAGGATGCTGCCTTCGTCTAAGCTTGAGGCCAACTTAGATTCGTCAATGGATCGTCGTGGGTCTCCGTGATACAATAAGATGTCCTCGCCTTTCTCACTTTCCCGCGGGCTGTCCGCCTTGCTATCCTCCAGGGGATAGGCCAATCCCCAGGTGCGCTCCGCCTCCTTGGGCTTTGGGTATTCCTCGATTTGCACAGCTTCAACAGGCAGTGGCTCCTCTTCCTCAACCTTGGGCTTGAAAATCATTTCCTGTGAGCGCTTCATGAGGCTTTGTTGTTCACTAGTTGGGTAAGCACTTCCTGGCAGTTCGAGGCTCTCATCGCTGTCCTCGTCATCAGCTCGGAGATCTCGCAGCCGCGACATCTCATCTGCCTCGAATAAATCCGCTTCGGCAGAAGAGGCCACCAATGTTTCCGACAATTCGGAAACGTCAATACTAGCCAAATTGGCTGAAGTTTCCGAATGAGAATCCAAACTACTACTGCCAAGGGTACTGACGGCACTAATATAATCGGTTCCCTCAGTGCGTCCGGTGGTGGTAAATTCCCGTGCGGTTTGATACTCACTTGAGGTACCCGTGCCAGTTGCAGTCACAAGGTTTTCCAAATCAGAGGACAGGGGACGACTCTGAGTTTTGTCGAAGCTCTTGTGGAAGCTCTCGCTGGAGCTTGATGTGTCTACATCGGGGATTGACCAACGGTTGATTGAGTCCGGTGAGGACTCAGTCTTCAGACGATGAACCACCACATCGATGGGTTTCATCGACTGATCCGACGAAAGCTCCTCAAAAGTGCTAGTTGTGATTGATTTGTCTGTAGCAACTTCATCTGCAATCACACTGGCAATGGCTAGTTTCTCGGAGTAGTAATCTTCCATAGAGCTAAAGTCCTCGGCGGTTTCGGTGGAGACAAAGCCGAGGGAGGCTTGCTCCTCCTTTGCCATGTGTTCTTCCATGGAACTTAACTCTTCGGCTGTGCCGGTGGAAATGAAACCTAGTGAACCGTGGTCATCACGTGTTTCCCCCCTCCCAAACACATCCTGTGCATAGTGGGCCATTGCTGCTTGCTTGTTGAGGGTCTCCTTGATTGTGGTGTCGAATAGACCTTCTGGAGGCTGTGTGCTATCCAAGGTAGAAGTTTGCATGCTTTCATCGGGTATGCCTATAAAGGAAGATATATCTTCGCTCTCAGCAGCTGTAGTGAATCCTTGGGGCAAGCTTTTGAATCCAAAGTCCGATAAAGACTCCTCCAGTAATTCTTCGTGGTCCTTCAAGCGCTTTTCCTTCTCCTCGGCCAGAGTCTCCCCTACGAGTGTCCTATCCATCGAAGTCTTTATGTCGGTCTCTTGTGGTTGCTGTGGTGAGTGCACTACCTTTGGCTTGCCCGAAGTTGGAATTTCTTTCTCCGATGTTTCCCATTCGCTTTTCTCTAAGGGCAATTCAAAACGTTCGGTCGAGGCCGTCTTTTCAGAGATTGTATTTACTATTTCCGGGATTTCCTTGCTGGACTCATCAGGATCTTCACTGCTTGAAGGAGCAATTTCAATAATGGCTCGACCACTGGAACCGGTGGACGTGGTCAAGCTTTCCTCCGTGGTCACTTTGGAGAGCTTCAGCTCCCCTGCCTTGTCTTTATCGGCATTCTCAAATTCGAGAATATCATTTCTAGTTTCCGAACCTTGTCTGGTTATTTTGCTATCTACTGAAGCAGGATCGTCCGGCTTCATTGTGACAAACTCCTTGAAAACATCGTTGGCTTCGTCTGAGTCGACGGATATCTCCTTCATTAAAGAAACATCCTTGGCATCGATTCCTATTTCGCCTTGGGCTTCCTCATCTTGCGGTGTAACACTTGCTGATCTTGTCGAGGTCTTGATAATAACATTGCGACTGGATTCCCCAATGTAAAAACTAGTGGCCTTTTCAACGCCCTCCGATTTTTCAGTGTCGGCATCATCTACGGAAATCTCACTCGTTGGCTCAAAGCTCTCGGTATGATCCTCCGAAGCAGTGGTGGTGGTTGTGACTATGTCACGGAGCTGGGAACGGATAGAGAGCTCTGTGGACGGTTCATCCGTCTTGGAAAGATCCTCCGTAAATTCAAAGCTCCTCAGACTTATACTATCGGACTGCTCAGCTAGGGCAGCCAGGTTTTCGAACGGTTCTGTGTGCTTAATGGGAGCACGTGGCTTTGGAACCGGTGCGGCGGAATCAAAACTAATATCGATCGGTATTTCGGGTTTCGGCACTGGGCCAGGAATGGTAGTGCTATCAGTGCCTTCGGAGACTGGGGAGCTTGCTTTGAGTACTCGTGGTTTTGGTGTGGGTGTATCGTGGCTGGTGGTAGTGAATGCATTGGTATCTACCGTCGGCTCAGTTTCGGTGTTGGTTTTTGATTCGTACGCTGTGGTGCTGGCCACAGCTGCCGACGGTGGTACGGGAGTGGTTTCGGTTTCACTTGAGATTGGTAAATCGCCGCTTGTTTCTACAAAACAATAGTTGTGAAAACAAAAGCAATTTTAAAAGTGTTGTGAAAGTCGAGAACAAAAGATCAGGAAGATAAACACGATTACAGGACAGAAATAGGAAACAGAAAAAAAAACGGGTAGATGTAAGAGAAGGGTTAATGCATTCAAGTACATGGTTAGCATAGGATAGATAGATAGTATATAGAGATAGGTAGGTAATATAGGATGACATGCATTTTTCATATGAATTAATATGAGTACAAACTGAATTAAAATAATTAAATGCAATTAGAGCTCAACTTGAACAACAAAAAAGTCGTAATGGCCGCCATTTTGGATCTGCCATCGCACTAAGATAACATAAATCAAACTAAATACTGCTCAACGATCTAGATTGAGCCTTTACGCTCTGGCAAAAGAATACAAAATAATAGTTCATTTTTAGTCGTTTCGCTTTTGCTTGTGGTACCTGCGATGAGATCTTGAATATCGTTGTCGGGCGTTATTTGGTTCTGGGCCATATCGGCCATGGTGTTGGTCGTGGGGGACACACTGTCATCCCAACTAAGCTTGGAAAAGTCGCCCTGCAACGCACTGATTTCGTCCTCTGGCACGGACATCTCGAACGCCTCATCGAACTGGGCACTCACATCGTCCATGTCCGTGGATAGTTTATCAATCTTTCGATCGATGCGCCTTGCTCGCGTCACACTCTCGTCTTCGGCCTGATCTCGACTACTCTCTACTTGAACAGGTACGGCTACGGAATCGAGTACTGGAACTGGTTCTGGATGGTACATGACATATGGCAAGGGAAATGGGAGCAAAAAGCAAACGATACAGGAGATTGGTTATAGCCAACGGACTAAGCAACACTATGGAGTCTAATTTTGCGTCGAGCTGCAATCCTAATTTCTAGGCTAGCGTAGGACTACCTCAAAGTTTGACTTTATGTGGTATGTTACCTTTTGCCGCCGATGTACTTGTGGCAGCAGCCTGGGAAATGGTTTGGGGTAGCTGCACCTGGGACTGCTGCTGTTGGAACTGAGTGGTAACTGTCGTTGTCATGGTGGTGGTCGTGTTCTGGGCATGCAGGGGTAAATGTATGTGCTCGTCGGTGAAGCTCATGTTGTCGTCAAACGACTTGCCCGACATGGACTCAATGGTGGGCGATTTGATAACATCGACGCCGCCGATATCGTCGCATGTGATGGCATAATTCTCACTTTCTGAGTTGTAATCCAACTTAGCGATCTCGTGGCCATTGGCCTGGTGACCGTGACTCTCAATGATCTCGACGCTCTCTTCGAGCACGCGATCCACCAGAATATTGGCTTCCTCGCGAATGCGTGCCACTAGATCTTCTCCATCGCCATCACCATCATCATCACCACCACCAACTTTAACATCACCTGGAAGACAATTGCACAGTACATTGGTAGATAGAAATTGGACAGATTGAAAAGAGAGAGAAATTGAGAGAAAGAAAGGGCAAGCTTGGAAATCATGAAGCGGATGAGAGGCGAGAGGTATGTGCCTATGTGCCAGATTATGTGCTAGTTTATATGTGAAAGCTGATGGCGGTGACATTGTTTGGTGATGTAGGCGAGATCTGACGCACTGAGACAAAAGCTTGTTTTTAAACAAAACGCCGTTAAAATTAGTACTTCAATGAGCTTTAATTGCACTTAGGAAATAAATAAGATCTACTGAATAGTTTGCCATACTAATGAAGCAATATGAATTACGACACTATGAAAAGCTGACATTAAATAGCATTAAATTAAACTTACTTATTTCCTTTGAGATATTTGCTGCTTCCAGAGTGGGTAGTTCTACTTTTTTTTCCTGTAGGGTTTCTGCAATAAACAACACCATTATTAGAAAGGTTCAAATTATATACAAAAATAACACAAAAGTGACCTAGAGCTACATTATATTACTCTACAAACGAAATGATAATGAATGATATACAGACAATCGAAACAAGAACAAAAGAAAAAATTCCAAATAACATTTTTGTTAGCATCAAGTACGATTAGGATTAACAATAGAGAGTGAATGTTAGTACAACGACGCCTAGGTGACGTTAAGAAATCTGTTAGTATGGCACGGGCACGAGGTTAGGCGTATGGGAGCGATGCGAGTAGATTTAAGGCTTTTTGCTGCTTTGATAGTGGTAATAACTTTAACGAAAATGTTTGTTAATTGTTGGCTTTACTTACAAAATGCTTGAGTGTGTGTGTTGGGTTTTCGTATCTATGAACACTTATAAACTATTGTTGAGATTTATTTTGGCAACAGCTTGGGACCGTATGAGGGCACGGAAAGGAGGCTAGTTGCCTCCCCTAGCGACTGACTCGTCGGACTCAACATACTCAACGTCGGTATGGGCATCTCGGATCATGCCTTTTGTATGCAGCTTCTCGGCTTCGCTGTTGAAACTGCGACCACTCTTCTCGTGCACCACCGTGTAGCTCTCGTTCAACATATCATTTAGCTCCTTACTATTGCTGTTAGCCACTGGAATGACAGGTGGTTCTAGTGCATCCTCCGCATCCGACGGCAACTGAACGTCTTCAATATCGGTGTGCTGCTGATTCATTATATCATCGTTTAGCAAACGGAAGTGAAGCGGTTGTGGCTTTGTCTTGCCGATACACTTTTCCCCCGTCGATAGCGATGGAGCGTCGGAGATTTCCGATATGTCGGAGACATCATCTGTGGATACGTCATCGGCATCAGATACTTTGCCCGCATTTAAGCTCTTAGCCTGTTGTTTTAGTTGCTCAATGCGCTTTACGCCCGGAGGTAAGCCGCATTCACTCAGATCCATGTCCTCGACATCTGTAACGCCCTCCTCTTTTCCCTTAACGGCTTCGAGTAATTTATTCTTGCCTTTGCTCAGAGTGCGAGTCTTAAGCTTCTTGCGGCGATTTGTTCCGGCCACAAAAATCTCCTCAACATCTGTTACGGACTCTGCGTTAGACTGCACCTCTAGGCGTTTGTTTTGTTGCTGTTTCAAAAGTTCATTGGACACGATCACCTCGTTTTCAATAAGGCTGGGTCCACCCACCGCAGCGTCTTCGACCAGAGAATGCTGAAGGCTCCATTCATCGGCGCACGAATAGTCCTCGGAATCGGTGTGGATCATGTCCTTCAGGTGGTTGTAAATTCCAAACTCATAGTTGCTGTCCATTGGCATTACATTGGTAATAGTGTCACCATACTTATCCTCCTTTAATTCCACCACCTCGCGATGTGGAAGTGGGAGGGCTTTGTGGCAGATTGATCGCACTTCGGGTTCTGCACTAGACAACGATGTGTCCTCACAGAACATGTCCTCCACATCAGTAAGACAGGTGCCGTCATCGCCGGAGGCAAGGATAATGGCGCGAGGAATGGGCTGCTCGTCGTCCTCCTCATTATCAAAGCTATCTTCTGCTGCCGAGTCGTCGATGCCCTCAACATCAGTTAAAACCTCTTCGTTTTTCGCAGCAAGTTGCAAAAAATTCTTCTGTCCTGACATGAGCATACTGGACTTGGAGTTACGTCGCGGCTGACCACTGGCACTTATAAAGGCCACATCAATGGCCGGAAAACTATTTTCACTTACACTCCGACTCCAGGCAGCGGCCCCCTCTGACTCGGAATCGCTGCCCGAGCAGGCAATCTGGCAAACCTCTTCGTGGCCACTATCGGATACCTCCAAAACCTCATCTTCGGACATGCCCCGCACCCCAATACCGGTGCAATTGGACATGGCTGAGGCTAAATCGCTGATGTCACTAATCACAGACACATCTTCGTACTGATCGGAATCGTCCTGGTTTTTCTCGCCATCGGCTATGTTGACTCGACCCTGATCGCCCATAGCATGGTCCAGATCAACGCAGACGGATTTCTCACAGCCATAGCCCACTTCAGAATCGGTATCGTAGTCCTCACAATCAGTCAGATAGTCTGCCATTCCATTCAGGTTTTGTGCCTGCACAAAATCACCAGCTATTATCTCACAGCTCTCTTTCGCATCATTGTCGACTGCTTCCTGATTCTGGTGTCCCTGCTGGAGAAACTCTCTCAGCGACAGCTTTAGTTCGGGGTATGCCGTGCTCTTTTCATCATCGTCAGATTCAGTATCGTAGTCCTCCACGTCAGTGACATCATTGTCGCCACCACTTGCTTTAAAATGGGCTTTGGGTTTCAAGGAGGCATTGCAAGAGTTCCGCCGGGAGCTTGGCTTCAGCACCTCCACCTGACTGTCAAAATCTTCGACATCGGTTACGCCCCCGGCGCCATTGCGCCCATAATCCATGTCATTGCTATCGGTGTCATGGGATGACGATGAGGAGGATAAATCGGAGTGTGTGGAACGCTTGTCGGCAGTTACGGATATAGTTGGGAGCTTTTTTGACATTATTTTAGAATTAATTTGGTGGGCTTGTTGGTGTGTATGTTGCTTTAGTTATTTAAGTTTGCTATTTGTGAAGAACAAGTTTAAAATGGGTTAAATAAAAGCGTTTCATATATAAGCATATCAATAAGAAAAGTTGCATTTGGTATCTAAGCCCTAAAATTGATGGGTATCGTAGCTAAGCTAATCTTAAGTCTTATCAATGTGCACTAGACCTAAAACATATCTTTACTAGTTTAACCATATTTACCTTTTGAAGTGCTGCTCCTCTCGACATCCACCTCCGCCTCCCGTTGACTCTCTCCAAAAGCCATTTGCATTGGAACAGAAGGGTCAAGGGCAGCAGCACCAGATGAAGCAACGCCAACGTGGTGGTGGTGCTGATGGTGATGGTGGTGCTGTTGCTGGCGACGCAGTGTCTCCTCGATAAGGGCCAAGGGACTGCGAGTCGGCTTGGGGGAGCCGGGACTGGCGGCCAACAGACGCTCGGGATCGCCGGAGCCAAACAAAGGCAAGGCAACGGAGTCCGAGAGACTGGAGTCGGTGGTGTCGATGAAGCTTACATCGAACTCGTTGATGCATCGCTGCTGATCGCTGCTTGTGGTTGAGGGCGGACGCATTGACATGATGGTGTGTTGTTCTACATCAAACTCGGGCTGTCGGTAGACGACCTCGAGCGGCTTGTCGGGCCCGAAGGTTTTAGTGAATACCTCACTGGTTAGAACCTTGCGACTGTTGCTGCCGCTACCGGAGGATGATGAGGTAGAACTTTTTGTACTATCGCTTGATTTAATGGAACGTATGGTTATCACCTCACAGTCGTCGTCAACGAGCACGGTGCTAACAGCGCCGGTGGTTGCAATTGGTTCCCGATGAACTCTCACGGTCGATGTAGACACGACAGCACCTGCTGCTCGTCGAATGTTGGTCAAGTCCTTGTCCGTCTTGCGGCTTACTGTGCTAACGGATCGCACACTGCGCCGCGTACTGTTTGAGGAACCGCTGGCACTGGTGGTGCCGCTTCCTGAGTTTGAACTCGACTCGTTCATGGAGTCCTTCATCTTCTTTTGCATCTTGGGCTCCATGGAGCTATGCACAGTTATGTTGGAGGTGGTGGTGGTCGCAGTGCCGCTGGCATCACTTGTTTTGGGTACCGTTCGTTTTACTGGTTTCTTATTGTCTACCTGAGGTCTCTTGTCGATGTCACTCTTGCCTAACTTAGCTGTAGACCTTGCACTGGAAGACACGCTAATCGGAACTTTGGTGCGCTGTAAATTGGCTGTGGACTTCTTTTGAAGCTTGTTGTCGGTTTCTATGGAAGTTCTGTAGGCAAGTGTCTTGGCTGAATTAGCTGATTGTGTCGTCATGCTTTTGGTTGCTTGGCTCTTAGAGCCTATCACGTTTATTAGCTTATTTTCTTTGGATGTTTGTCGTTTGTATAGGCGGTCGGTGCTTTTTAGGGACTCCTTGCTATCACTTTGTGAGCCTCTCTTGATCTGGGAACGGGGTTGAGTTGTTTTGTTTTCAGCAATAGTGTTCTTTTGCTTCGATATCTGGGATGTGGACTTTGTCAAGGCACTTGTTACAAAAGGTGTTCTGTGAGTACTTTTGGTTTGGGCCGGAGTTGGCGATTTTGGTGGCGCTGGTGACTTTGGCGTTGCATTCTGGCCAATATCGCCGTCGCCACTCAAACCGTATCGCATGCTATGGGCCAGGGTGGGCTGCATATATCTGTGGGTGGCTGACGGTGTCGGGGTTTTCCTCTTCTCAACGTGCTCTTGGCGGCCGATTCTCACTGCATTCTTTGAACTCTTTTCTGTAAGGTCTTTGATAGATTGAGGGGCAGGTTTGTTTGGCTGTCTCACGGTTGTCTTATTTGACGTGGGCGTCTTGGGTTGGGGACTGAATGATCGCATTGAAGCATTGTAGGGTATTCGTGTGACGTCAGTTTTAACCCTAGGCCTGGGAGTGGTGGAACGGCTGCCTTCACCTTGCGGATGGCTCTCATAGAAAATGGAACTCGACGCTGGACTTGCAGACCGCTCGAAATGTATTTCGCTTATAACACGACTAGTGGCGGAAGCCGAACTGGTGTTGGTTGAAGTTGAGCTTGTGACAGAACGTCTGGACTCAGTTTTGTTTGGTAGTTTGGATTTGACCGTAGATGTGGTCTTGGTAATTGGCGGTTGCTTGGTATAAACTACTTTTACTTTTTCTTGCGAAACAGGTGCGTTTTTAACGTCGTTCTTAGGTTTTTCCCTAACCCCCATTGTTTTTTTGCTATCTGTTTTAACAGACTCTGACTTTATAACCTTTCTTTGTTGAGCTTTAATTACTCGTTTCTTAACAGGAGCTACCGACTTCTGTTCATCTTTTAAATTTACGAAGTAGGCAACTGGTTGAACTTCTTTTGCTTCTGTTTTATCGAGTTTACTGGAGAACACTTTGTCATCAGAGGTAAGCTTTACATTCTTTAGTGTTTCTTCAACTATTTGTTCTACTGAGCGTTCCTTATCTACGATCGGATTCTTAATATTATCCAAGATTCTTGTATGTTGAACTCTCATAAGTGTTTCATTAACTATTTTTTGAACCTCAGCATCACCAGCTCTGAGTGTATCCTCAACAATCTGTTGAACAGATCTATTTTCTTCGCAATCAGAAATCAAATCATCCCTGATCTGACGAATCTGTTGTTTCTTCGCCATCATGCCCAAAGAGTCTTGTGCAAGAGAAAGGGAAGGGAGTGACTGCAGTTTGTCTTCTGTAATGGTTGGTCCACTAACAGGCTTGGAATTTTCAAACACTTCATCACTTTCATCGTTCGGCTTGTCTTGGGGCTTAGGAATTCCAACCTTTGAATCATTTGAATAATCTTTTTGTCTAAGTGTTACTGACTGAGCTGGTAGTTTGGGCATATCTCGTAAGGTGGTTTTAACAGGAGATTTAACCCCAGCTTCAATTAGAGAAGTTATTAAAGAAGCAGTTTGAACAACGGATTTGTCATTAGGCTTAGGAACAACAACCTCATCATCACTTCCATCGTCGTGAAGGTCAAGCGACTTTGGTTTCTTATTAGGTTTAACAGGAGATTTGACCTCTGCATCAATAAGAGAAGTTACCAAAGGAGCTGACTGAGAAACGGGCTTGTCTTGGGGCTTAGGAACACCAACCTCATCGTCGCTTTCATCGTCCGCATACCCCTTCTGGTAAGATGTCACTAATTCGACTGGTGACTTGGGCTTATCGCCTAAGATGGCTGGGACCTTATCATCTTTCAAACTTTCAGAGGGATCTATAGGTTTGCTGATCTTGCTATCTATTGATTCAATAGTAATGCTTGCAGATTTTAAACTGCTTTGAATTGTTGTTGAACTTTCTACCGCCTTCAAAACTGTAACTTCCTTAGTCTTCGCATCGTCTTTAAGAGCCGACTCATCTAAATCGCTAGCAATAGGGGCTACCCAGGCAGTTGATTCAGTAGCGGGTTTGTCATGGGCCTTAGGAATGCCAAACTCTTCATCACTTTCGTCGTCCGAATACTCCTTCACACTAGGCTTCACTGACTCAATGGGTGATTTGAGCTTGTCTCCTATCTTAGTTGGAATCTTTTCGTCGTGTAGGTCAAGCGACTTTGGTTTCTCATCTGGTAGAACAGGAGATTTAACCGCAACATCAATATGAGAAGTTACCAAGGAAGCTGTCTGAGAAATGGGCTTGATTTGAGGCTTAGGAACCTCATCATCGCTTTCATCGTCCGAGTACCCCTTCTGGTAAGATGTCACTAATTCGACTGGTGACTTGGGCTTATCGCCTAAGGTGGTTGGGCCCTTATCATCTTTCAAACTTGCAAAGAGATCTATAGGTTTGCTGATCTTGCTATCTATTGATTCAATAGTGGGGCTTGTTAAACTGCTTTGAATTGTTGTTGAACTTTCTACCGCCTTCAAAACCGTAACATCCTTAGTCTTCGCATCGTCTTTAAGAGCTGACTTTTCTAAATCGCTAGTAATAGGGGCTAACCAGGCAGTTGATTCAGTAAAGGGTTTGTCATGGGCCTTAGGAATGCCAAACTCTTCATCACTTTCGTTGTCCGAATACTCCTTCATACTAGGCTTCACTGACTCAATGGGCGATTTGAGCTTGTCTCCTATCTTAGTTGGAATCTTTTCGTCGTGAAAGTCAGGCGACTTTGGTTTCTCATCTGGTTTAATAGGAGATTTAACCCCAACATCAATAAGAGAAGTTACCAAGGAAGCTGTCTGAGAAATGGGCTTGATTTGAGGCTTAGGAACCTCATCATCGCTTTCATCGTCCGAGTACCCCTTCTGGTAAGATGTCACTAATTCGACTGGTGACTTGGGCTTATCCCCTAAGGTGGTTGGGACCTTATCATCTTTCAAACTTGCAAAGGGATCTATAGGTTTGCTGATCTTGCTATCTATTGATTCAATAGTGGAGCTTGTTAAACTGCTTTGAATTGTTGTTGAACTTTCTACCGCCTTCAAAACTGTAACTTCCTTAGTCTTCGCATCGTCTTTAAGAGCTGACTTTTCTAAATCGCTAGTAATAGGGGCTACCCAGGCAGTTGATTCAGTAGCGGGTTTGTCATGGGCCTTGGGAATGTCAAACTCTTCATCACTTTCGTCGTCCGAATTCTCCTTCACACTAGGCTTCACTGACTCAATGGGTGATTTGAGCTTGTCTCCTATCTTAGTTGGAATCTTTTCGTCGTGTAGGCCAAGCGACTTTGGTTTTTCATCAGGTTTAACTGGAGATTTAACCCCAGCATCAATAAGAGAAGTTACCAAAGGAGCTGGCTGAGAAACGGGCTTTTCTTGAGGCTTAGGAACACCAACCTCATAGTCGCTTTCATCGTCCGAATACCCCTTCTGGTAAGATTTCACTAATTCAACTGGTGACTTGGGCTTATCGCCTAAGGTGGTTGGGACCTTATCATCTTTCAATCTTGAAAAGGGATCTATAGGTTTGCTGATCTTGCTATCTATTGATTCAATAGTGTGGCTTGTTAAACTGCTTTGAATTGTTGTTGAACTTTCTACCGCCTTCAAAACTGTAACTTCCTTAGTCTTCGCATCGTCTTTAAGAGCTGACTTTTCTAAATCGCTAGTAATAGGGGCTACCCAGGCAGTTGATTTAGTAGCGGGTTTGTCATGGGCCTTGGGAATGTCAAACTCTTCATCACTTTCGTCGTCCGAATTCTCCTTCACACTAGGCTTCACTGACTCAATGGGTGATTTGAGCTTGTCTCCTATCTTAGTTGGAATCTTTTCGTCGTGTAGGTCAAGCGACTTTGGTTTCTCATCTGGTAGAACAGGAGATTTAACCGCAACATCAATATGAGAAGTTACCAAGGAAGCTGTCTGAGAAATGGGCTTGATTTGAGGCTTAGGAACCTCATCATCGCTTTCATCGTCCGAGTACCCCTTCTGGGAAGATGTCACTAATTCGACTGGTGACTTGGGCTTATCGCCTAAGGTGGTTGGGACCTTATCATCTTTCAATCTTGAAAAGGGATCTATAGGTTTGCTGATCTTGCTATCTATTGATTCAATAGTGTGGCTTGTTAAACTGCTTTGAATTGTTGTTGAACTTTCTACCGCCTTCAAAACCGTAACATCCTTAGGCTTTGCATCGACTTTAAGAGCCGACTTATCAAAATCGCTAGTAATAGGGCCTATCCAGGCAGTTGATTCAGTAGCGGTTTTGTCATGGGCCTTAGGATTGTCAAACTCTTCATCACTTTCGTCGTCAGAATAGTCCTTCACACTAGGCTTCACTGACTCAATGGGTGATTTGGGTTTAATTGGAACCTTTTCGTCGTGGAGGTCAAGCGACTTTGGTTTTTCATCAGGTTTAACTGGAGATTTAACCCCAGCATCAATAAGAGAAGTTACCAAAGGAGCTGGCTGAGAAACGGGCGTTTCTTGAGGCTTAGGAACACCAAACTCATCGTCGCTTTCATCGTCCGAATACCCCTTCTGGGAAGATGTCACTAATTCGACTGGTGACTTGGGCTTATCGCCTAAGGTCGTTGGGACCTTATCATCTTTCAAACTTGAAAAGGGACCTATAGGTTTGCTGATCTTGCTATCTATTGATTCAATAGTGTGGCTTGTTAAACTGCTTTGAATCGTTGTTGAACTTTCTACCGCTTTAAAAACCGTAACATCCTTAGGCTTCGCATCGACTTTAAGAGCCGACTTATCAAAATCGCTAGTAATAGGGCCTATCCAGGCAGTTGATTCAGTAGCGGGTTTGTCATGGGCCTTAGGAATGTCAAACTCTTCATCACTCTCGTCGTCAGAATACTCCTTCACACTAGGCTTCACTGACTCAATGGGTGATTTGAGCTTGTCTCCTATCTTAGTTGGAATCTTTTCGTCGTGTAGGTCAACCGACTTTGGTTTCTCATCAGGTTTAACAGGAGATTTAAGCCCAGCATCGATAAGAGAAGTTACCAAAGGAGCTAGCTGAGAAACAGGCTTGTCTTGGGGCTTAGAAACACCAACCTCATCGTCGCTTTCATCGTCCGAATACCCCTTTTGGTAAGATTTCACTAATTCAACTGGTGACTTGGGCTTATCGCCTAAGGTGGTTGGGACCTTATCATCTTTCAAACTTGAAGGGGGATCTATAGGTTTGCTGATCTGGCTATCTATTGATTCAATAGTGTGGCTTGTTAAACTGCTTTGAATTGTTGTTGAACTTTCTACCGCCTTCAAAACCGTAACATCCTTAGGCTTTGCATCGACTTTAAGAGCCGACTTATCAAAATCGCTAGTAATAGGGCCTATCCAGGCAGTTGATTCAGTAGCGGTTTTGTCATGGGCCTTAGGATTGTCAAACTCTTCATCACTTTCGTCGTCAGAATAGTCCTTCACACTAGGCTTCACTGACTCAATGGGTGATTTGGGTTTAATTGGAACCTTTTCGTCGTGGAGGTCAAGCGACTTTGGTTTTTCATCAGGTTTAACTGGAGATTTAACCCCAGCATCAATAAGAGAAGTTACCAAAGGAGCTGGCTGAGAAACGGGCGTTTCTTGAGGCTTAGGAACACCAAACTCATCGTCGCTTTCATCGTCCGAATACCCCTTCTGGGAAGATGTCACTAATTCGACTGGTGACTTGGGCTTATCGCCTAAGGTCGTTGGGACCTTATCATCTTTCAAACTTGAAAAGGGACCTATAGGTTTGCTGATCTTGCTATCTATTGATTCAATAGTGTGGCTTGTTAAACTGCTTTGAATTGTTGTTGAACTTTCTACCGCTTTAAAAACCGTAACATCCTTAGGCTTCGCATCGACTTTAAGAGCCGACTTATCAAAATCGCTAGTAATAGGGCCTATCCAGGCAGTTGATTCAGTAGCGGGTTTGTCATGGGCCTTAGGAATGTCAAACTCTTCATCACTCTCGTCGTCAGAATACTCCTTCACACTAGGCTTCACTGACTCAATGGGTGATTTGAGCTTGTCTCCTATCTTAGTTGGAATCTTTTCGTCGTGTAGGTCAACCGACTTTGGTTTCTCATCAGGTTTAACAGGAGATTTAAGCCCAGCATCGATAAGAGAAGTTACCAAAGGAGCTAGCTGAGAAACAGGCTTGTCTTGGGGCTTAGAAACACCAACCTCATCGTCGCTTTCATCGTCCGAATACCCCTTTTGGTAAGATTTCACTAATTCAACTGGTGACTTGGGCTTATCGCCTAAGGTGGTTGGGACCTTATCATCTTTCAAACTTGAAGGGGGATCTATAGGTTTGCTGATCTGGCTATCTATTGATTCAATAGTGTGGCTTGTTAAACTGCTTTGAATTGTTGTTGAACTTTCTACCGCCTTCAAAACCGTAACATCCTTAGGCTTCGCATCGGCCTTAAGAGCCGACTCATCTAAATCGCTAGCAATAGGGGCTACCCAGGCAGTTGATTCAGTAGCGGGTTTGTCATGGGCCTTAGGAATGCCAAACTCTTCATCACTTTCGTCGTCCGAATACTCCTTCACACTAGGCTTCACAGCCTCAATGGGTGATTTGAGCTTGTCTCCTATCTTAGTTGGAACCTTTTCATCGTGAAGGTCAAGCGACTTTGGTTTTTCATCAGGCTTAACAGGAGATTTAACCCCAGCATCGATAAGAGAAGTTACCAAAGGAGCTGGCTGAGAAACGGGCTTGCCTTGGGGCTTAGGAACACCAACCTCATAGTCGCTTTCATCGTCCGAATACCCCTTCTGGTAAGATTTCACTAATTCAACTGGTGACTTGGGCTTATCGGCTAAGGTGGTTGGGACCTTATCATCTTTCAAACTTGAAAAGGGATCTATAGGTTTGCTGATCTTGCTATCTATTGATTCAATAGTGTGGATTGTTAAACTGCTTTGAATTGTTGTTGAACTTTCTACCGCCTTCAAAACCGTAACATCTTTAGGCTTCGCATCGTCTTTAAGAGCCGACTTATCAAAATCGCTAGTAATAGGGCCTACCCAGGCAGTTGATTCAGTAGCGGTTTTGTCATGGGCCTTAGGAATGTCAAACTCTTCATCACTTTCGTCGTCAGAATACTCCTTCACACTAGGCTTCACTGACTCAATGGGTGATTTGAGCTTGTCTCCTATCTTAGTTGGAATCTTTTCGTCGTGTAGATCAAGCGACTTTGGTTTTTCATCAGGTTTAATTGGAGATTTAACCCCAGCATCGATAAGAGAAGTTACCAAAGGAGCTGGCTGAGAAACGGGCTTGCCTTGGGGCTTAGGAACACCAACCTCATCGTCGCTTTCATCGTCCGCATACCCCTTCTGGTAAGATGTCACTAATTCGACTGGTGACTTGGGCTTATCGCCTAAGATGGCTGGGACCTTATCATCTTTCAAACTTTCAGAGGGATCTATAGGTTTGCTGATCTTGCTATCTATTGATTCAATAGTAATGCTTGCAGATTTTAAACTGCTTTGAATTGTTGTTGAACTTTCTACCGCCTTCAAAACCGTAACATCTTTAGGCTTCGCATCGTCTTTAAGAGCCGACTTATCAAAATCGCTAGTAATAGGGCCTACCCAGGCAGTTGATTCAGTAGCGGTTTTGTCATGGGCCTTAGGAATGCCAAACTCTTCATCACTTTCGTCGTCCGAATACTCCTTCACACTAGGCTTCACTGACTCAATGGGTGATTTGAGCTTGTCTCCTATCTTAGTTGGAATCTTTTCGTCGTGTAGGTCAAGCGACTTTGGTTTCTCATCTGGTAGAACAGGAGATTTAACCGCAACATCAATATGAGAAGTTACCAAGGAAGCTGTCTGAGAAATGGGCTTGATTTGAGGCTTAGGAACCTCATCATCGCTTTCATCGTCCGAGTACCCCTTCTGGTAAGATGTCACTAATTCGACTGGTGACTTGGGCTTATCCCCTAAGGTGGTTGGGACCTTATCATCTTTCAAACTTGCAAAGGGATCTATAGGTTTGCTGATCTTGCTATCTATTGATTCAATAGTGGAGCTTGTTAAACTGCTTTGAATTGTTGTTGAACTTTCTACCGCCTTCAAAACTGTAACTTCCTTAGTCTTCGCATCGTCTTTAAGAGCTGACTTTTCTAAATCGCTAGTAATAGGGGCTACCCAGGCAGTTGATTCAGTAGCGGGTTTGTCATGGGCCTTGGGAATGTCAAACTCTTCATCACTTTCGTCGTCCGAATTCTCCTTCACACTAGGCTTCACTGACTCAATGGGTGATTTGAGCTTGTCTCCTATCTTAGTTGGAATCTTTTCGTCGTGTAGGCCAAGCGACTTTGGTTTTTCATCAGGTTTAACTGGAGATTTAACCCCAGCATCAATAAGAGAAGTTACCAAAGGAGCTGGCTGAGAAACGGGCTTTTCTTGAGGCTTAGGAACACCTACCTCATCGTCGCTTTCATCGTCCGAATACCCCTTCTGGGAAGATGTCACTAATTCGACTGGTGACTTGGGCTTATCGCCTAAGGTGGTTGGGACCTTATCATCTTTCAATCTTGAAAAGGGATCTATAGGTTTGCTGATCTTGCTATCTATTGATTCAATAGTGTGGCTTGTTAAACTGCTTTGAATTGTTGTTGAACTTTCTACCGCCTTCAAAACCGTAACATCCTTAGGCTTTGCATCGACTTTAAGAGCCGACTTATCAAAATCGCTAGTAATAGGGCCTATCCAGGCAGTTGATTCAGTAGCGGTTTTGTCATGGGCCTTAGGATTGTCAAACTCTTCATCACTTTCGTCGTCAGAATAGTCCTTCACACTAGGCTTCACTGACTCAATGGGTGATTTGGGTTTAATTGGAACCTTTTCGTCGTGGAGGTCAAGCGACTTTGGTTTTTCATCAGGTTTAACTGGAGATTTAACCCCAGCATCAATAAGAGAAGTTACCAAAGGAGCTGGCTGAGAAACGGGCTTTTCTTGAGGCTTAGGAACACCAACCTCATCGTCGCTTTCATCGTCCGAATACCCCTTCTGGGAAGATGTCACTAATTCGACTGGTGACTTGGGCTTATCGCCTAAGGTCGTTGGGACCTTATCATCTTTCAAACTTGAAAAGGGACCTATAGGTTTGCTGATCTTGCTATCTATTGATTCAATAGTGTGGCTTGTTAAACTGCTTTGAATTGTTGTTGAACTTTCTACCGCTTTAAAAACCGTAACATCCTTAGGCTTCGCATCGACTTTAAGAGCCGACTTATCAAAATCGCTAGTAATAGGGCCTATCCAGGCAGTTGATTCAGTAGCGGGTTTGTCATGGACCTTAGGAATGTCAAACTCTTCATCACTCTCGTCGTCAGAATACTCCTTCACACTAGGCTTCACTGACTCAATGGGTGATTTGAGCTTGTCTCCTATCTTAGTTGGAATCTTTTCGTCGTGTAGGTCAACCGACTTTGGTTTCTCATCAGGTTTAACAGGAGATTTAAGCCCAGCATCGATAAGAGAAGTTACCAAAGGAGCTAGCTGAGAAACAGGCTTGTCTTGGGGCTTAGAAACACCAACCTCATCGTCGCTTTCATCGTCCGAATACCCCTTTTGGTAAGATTTCACTAATTCAACTGATGACTTGGGCTTATCGCCTAAGGTGGTTGGGACCTTATCATCTTTCAAACTTGAAGGGGGATCTATAGGTTTGCTGATCTGGCTATCTATTGATTCAATAGTGTGGCTTGTTAAACTGCTTTGAATTGTTGTTGAACTTTCTACCGCCTTCAAAACCGTAACATCCTTAGGCTTCGCATCGTCCTTAAGAGCCGACTCATCTAAATCGCTAGCAATAGGGGCTACCCAGGCAGTTGATTCAGTAGCGGGTTTGTCATGGGCCTTAGGAATGCCAAACTCTTCATCACTTTCGTCGTCCGAATACTCCTTCACACTAGGCTTCACTGACTCAATGGGTGATTTGAGCTTGTCTCCTATCTTAGTTGGAACCTTTTCATCGTGAAGGTCAAGCGACTTTGGTTTTTCATCAGGCTTAACAGGAGATTTAACCCCAGCATCGATAAGAGAAGTTACCAAAGGAGCTGGCTGAGAAACGGGCTTGCCTTGGGGCTTAGGAACACCAACCTCATAGTCGCTTTCATCGTCCGAATACCCCTTCTGGTAAGATTTCACTAATTCAACTGGTGACTTGGACTTATCGCCTAAGGTGGTTGGGACCTTATCATCTTTCAAACTTGAAAAGGGATCTATAGGTTTGCTGATCTTGCTATCTATTGATTCAATAGTGTGGATTGTTAAACTGCTTTGAATTGTTGTTGAACTTTCTACCGCCTTCAAAACCGTAACATCTTTAGGCTTCGCATCGTCTTTAAGAGCCGACTTATCAAAATCGCTAGTAATAGGGCCTACCCAGGCAGTTGATTCAGTAGCGGTTTTGTCATGGGCCTTAGGAATGTCAAACTCTTCATCACTTTCGTCGTCAGAATACTCCTTCACACTAGGCTTCACTGACTCAATGGGTGATTTGAGCTTGTCTCCTATCTTAGTTGGAATCTTTTCGTCGTGTAGATCAAGCGACTTTTGTTTTTCATCAGGTTTAATTGGAGATTTAACCCCAGCATCAATAAGAGAAATTACCAAAGGAGCTGGCTGAGAAACGGGCTTGTATTGAGGCTTAAGAATGCCAACCTCATCGTCGCTTTCATCGTCCGAATACCCCTTCTGGTAAGATTTCACTAATTCAACTGGTGACTTGGGCTTATCGCCTAAGGTGGTTGGGACCTTATCATCTTTCAAACTTGAAAAGGGATCTATAGGTTTGCTGATCTTGCTATCTATTGATTCAATAGTGTGGATTGTTAAACTGCTTTGAATTGTTGTTGAACTTTCTACCGCCTTCAAAACCGTAACATCTTTAGGCTTCGCATCGTCTTTAAGAGCCGACTTATCAAAATCGCTAGTAATAGGGCCTACCCAGGCAGTTGATTCAGTAGCGGTTTTGTCATGGGCCTTAGGAATGTCAAACTCTTCATCACTTTCGTCGTCAGAATACTCCTTCACACTAGGCTTCACTGACTCAATGGGTGATTTGGGTTTAATTGCAACCTTTTCGTCGTGAAGGTCAAGCGACTTTGTATTCTCATCAGGTTTAACAGGAGATTTAAACCCAGCATCGATAAGAGAAGTTACCAAAGGAGCTAGCTGAGAAACAGGCTTGTCTTGGGGCTTAGAAACACCAACCTCATCGTCGCTTTCATCGTCCGAATACCCCTTTTGGTAAGATTTCACTAATTCAACTGGTGACTTGGGCTTATCGCCTAAGGTGGTTGGGACCTTATCATCTTTCAAACTTGAAGGGAGATCTAAAGGTTTGCTGATCTGGCTATCTATTGATTCAATAGTGTGGCTTGTTAAACTGCTTTGAATTGTTGTTGAACTTTCTACCGCCTTCAAAACCGTAACATCCTTAGGCTTCGCATCGTCCTTAAGAGCCGACTTATCTAAATCGCTTGCAATAGGGGCTACCCAGGCAGTTGATTCAGTAGCGGGTTTGTCATGGGCCTTAGGAATGTCAAACTCTTCATCACTCTCGTCGTCAGAATACTCCTTCACACTAGGCTTCACTGACTCAATGGGTGATTTGAGCTTGTCTCCTATCTTAGTTGGAATCTTTTCGTCGTGTAGGTCAACCGACTTTGGTTTCTCATCAGGTTTAACAGGAGATTTAAGCCCAGCATCGATAAGAGAAGTTACCAAAGGAGCTAGCTGAGAAACAGGCTTGTCTTGGGGCTTAGAAACACCAACCTCATCGTCGCTTTCATCGTCCGAATACCCCTTTTGGTAAGATTTCACTAATTCAACTGGTGACTTGGGCTTATCGCCTAAGGTGGTTGGGACCTTATCATCTTTCAAACTTGAAGGGGGATCTATAGGTTTGCTGATCTGGCTATCTATTGATTCAATAGTGTGGATTGTTAAACTGCTTTGAATTGTTGTTGAACTTTCTACCGCCTTCAAAACCGTAACATCTTTAGGCTTCGCATCGTCTTTAAGAGCCGACTTATCAAAATCGCTAGTAATAGGGCCTACCCAGGCAGTTGATTCAGTAGCGGTTTTGTCATGGGCCTTAGGAATGTCAAACTCTTCATCACTTTCGTCGTCAGAATACTCCTTCACACTAGGCTTCACTGACTCAATGGGTGATTTGAGCTTGTCTCCTATCTTAGTTGGAATCTTTTCGTCGTGTAGATCAAGCGACTTTGGTTTTTCATCAGGTTTAATTGGAGAATTAACCCCAGCATCAATAAGAGAAATTACCAAAGGAGCTGGCTGAGAAACGGGCTTGTATTGAGGCTTAAGAATGCCAACCTCATCGTCGCTTTCATCGTCCGAATACCCCTTCTGGTAAGATTTCACTAATTCAACTGGTGACTTGGGCTTATCGCCTAAGGTGGTTGGGACCTTATCATCTTTCAAACTTGAAAAGGGATCTATAGGTTTGCTGATCTTGCTATCTATTGATTCAATAGTGTGGATTGTTAAACTGCTTTGAATTGTTGTTGAACTTTCTACCGCCTTCAAAACCGTAACATCTTTAGGCTTCGCATCGTCTTTAAGAGCCGACTTATCAAAATCGCTAGTAATAGGGCCTACCCAGGCAGTTGATTCAGTAGCGGTTTTGTCATGGGCCTTAGGAATGTCAAACTCTTCATCACTTTCGTCGTCAGAATACTCCTTCACACTAGGCTTCACTGACTCAATGGGTGATTTGGGTTTAATTGCAACCTTTTCGTCGTGAAGGTCAAGCGACTTTGTATTCTCAACAGGTTTAACAGGAGATTTAACCCCAGCATCGATAAGAGAAGTTACCCAAGGAGCTGGCTGAGAAAGGGGCTTGTCTTGGGGTTTAGGAACACCAACCTCATCGTCGCTTTCATCGTCCAAATACCCCTTCTGGTAAGATGTCTCTAATTCGACTGGTGACTTGGGCTTATCGCCTAAGGTGGTTGGTACCTTATCATCTTTCAAACTTGCAAAGGGATCTATAGGTTTGCTGATCTTGCTATCTATTGATTCAATAGTGGAGCTTGTTAAACTGCTTTGAATTGTTGTTGAACTTTCTACCGCCTTCAAAACTGTAACTTCCTTAGCCTTCGCATCGTCTTTAAGAGCTGACTTTTCTAAATCGCTAGTAATAGGGGCTACCCAGGCAGTTGATTCAGTAGCGGGTTTGTCATGGGGCTTTGGAATGCCAAACTCTTCATCACTTTCGTCGTCCGAATACTCCTTCACACTAGACTTCACTGACTCAATGGGTGATTTGGGTTTAATTGGAACCTTTTCGTCGTGGAGGTCAAGCGACTTTGGTTTCTCATCAGGTTTAACAGGAGATTTAAGCCCAGCATCGATAAGAGAAGTTACCAAAGGAGCTAGCTGAGTAACAGGCTTGTCTTGGGGCTTAGAAACACCAACCTCATCGTCGCTTTCATCGTCCGAATACCCCTTTTGGTAAGATTTCACTAATTCAACTGGTGACTTGGGCTTATCGCCTAAGGTGGTTGGGACCTTATCATCTTTCAAACTTGAAGGGGGATCTATAGGTTTGCTGATCTGGCTATCTATTGATTCAAAAGTGTGGCTTGTTAAACTGCTTTGAATTGTTGTTGAACTTTCTACCGCATTCAAAACCGTAACATCCTTAGGCTTCGCATCGTCCTTAAGAGCCGACTTATCTAAATCGCTTGCAATAGGGGCTACCCAGGCAGTTGATTCAGTAGCGGGTTTGTCATGGGCCTTAGGAATGTCAAACTCTTCATCACTCTCGTCGTCAGAATACTCCTTCACACTAGGCTTCACTGACTCAATGGGTGATTTGAGCTTGTCTCCTATCTTAGTTGGAATCTTTTCGTCGTGTAGGTCAACCGACTTTGGTTTCTCATCAGGTTTAACAGGAGATTTAAGCCCAGCATCGATAAGAGAAGTTACCAAAGGAGCTAGCTGAGAAACAGGCTTGTCTTGGGGCTTAGAAACACCAACCTCATCGTCGCTTTCATCGTCCGAATACCCCTTTTGGTAAGATTTCACTAATTCAACTGGTGACTTGGGCTTATCGCCTAAGGTGGTTGGGACCTTATCATCTTTCAAACTTGAAGGGGGATCTATAGGTTTGCTGATCTGGCTATCTATTGATTCAATAGTGTGGCTTGTTAAACTGCTTTGAATTGTTGTTGAACTTTCTACCGCCTTCAAAACCGTAACATCCTTAGGCTTCGCATCGTCCTTAAGAGCCGACTCATCTAAATCGCTAGCAATAGGGGCTACCCAGGCAGTTGATTCAGTAGCGGGTTTGTCATGGGCCTTAGGAATGCCAAACTCTTCATCACTTTCGTCGTCCGAATACTCCTTCACACTAGGCTTCACTGACTCAATGGGTGATTTGGGTTTAATTGGAACCTTTTCGTCGTGGAGGTCAAGCGACTTTGGTTTTTCATCAGGTTTAACAGGAGATTTAAACTCAGCATCGATAAGAGAAGTTACCAAAGGAGCTAGCTGAGAAACAGGCTTGTTTTGGGGCTTAGAAACACCAACCTCATCGTCGCTTTCATCGTCCGAATACCCCTTTTGGTAAGTTTTCACTAATTCAACTGGTGACTTGGGCTTATCGCCTAAGGTGGTTGGGACCTTATCATCTTTCAAACTTGAAGGGGGATCTATAGGTTTGCTGATCTTGCTATCTATTGATTCAATAGTGTGGCTTGTTAAACTGCTTTGAATTGTTGTTGAACTTTCTACCGCCTTCAAAACCGTAACATCCTTAGGCTTCACATCGTCCTTAAGAGCCGACTTATCTAGATCGCTAGCAATAGGGGCTACCCAGGCAGTTGATTCAGTAGCGGGTTTGTCATGGGCCTTAGGAATGCCAAACTCTTCATCACTTTCGTCGTCCGAATACTCCTTCACACTAGGCTTCACTGACTCAATGGGTGATTTGAGCTTGTCTCCTATCTTAGTTGAAATCTTTTCGTCGTGTAAGTCAAGCGACTTTGGTTTTTCATCAGATTTAATTGGAGATTTAACCCCAGCATCAATAAGAGAAGTTACCAAAGGAGCTGGCTGAGAAAGGGGCATGTCTTGAGGCTTAGGAACACCAACCTCATTGTCGCTTTCATCGTCCGAATACCCCTTCTGGTAAGATTTCACTAATTCAACTGGTGACTTGGGCTTATCGCCTAAGGTGGTTGGGACCTTATCATCTTTCAAACTTGAAGAGGGATCTATAGGTTTGCGGATCTTGCTATCTATTGCTTCAATAGTGTGGCTTGTTAAACTGCTTTGAATTATTGTTGAACTTTCTACCGCCTTCAAAACCGTAACATCTTTAGGCTTCGCATCGTCTTTAAGAGCCGACTTATCAAAATCGCTAGTAATAGGGCCTATCCAGGCAGTTGATTCAGTAGCGGTTTTGTCATGGGGCTTTGGAATGCCAAACTCTTCATCACTTTCATCGTCCGAATACTCCTTCACACTAGGCTTCACTGACTCAATGGGTGATTTGGGTTTAATTGCAACCTTTTCGTCGTGAAGGTCAAGCGACTTTGTATTCTCATCAGGTTTAACAGGAGATTTAACCCCAGCATCGATAAGAGAAGTTACCCAAGGAGCTGGCTGAGAAAGGGGCTTGTCTTGGGGCTTAGGAACACCAACCTCATCGTCGCTTTCATCGTCCAAATACCCCTTCTGGTAAGATGTCACTAATTCGATTGGTGACTTGGGCTTATCGCCTAAGGTGGTTGGGACCTTATCATCTTTCAAACTTGCAAAGGGATCTATAGGTTTGCTGATCTTGCTATCTATTGATTCAATAGTGGAGCTTGTTAAACTGCTTTGAATTGTTGTTGAACTTTCTACCGCCTTCAAAACTGTAACTTCCTTAGTCTTCGCATCGTCTTTAAGAGCTGACTTTTCTAAATCGCTAGTAATAGGGGCTACCCAGGCAGTTGATTCAGTAGCGGGTTTGTCATGGGGCTTTGGAATGCCAAACTCTTCATCACTTTCGTCGTCCGAATACTTCTTCACACTAGGCTTCACTGACTCAATGGGTGATTTGGGTTTAATTGGAACCTTTTCGTCGTGGAGGTCAAGCGACTTTGGTTTCTCATCAGGTTTAACAGGAGATTTAAGCCCAGCATCGATAAGAGAAGTTACCAAAGGAGCTAGCTGAGAAACAGGCTTGTCTTGGGGCTTAGAAACACCAACCTCATCGTCGCTTTCATCGTCCGAATACCCCTTTTGGTAAGATTTCACTAATTCAACTGGTGACTTGGGCTTATCGCCTAAGGTGGTTGGGACCTTATCATCTTTCAAACTTGAAGGGGGATCTATAGGTTTGCTGATCTTACTATCTATTGATTCAATAGTGGAGCTTGTTAAACTGCTTTGAATTGTTGTTGAACTTTCTACCGCCTTCAAAATCGTAACATCCTTAGGCTTCGCATCGTCTTTAAGAGCCGACTTATCTAAATCGCTAGCAATAGGGGCTACCCAGGCAGTTGATTCAGTAGAGGGTTTGTCATGGGCCTTAGGAATGCCAAACTCTTCATCACTTTCGTCGTCCGAATACTCCTTCACACTAGGCTTCACTGACTCAATGGATGATTTGGGCTTGTCTCCTATCTTAGTTGGAATCTTTTCGTCGTGTAGGTCAAGCGACTTTGTTTTTTCATCAGGTTTAATTGGAGATTTAACCCCAGCATCAATAAGAGAAATTACCAAAGGAGCTGGCTGAGAAACGGGCTTGTCTTGAGGCTTAGGAACACCAACCTCATCGTCGCTTTCATCGCCCGAATACCCCTTCTGGTAAGATTTCACTAATTCAACTGGTGACTTGGGCTTATCGCCTAAAGTGGTTGGGACCTTATCATCTTTCAAACTTGCAAAGGGATCTATAGGTTTGCTGATCTTGCTATCTATTGATTCAATAGTGGAGCTTGTTAAACTGCTTTGAATTGTTGTTGAACTTTCTACCGCCTTCAAAACCGTAACATCCTTAGGCTTCGCATCGTCTTTAAGAGCCGACTTATCTAAATCGCTAGCAATAGGGGCTACCCAGGCAGTTGATTCAGTAGGGGGTTTGTCATGGGCCTTAGAAATGCCAAACTCTTCATCACTTTCGTCGTCCGAATACTCCTTCACACTAGGCTTCACTGACTCAATGGGTGATTTGAGCTTGTCTCCTATCTTAGTTGGAATCTTTTCGTTGTGTAGGTCAAGCGACTTTGGTTTTTCATCAGGTTTAATTGGAGATTTAACCCCAGCATCAATAAGAGAAATTACCAAAGGAGCTGGCTGAGAAACGGGCTTGTCTTGAGGCTTAGGAACACCAACCTCATCGTCGCTTTCATCGTCCGAATACCCCTTCTGGTAAGATTTCACTAATTCAACTGGTGACTTGGGCTTATCGCCTAAAGTGGTTGGGACCTTATCATCTTTCAAACTTGAAGGGGGATCTATAGGTTTGCTGATCTTGCTATCTATTGATTCAATAGTGTGGATTGTTAAACTGCTTTGAATTTTTGGTGAACTTTCTACCGCCTTCAAAACCGTAACATCTTTAGGCTTCGCATCGTCTTTAAGAGCCGACTTATCTAAATTGCTAACAATAGGGGCTACCCAGGCAGTTGATTCAGTAGCGGGTTTGTCATGGGCCTTTGGAATGCCAAACTCTTCATCACCTTCGTCGTCCGAATACTCCTTCACACTAGGCTTCACTGACTCAATGGGTGATTTGGGTTTAATTGGAACCTTTTCGTCGTGTAGGTCAAGCGACTTTGGTTTCTCATCAGGTTTAACAGGAGATTTAACCCCAGCATCGATAAGAGAAGTTACCAAAGGAGCTAGCTGAGAAACAGGCTTGTCTTGGGACTTAGAAACACCAACCTCATCGTCGCTTTCATCGTCCGAATACCCCATCTGGTAAGATTTCACTAATTCAACTGGTGACTTCGGCTTATCGCCTAAGGTGGTTGGGACCTTATCATCTTTCAAACTTGAAGGGGGATCTATAGGTTTGCTGATCTTGCTATCTATTGATTCAATAGTGTGGCTTGTTAAACTGCTTTGAATTGTTGTTGAACTTTCTACCGCCTTCAAAACCGTAACATCCTTAGACTTCGCATCGTCCTTAAGAGCCGACTTATCTAAATCGCTAGCAACAGGGGCTACCCAGGCAGTTGATTCAGTAGCGGGTTTGTCATGGGCCTTAGGAATGCCAAACTCTTCATCACTTTCGTCGTCCGAATACTCCTTCACACTAGGCTTCACTGACTCAATGGGTGATTTGAGCTTGTCTCCTATCTTAGTTGGAACCTTTTCATCGTGAAGGTCAAGCGACTTTGGTTTTTCATCAGGCTTAACAGGAGATTTAACCCCAGCATCGATAAGAGAAGTTACCAAAGGATCTGGCTGAGAAACGGGCTTGCCTTGGGGCTTAGGAACATCAACCTTATAGTCGCTTTCATCGTCCGAATACCCCTTCTGGTAAGATGTCATTAATTCAACTGGTGACTTGGGTTTATCGCCTAAGGTGTTCGGGACCTTATCATCTTTCAAACTTGCAAAGGGATCTATAGGTTTGCTGATCTTGCTATCTACTGATTCAATAGTGGAGCTTGTTAAACTGCTTTGAATTGTTGTTGAACTTTCTACCGCCTTCAAAACCGTAACATCCTTAGGCTTCGCATCGTCTTTAAGAGCCGACTTATCTAAATCGCTAGCAATAGGGGCTACCCAGGCAGTTGATTCAGTAGCGGGTTTGTCATGGGCCTTTGGAATGCCAAACTCTTCATCACTTTCGTCGTCCGAATACTCCTTCACACTAGGCTTCACTGACTCAATGGGTGATTTGGGTTTAATTGGAGACTTTTCGTCGTGTAGGTCAAGCGACTTTGGTTTCTCATCAGGTTTAACTGGAGATCTAACCCCAGCATCAATAAGAGAAGTTACCAAAGGAGCTAGAGGAGAAACAGGCTTGTCTTGGGGCATAGAAACACCAACCTCATCGTCGCTTTCATCGGCCGAATACCCCTTCTGGTAAGATGTCACTAATTCGACTGGTGACTTGGGCTTATCGCCTAAGGTGGTTGGGACCTTATCATCTTTCAAACTTGCAAAGGGTTCTATAGGTTTGCTGATCTTGCTATCTATTGATTCAATAGTGGAGCTTGTTAAACTGCTTTGAATTGTTGTTGAACTTTCTACCGCCTTCAAAACCGTAACATCCTTAGGCTTCGCATCGTCTTTAAGAGCCGACTTATCTAAATCGCTAGCAATAGGGGCTACCCAGGCAGTTGATTCAGTAGCGGGTTTGTCATGGGCCTTTGGAATGCCAAACTCTTCATCACTTTCGTCGTCCGAATACTCCTTCACACTAGGCTTCACTGACTCAATGGGTGATTTGAGCTTGTCTCCTATCTTAGTTGAAATCTTTTCGTCGTGTAGGTCAAGCGACTTTGGTTTTTCATCAGGTTTAACTGGAGATTTAACCCCAGCATCAATAAGAGAAGTTACCAATGGAGCTGGCTGAGAAACGGGCTTTTCTTGAGGCTTAGGAACACCAACCTCATCGTCGCTTTCATCGTCCGAATACCCCTTCTGGTAAGATGTCACTAATTCAACTGGTGACTTGGGCTTATCGTCTAAGGTGGTTGGGACCTTATCATCTTTCAAACTTGCAAAGGGATCTATAGGTTTGCTGATCTTGCTATCTATTGATTCAATAGTGGAGCTTGTTAAACTGCTTTGAATTGTTGTTGAACTTTCTACCGCCTTCAAAACCGTAACATCCTTAGGCTTCGCATCGTTTTTAAGACCCGACTTATCTAAATCGCTAGCAATAGGGGCTACCCAGGCATTTGATTCAGTAGCGGGTTTGTCATGGGCCTTAGGAATGCCAAACTCTTCATCACTTTCGCCGTCTGAATACTCCTTCACACTAGGCTTAACTGCCTCAATGGGTGACTTGAGCTTGTCTCCTATCTTAGTTGGAACCTTTTCATCGTGAAGGTCAAGCGACTTTGGTTTTTCATCAGGCTTAACAGGAGATTTAACCCCAGCATCGATAAGAGAAGTTACCAAAGGATCTGGCTGAGAAACGGGCTTGCCTTGGGGCTTAGAAACATCAACCTCATCGTCGCTTTCATCGTCCGAATACCCCTTCTGGTAAGATGTCACTAATTCAACTGGTGACTTGGGTTTATCGCCTAAGGTGGTTGGGACCTTATGATCTTTCAAACTTGCAAAGGGATCTATAGGTTTGCTGATCTTGCTATCTATTGATTCAATAGTGGAGCTTGTTAAACTGCTTTGAATTGTTATTGAACTTTCTACCGCCTTCGAAACCGTAACTTCCTTAGACTTCGCATCGTCTTTAAGAGCCGACTTATCTAAATCGCTAGCAATAGGGGCTACCCAGGCAGTTGATTCAGTAGCGGGTTTGTCATGGGACTTTGGAATGCCAAACTCTTCACCACTTTCGTCGTCCGAATACTCCTTCACACTAGGCTTCACTGACTCAATGGGTGATTTGGGTTTAATTGGAAACTTTTCGTCGTGTAGGTCAAGCGACTTTGGTTTCTCATCAGGTTTAACTGGAGATCTAACCCCAGCATCAATAAGATAAGTTACCAAAGGAGCTAGCTGAGAAACAGGCTTGTCTTGGGGCTTAGAAACACCAACCTCATCGTCGCTTTCATCGTCCGAATACCCCTTCTGGTAAGATGTCAATAATTCAACTGGTGACTTGGGTTTATCGTCTAAGGTGGTTGGGACCTTATGATCTTTCAAACTTGCAAAGGGATCTATAGGTTTGCTGATCTTGCTATCTATTGATTCAATAGTGGAGCTTGTTAAACTGCTTTGAATTGTTATTGAACTTTCTACCGCCTTCAAAACCGTAACTTCCTTAGGCTTCGCATCGTCTTTAAGAGTCGACTTATCAAAATCGCTAGTAATAGGGCCTACCCAGGCAGTTGATTCAGTAGCGGTTTTGTCATGGGCCTTAGGAATGCCAAACTCTTCATCACTTCCGCCGTCCGAATACTCCTTCACACTAGGCTTCACTGACTCAATGGGTGATTTGAGCTTGTCTCCTATCTTAGTTGGAATCCTTTCGTCGTGTAGGTCAAGCGACTTTGGTTTTTCATCAGGTTTAACTGGAGATTTAACCCCAGCATCAATAAGAGAAGTTACCAAAGGAGCTGGCTTAGAAACGGACTTTTCTTGAGGCTTAGGAACACCAACCTCATCGTCGCTTTCATCGTCCGAATACCCCTTCTGGTAAGATGTCAATAATTCAACTGGTGACTTGGGCTTATCGCCTAAGGTGGTTGGGACCTTATCATCTTTCAAACTTGAAAAGGGATCTATAGGTTTGCTGATCTTGCTATCTATTGATTCAATAGTGTGGATTGTTAAACTGCTTTGAATTGTTGTTGAACTTTCTACCGCCTTCAAAACCATAACATCTTTAGGCTTCGCATCGTCTTTAAGAGCCGACTTATCTAAATCGCTAGCAATAGGGGCTACCCAGGCATTTGATTCAGTAGCGGGTTTGTCATGGGCCTTAGGAATGCCAAACTCTTCATCACTTTCGTCGTCCGAATACTCCTTCACACTAGGCTTAACTGCCTCAATGGGTGATTTGAGCTTGTCTCCTATCTTAGTTGGAACCTTTTCATCATGAAGGTCAAGCGACTTTGGTTTTTCATCAGGCTTAACAGGAGATTTAACCCCAGCATCGACAAGAGAAGTTACCAAAGGAGCTGGCTGAGAAACGGGCTTGCCTTGGGGCTTAGGAACATCAACCTCATAGTCGCTTTCATCGTCCGAATACCCCTTCTGGTAAGATGTCACTAATTCAACTGGTGACTTGGGCTTATCGCCTAAGGTGGTTGGGACCTTATCATCTTTCAAACTTGCAAAGGGATCTATAGGTTTGCTGATCTTGCTATCTATTGATTCAATAGTGGAGCTTGTTAAACTGCTTTGAATTGTTGTTGAACTTTCTACCGCCTTCAAAACCGTAACATCCTTAGGCTTCGCATCGTCTTTAAGAGCCGACTTATCTAAATCGCTAGTAATAGGGGCTACCCAGGCAGTTGATTCAGTAGCGATTTTGTCATGGGCCTTTGGAATGCCAAACTCTTTATCACTTTCGTCGTCCGAATACTCCTTCACGCTAGGCTTAACTGCCTCAATGGGTGATTTGAGCTTGTCTCCTATCTTAGTTGGAACCTTTTCATCGTGAAGGCCAAGCGACTTTGGTTTTTCATCAGGTTTAACAGGGGATCTAACCTCAGCATCGATAAGAGAAGTTACTAAAGGAGCTGGCTGAGAAACGGGCTTGCCTTGGGGCTTAGGAACACCAACCTCATCGTCGCTTTCATCGTCCGAATACCCCTTCTGGTAAGATGTCACTAATTCAACTGGTGACTTGGGCTTATCGGCTAAGGTGGTTGGGACCTTATCATCTTTCAAACTTGCAAAGGGATCTATAGGTTTGCTGATCTTGCTATCTATTGATTCAATAGTGTGGCTTGTTAAACTGCTTTGAATTGTTGTTGAACTTACTTCCGCCTTCAAAACAATATATTCCTTAGGCTTCGCATCGTCTTTAAGGGCCGACTTATCTACATCCCTAGTAATAGGGGCTACCCAGGCAGTTGATTCAGTAGCGGGTTTGTCATGGGCCTTAGGAATGCCAAACTCTTCATCACTTTCGTCGTCCGAATTCTCCTTCACACTAGGCTTAACTGCCTCAATGGGTGATTTGAACTTGTCTCCTATCTTAGTTGGAACCTTTTCATCGTGAAGGTCAAGCGACTTTGGTTTTTCATCAGGTTTAACTGGAGATTTAACCCCAGCATCAATAAGAGAAGTTACCAAAGGAGCTGGCTGAGAAACGGACTTTTCTTGAGGCTTAGGAACACCAACCTCATCGTCGCTTTCATCGTCCGAATACCCCTTCTGGTAAGATGTCAATAATTCAACTGGTGACTTGGGCTTATCGCCTAAGGTGGTTGGGACCTTATCATCTTTCAAACTTGAAAAGGGATCTATAGGTTTGCTGATCTTGCTATCTATTGATTCAATAGTGTGGATTGTTAAACTGCTTTGAATTGTTGTTGAACTTTCTACCGCCTTCAAAACCATAACATCTTTAGGCTTCGCATCGTCTTTAAGAGCCGACTTATCTAAATCGCTAGCAATAGGGGCTACCCAGGCAGTTGATTCAGTAGCGGGTTTGTCATGGGCCATTGGAATGCCAAACTCTTCATCACTTTCGTCGTCCGAATACTCCTTCACACTAGGCTTCACTGACTCAATGGGTGATTTGAGCTTGTCTCCTATCTTAGTTGGAATCTTTTCGTCGTGAAGGTCAAGCGACTTTGGTTTCTCATCAGGTTTAACTGGAGATCTAACCCCAGCATCGATAAGAGAAGTTACTAAAGGAGCTGGCTGAGAAACGGGCTTGTCTTGGGGCTTAGGAACACCAACCTCATCGTTGCTTTCATCGTCCGAATACCTCTTCTGGTAAGATGTCACTAATTCGACTGGTGACTTTGGCTTATCGCCTAAGGTGGTTGGGACCTTATCATCTTTCAAACTTGCAAAGGAATCTATAGGTTTGCTGATCTTGCTATCTATTGATTCAATAGTGGAGCTTTTGTCCGCTTTGAAAATAGGAACTGGCTCAGGCACCACATTGTATTTCAAAGGCAACTTATCTGGAGCAGCAGAAGGGGTTATGCAAGGAGTTGTTTCACTAACGGGCTTGTCATGGGGTTTGGGAAGGCCACAATCTCCATTACTTTCCTTCATTTCGTTCTTAAGATGGCTTTCTGACTCATTGGCTGAAATCGTTGGTATGTTATCGTCGGTGCTGAGATTATTTTTTGATGCTTTCAAAGTTGTTATGGTTTGAATTTCAGGTTTGAAAATTACAAGCTCTTCCTGACTTTGGTCATTCAAATTATCTTTGAATTTGCCGAATTTTTCAACACTTTCAATGATGGCGTTGGCTGTTGGAAACTTGGTTATATCTCTTTTTTGAGTAGGTTCGATGATTCTAGTTTCATCTAAAGGGGATGCTTGCTCAATTTTCGATAAATGCTTAAGTTTTTTTATCTTTTTAAGATTGTCCATCTCTTCATCACTATCGCTTTCAGTTGGTTGTTTATCTACACTTTTTTTCTTGTCAGATGGAAACTTATTTTGTGTATCAGTCATTGAGACAAGATAAGTCATAGACGTTTGAAGCTCGTCTGTTTTATCATGCGTAGGAAACTTGACATGGATGTCCATTTCTAGGTTTTGGTTACCTTTTAGTGCTGTTAGGTGTGATCTGTGGTCCACAAGCCTATCCATTCTATCTTCATATTCAATAGCTTCGTGGACAAACTCCTTTGTATCCTCGACGTTCGTTTTAGAAGTGGAATGTAACCGTTCGAGGGTGTGTGCAATTTTTGGAAATTCTACCAGCTTAGTATCCTTAATAGATTCTATTGGAAATTCTTGTTTATCACATTCTGTTAAAAATCTAATTTGACTGTCTGCAATACCTATTAGTTCTTCTTGTAAAGTACCCTTAGCCTCAAAGTCTTTATTACTTTCCGTAATACCGAATTTTCCGGACTCATGTTCTAGAAACATGACTGTTGCCGATTTAACGTTTTTAATTGATGGAGATTCTTTCTCTTTTGGGTTTTCAAAGGCTTTTGCCATATCAGAGATTGTGCGTTTTGAGCATTTCTTTTCACATACGTCTTCGAGATTTTCAGTACTGCCGTTCGACTTTTCCATTGACGAAAAGGGTGACTGTACGTTTTGCTCTGGTACGTGTTTAGAGCCCAAAACATCAAAAATCAAATCGGCATCGCTTAAAATCTGTTGCTCTATGGACGAAACATCAGCATTACGTTCCGGGATTTCTCGTTTTCGGGGACTAAACGGCTTAGCCTCAAGATTCGATGCGGGATAACGCCGTTCGAAGTCCTGCACAACTTCCCTTACTTTCGGTAAAGCTTCCATAACATCCTTAACTTCTATGCCTAAGTGCTCCTCAACAGTTTCGGTTAAAATCTTTGCAGGTATCTGTTCTACTTGCCTATTTAAATCTATTACCTGTTCTGTTAAAGTCTTTTCTGTTTCACATAAGTCTTTAGCTACCACAAAGGCCTTGCGCTTCTCACAAACTTTTTCACAAACATTTTCTTCAATTTCTTTTAGACCAATACCCACACGCTCCATAGCCTCGATGGGTGAAATCTTTGTCACCTGAGCGGGGGGCTCACGTTCGATTAAATTTTCCAGGGCCAAGTCCGCTGGCGTTAGTATTTGCTTTTCTATCTCCACTACATCAGGTTCCTCATCATCTTCGTGGGGCTGCCGCTTCTGCACAGTAAACGGAATGGCCGACACCACTGTATTACAGATCTTATCCTCAATGCTCTGCACCACCTCTCGTACCACTGGTATGTTATCGCCTATATATTTGGGGCCCACAGCGGTTTGCTTGCCGATTGACTCCAATGATTCTATGCTGCCACTGCTTTCCAAACGCATTATCTTGCGTCTGACATCGCCACAGCCTATAATTTGCTCTAAATACTCCCTATCACTGGCACTTTTCTCTGTATCTGCACCTACATCTACTGCTGGGTGATCCTTCGGCTCCTTCTTTAGCCGATCTTGCTCTGGAATTGTTAAGTCTATTTTGGTGCGATCTATTTGTGCTGTCAGGATCGTCGATGTTGTCGTCTTCGGTGTTTGACTACTTGTACTCATTTCTGTAAATGAGGTAGTGTCTTGTGAGTACAATTTCTGAACATCGGGGAAAGCTACCACACTATGAAGCAGCTTATCAGGTTCATCTGTTCTTGTAAAGGTTTCGGGTTTTACATTATGAACACTGAAGTGCTCTGTTTGAGGCATTCCAGGGATAGCAGAATAGGGTTTGGTTAGAAGTAGAGTGGAGTAGAAAACATGGCAATATAAACACAGTTAACACCAATTAAAAATCAAACCATTGGTTCTTTATGGTGGGTTAGTCTATGTACACAGTGCAAATAATTTGCCGACATACATACATACTGAGAGGTATGAACATATATTCTCACTACAAGCTTTGCGCCAAAAACCCAGCAGCAGGCACAAACATGCACTTAATGCTTATGCTTTAGTATTTAGTTCGGAAGCGAAATCAAAATATCTGTTCCGCATTAAACAGATGCCAGATGGAGCTTAGCTGAACAAATCCAGCAATGAGCTGGGCTAAGCTGAACTGAGCTTCATTCACATATATACAAATAGATGCTGCATATGAGGTCGTGTCCATTTCATTTTGGATGCTGCATAAAATTCAATGCTTCCATTTAAATATTTGAGGCGAGCTGATTACGTTTGCATAGATTAGTTTGGCAAATATTTAAGCAAAGTTTATGTTGATTATGAAATCAATAAGCAAAATAGCTATTGTTGACAGGTTAAGAACAAACCACGACATCATATGTCACATACTCGTACGATATTTAATGCGATCTATAAAAAAACAATTACATTAAGAAGCGCGCTGGGTTGGTGGTTCTGGGTGCAAACAAATCATATAATGATTATACTGTGTGGCTAATATAATTGTTGCTGTTGGTTATAAAATTCGCAAATAATGACAAAGAGTACGAATACGAGTTTGATATGCTATATACTATAAAAGATGCTACAGTGGATCTGGATGTGACTCGACTTAACATTCAGTTACATTACACTATTATCGTTATATATATGGTAAGTATATGCTTTTTCGTTAAGGATTGATAAAGTTTCGAAAAGCAACAGAATATATAATTATTTGCGAAAAACCAAATCAAACATAAACATTGCAAACTGAAAGCCATGGTGGTTCATTGGAGCGTTTTTCGATGAATCCTCATATGGAGATCGAAAGACGGCTGGTGGAAACCCAGCTCCTTGCTGATCCCAATACGGGTGAAGTTTCAATTTGGTTTGTTTTAATTTCAGAAATCCAAAAGTATGCCAAAAGTGTTTATCTTAATGAAAAAAATCTTAGTAATTGCTAAACGAATGTTAATATAAGTAGTATTGTAGATAATATGCTTTGTCTTATCCATAGATCACATCTATTTGCCAATTGAGTACGAGTATAGTAAACAAGGTTATTACATAGTTTAAACACAAATCGAATTATTTAAATTGATGCTTGCAGTTGTTAATTGAAAACCATAAACTCAATTGCTTAAATATTTGTTTAAAATTGCAAACGTAATTGTTATACCATGAGAGTTAAGAAGACAACAATGAGAGATACCTATCAGAAAACGATACCCATCAAAAATGTATAAACTTAGGTCCGGAAACTGTGGCAACTTTTCAAATTGATTGTAATTATACGTGATAACTTACCATTAAAATACTATAGACTTAAAATTACTTTAGTGTTCAATTAAGTTTATTTAAATAGTTTATTCCGTTGCGCATTGAATGAACCACAATTACAAGTCAACACTTTTATAGTTCACTTCTTACAATTTATAGTCGTTATGTTTAAATAAATTATTTTTAAAACACAATATAACACAATATAAGTAGTCGCAACTTTGACTAGGGAGACACAAATCTGTTTAAATTGCGGATCGCGCGTACTTGGGAAATTCAAAATCGTGACTAAATCTGCACGAAAAGCGCGACTATGGCTATACTAAAAGAATGTCAGAAGCAAATTAAATTAAGTATACGCCACGGCTCGGCTTTCGCCAGCTGCTGCCCCCTGAACCTATGACACAACTGCGCAAGGTATATTTCTCACCACCCTGCGGTGGATTGAACAGACGAAAATTATATAAAGAACTACTGGGATTGCTATTAACTGTGGACTCCCTGCCGAGTGCTAATGGACTAATAGGCTTTCTCCGGTCAACAGGAAACCATCCCCGATCGGAAAGTCTTTCGAGAATAAGTTAAAGTTATTAACGCAAAATCGATTCGTGGTTCGATCTATCGATTGCCTGGCCCACTGACACTGACACTACCGAATGTTATGCATTCACCGCGCAGAAAGGCGCCAGACAAACAATTAGCCATGCTTCTACGACCTTTCGTCAGTGTTAACGTAATTGGATTATCTGCCAACTTAGTGGCATTCGCTTTGGTGCAAGTAAGTATCTGCGAGATTTCGTGGTCACATTCATTCAATGCGCTTCAGTTTGACGTTTGTTATGTTAGGATTGGAAAATCCCTTGTTAATTTTACTTTATGGTACATTTATTGCCGCACTTACAGATTTTTTTGATTAAGATACACACACTAGCAGTTTGCCGTTCGAGTATATAGATACAGTTTAACTAACTAACAGTTCTTAGATCGCAATCGTTTAATGGTTGAATGGTACTTTGCATACAAAAAGCCTTTGGACTTAAATCAAGACGAAATGTAGAGGAACAAAGAGTAGTGGGATAAACGAAATGGGACAAAACTGAAAAACAGTTCAAGAAACACTACGGATTGTGGCAAAGTTGAAATAAAAATGTAAGTTAAAAGAAGGGGTGTACAAAAATAATGGTACAGATTTATATTCTTTTACCGAAAAAGGCAAAACTAAAAAATATATAAATTAAGTTTACATAACAGTTACAAATTGCATAGAAATTGAGCATAGAGGCAGCCACCCATTTCATGATTCGCACTTACCAATTTTGGTAATGGCAGAGACGCGTTCAAAAGTGGACTCTGTGGTCGTATGCAGTGTGGTCACAGTGTCGGCCAGGTAATCTGTGTTGAAATTGGTTGTACACTCAAAGAATTGCGAGTAATCCATAGTATTAACAACATACCACGTTCCAAACTTATTAGTTCGGGTTCCTCGCTCTGCTTGTCGGTTTTGGTGTCACTCGGTGTTGGTGGAGGAGTCTGGGAGTGTGGAATTTCGCTCTCTAGAGAAGTATAAAAAAAATAACAGTGATTAGATTTGGTAAGTAATGGAGATGACTCAAGAATATATTACCTATTTTCTTGAGCTCATCAGATATTTCAATTACGCCCACGCTCATCTTCTTGGTGATCGTTTCTCCCACCGATTTGCAGAACTCAGCATCCGTCAGCGACTTCCGTGGTTCCGCGGACACTGGAGCAATAAGTCCCTCCTCTTTGATTAAATCTGTTAGTGGAGCAGTGGCTTGCTTGCCAAAGGTGTCACTGTCATATTCACTTGTCAGATGTTGGGGCACTTGAGTTACCACAGTGGTGGTCAGCTTGGGTGTGTGGAAAGGTGATGCATCCCCAACTGGGGCCGCTGACTCAATGCCATCAATCAGTTCTTCTTTAAGCTTGGACTCACTGCCTATGACCTTTGACGGCAGCTGCGTCTGCTTTTCCATATTTAGGAAATCTTCAGTGAGCTGACGCTCGTTCCGTGGTTTTTGCTCTTTAGGCTGTTCCACTAGTCGTTCAGCAGTCTTTGTCACCTCCTCAACCAGGTTCTTTGCAGGTTCGGAAACGAGCTGAGTTTGCTGTTCCATGCTCAAGAAATCAGCGGTTAATTGTCGCTCATTCAGGGGTTTGTTTTCAGTGGCCTGTACAGGCTCAGTCTCAGTCAGAGGCTTTTTAGTTTCTTCTATTATGGTTTTCCTGGGCTCTACCACAGGTATCCTACTGGCTAGCGGTAAGGATTTCACAGTGACTATTGAATCCGGTTCCGATGCACTTGTGGATGTCAAACTGGATTCAAGGAGCTTCTCAGAGGTTTGCGGAATGGTTTGTAATTGGCTTTGCTGCTCCATGCTGAGGAAATCGTGGGTGAGCTTGCGGGCTTCGGCGGTTGTGATTTGCTCTTCGATCTTGTGGAATGTTTCAACTACTTCGGCCACCTTTTCCGCCACTATATCCTCCTTTGGTTGAACATGAGTTAGGGACTTATCTTCAATCTTGACTAACTCATCCACTTTGCTGGAAATTTCCGACGTTTTCTCTGACTTCGTGACCTTCTCCTCGATCTTGTGGAATGTGTCAATCAGCTCGGAGACCTTTTCGGTAAGAGTCTCAGCTTTAGCAATCATTTCTGGGTGTTCAACGGGCTTGTCCTTTAGCTGTTCAGTTCCCAGACCTGCTGTCATAATGGTAGCTGTAGAGGCGACAACATCATCCAAGATCTTTGATTCTTGCTTATCCATTGATTTTCTCGGCTCCACTTTGGGTATCTTACTGGCTGCTGCGGCTGCCTTTGGTTCGGCAGCCAGTTTTTCGCCCTGCAGAAAGTCTAGAGTCATTTTCCGAGCATCCACTTCACCAATCTTTTGAGCTTCGGCTGGTGTTGTCTTGACTGGTATCTTTGAGACAGGTTTCTCAGATTTGGTCTCAGCCACCGAATCAATATCGGACTCAACTGTAGCACGTGGAGCTGCGGTAAGTTTCATCGAGTCCTCGCTCGGCTTGCGTGTAAACTTAGGGATCTGGGTCTTGGGTTCGCCACCATGGAAGTCATACTTGACCTTCTTGGCTTCGAATTCGGCAATTGTCTCCTCTATACTTGAGCTTTCAATGATTTGGACAGATTTCGATTGCTCCTGGGTCACTGTCTTGGTATCCTCCAGGTGTTTAATCGTATCGCTGACCCTTGTTGATTCGGCAGACGCCTGAGTGGGCAAGGTTGCTATAGATTTCACGGGTTTGCTGGTCTCGAAGGAGCTTATTATGTTCTCAACCTTCTTGCTGGCGATTTCGGTCACCTCGCTGATAACTTGCTGCACCTCTTTTACTGTTTCCTGAGGCATTGAAGCCAGGGGACTGGTCTTCTCCTTGACCTCTTCAACAAACTTCTCGTGAACCGTTGCGGTGGTGGAAGTAGCAGGGAGTTGGCTGCGCTTTTCGATCTCCAGGAAATCCTCTGTGATGTCCCGAGCTTCTTGGCGGGTTATGGTGGTCACCCGACTGAAGGTGACTCCATCTTTCTCCTTCTTTTCGGCAGCACTGATGTCCTGGACAATTTTATCAGTCTGGTCTGGAGATGATGGCTGGTCTTCCTCCTCCGAGCTGCGGCCGGATGTCTTGAACTTGTGCGTCAGTTCTTTGTCGAACTCGCTCTTGCTGACTTCGGTTGAGTCCATCTTGCCCATCTTCATCTTGATGACTTGATCGGGTACTGTAGTTGTCTTGATGATCACATTGTCGGCGGGCAGTTGCATCAGTATCTCGGACTCGTGATGTGCCTTTTTGTCCTCGATAAGACTCTTCCGCTTGATTTCGGTTATTTCGCGGTTTATCTCTCTCTTTTGCGTCGAGGCAGGAATGGATCGCTCTACGGACAGTCGTTTGACAATCTTCTCACGGCGCTCGGCCACTGTTCGCTTAGCAGCTTCCTCATCGGATTCGGATTCCTCGACTTCCTTCTCCTCGGCAGAGTATTTGACTTCCTCGCGTTCGTTGATTTGTTGGATTCGCTTGCCTGAGGGAAGAGCTTAAAGGGTTATTCAATGGGAAGATGTTCAAAACCCGTTTGCAATTCGGCTCAAGAAGATTCAAAAATGACACATTATTTTTGGATCTTATTTAGCTCACCGGCCATTTAATTTTCAAACTTTTACTTACTTTCTTTGCGAACCAGCTCCTCCACGGATTCCGAGTTTTTCATGATATCCGTGTCGTCAAACTCTCGTGAATGCGATAGTCGTCCACTCTTGCACTTTTTCATAATATCGTCTCGTCCTATGTCCTTAAGAGCTGTTTCCAGTGACAGGATATCGTAGTTGGGCTTGTCCTTATACAGGCGAATCATGCTCTGCGCCTGCCTGGCAATACTGTCGGTGTTTTGGTTGATAATCTCGTCAATTTCCTCCGCATTAATGCCAATTTCAGGTGCCAGCTGAATCCAATCTTTACCCAACAGGTTTGAGAGATCAACGATGCGGATGTCGCCAATGTAATGGTCATTTTGATGTTTGCTCAAACTGAACATTGAGGTCCTGTAGGCGGAGGTGACACGGTCCGAGAAAGCTGTAGTTGAGTCCGGAATTACAGCCTCCGGAAGTACGATGTTCAGTATGCAAATGGGCTGTTGCGGGGGCTCACCCTTGGCCACCTTCGGCTCTTTCATGAACAGTGTGCGCCCCACTATATCAGCATGCTGGTCTTTGACACGCACAGTGAAGGGCAGACGGTTCTCTCGGAAGGCCTTGAATTGCAGCTGCAACTGGTCGCCCGATTTGGTAACGGGTACCAGGTTGCCGGCCATCTCGATGTACTGCGGCTTGCCCTCAAGGACCTCCACATCGCGGCTCTTGGCCACTTCCGTGTAGAGTTCGTGCTTCTCGAGTGTTTTATCCTCGCGGTCGTCGGTCATGCAGAAGACGCGGAGACGGGCCTCGAAAGGTTCGATCTTCTTGGCGAACACCACAAACTTGGCAATGAACGGCACGTGAATTACTTCCCTGGATTCAGAGAATAATATGTTAAATATGATTCTTGTAAAATTACCAGTTCAACCACTCACTTGTACAGCTCGGTGGCCATTTTGGTGGCGTCCGAAATATTGCGGCAATCCATCAGCCAGAATCGAGCAGATACAGTGGTCGTAAAGGAGACACAGTCGTTGACAAAAGTCAGAGGCGTGGAACCGGTAACATCCTCCCATTGAGCACGGGATGGTCCACCTGGCGATGGATTAGTAGATGGAAGACGGAAAAAGGGAAACGTTCAATTACGAGACTGATGGGTTGCACAATGGGCTTTACGTATAGACTACATATATGTATGTAAAAACTCTTGAAAAACTCTACTGTTGTCTCATTAGCAGATTAATATTGAATTGAATTCCAAAATTGTTAAACTAATTTCACAAACGAAACCATAAACTCAACACAAAACTTGTTCAGAGAGAATTACGATTGTGTGTGTTAATTACAAAGCAATTAGATGGAATAGGATTGAAAAGTATTATTGTATATAGTTTATGGTATAGTATTAAAATCGTATTTAGCGATAAGTATTAGGAATATTAAGTATCTTGTTGTTATCTGTGGCATGGCATGAATGTAGTGAGATATGTGGCGTCTTTTGACTGTAGAGAGTGATGTGTTTTGTGGAGTGTGTGAGTCGATGATTTGATGAGGCACTTTGATTTCAAGCATATATTTGGTTAATTTGGTTGGGCTGTAGCATTTACAGAGGTACGAGTACTAAGGTACTTGTTGCGCTTACTCGAAGCCATTTTGAAATAACATGCTTAATATTTTAGAAAAACGTATTTTTTGGTTTCTCTTGAATGAAAAATAAGTGAGCGCGTCACGTGTTTCTTGTTGTAAATGTGTTCAAATCAACGGAAATCCCAAAGAAACAGAATCAACAAATCAAAAACCAAATCATAAAAACATAAGCTAAACTAAATCAGAATGTTAAAAATATTCGGAAACTTGTAAATACATTTTATATGTTTAAATATTTGTATGGTACATTAACAAAACACCGTTTGTAATAGGATTTATTGAGCTTGCCATAGCATTCGATTGACTATAGTTTCTTCCTCAATAGTTGACATTTATTCGGTTTCAGAAAAGTTCTCTTTGGTGCCACAAACAGTAGAAATTCAAAATTGATCATTCACATTTGGTTTATTTTTTGGAAAACAGTCGATGTACATAATACTATTCTGCTTTGTTTTATACGAAATAATAGAAACCAACACAAAAGTTAAAAGCTCAATAAACAACAGATAAATAAACTACAATCAGGTGCACGGCATTCCAACCGAAAAATGTATACATATAAAACATAAAGCTTGAGAGCCTTAACAAGTATGATATGTAATTATGGAACAAGAATAAGAGTCGAATTTGTAATTGAAACAACTGAAAACATTAAAGTATTCTGGCACAATCTGGTGGCCTTGCTTTAAATACGGTTTCAATGGCCCAAAGAGCAACTTTAGTTGGCGTTTAGTTTAGCTTACAAAACCTACAAACTCTTTAATGAAATTGTGCAGTTTAGTTATATATATTTGGCAATAAACCGCGTGCAGTCAGAAAATCGCTTAGGTAGTTCATATTATTGTATGTTAGAGGGGGAGAGGTTAGACAGAGAGAAAGAGAAGGCGGCAAAGACATTTGCATGACAAGCTTAAGGTTCGTAAAGGTAAATTGGAAAGTTTGCTTACTTCAAAAACTAAGCTGCTTTGAGCTGGAAGCATTATCTTGGCTTAGAGAACATTGCCAATCGAGTGGGGACTTGAGCAGGCCCCACCAAACAGAAAGTTAGCCCTGAGCATCTGGTACAGTAAACCCAAAGACGCAGCGCAACCCGAATTTAAGCAAAGAATTAAGAAAAACGGAGGAAATTATCGGGGCAACTGAAAAACAAATAACTCAACGAAACTTAGAAAAAACAAGGACTTAAGGCATAGAAGTTGAAAAAATTAATTGTTTGAAATATTTGCAATAGTTTCTTAACAAGAGAATTTATCATAAACAAAATATGCAGAATTTTCAAATTTTTTTTGTCAAATTTTATTCTTGGAATTTGTTGTTTGCCTTATTTTGCAACACAATAATATTATCATTTGTATTACTATTTTTTTGTTTTTTATATTTGGCATAGAACGAAACAACTAAATATGAACAAATAACGATTTTATTTTGTAAACAGTTTCAATTTGAAACTTCATACATGTTTGTGAATTTCTGAATTTTTGTATTATTTATTTTAGTATTTGTGACGTTTGAGTCAGTTTTAGTTACCTTTTAGAGACCTTTTCCGAAACACACCTTCAATGGATTGAGAAAACAGAACGGAATGCGTGCACACGTATGCAATGACGCATTAGTACGAAATTATAGAACAATTAAATAGGTTTTCGATCAAGAATTGAATTGAAGTTTGTTTTGTTTGGGTTTGTTTTTGCTCAACACGAAATCGAAATACAAATCGAAATCATTGAAAATCATCAGAACGAACTAAAGCGGTAACGAACGCAAATCGAACAAAGGGTAACGGAACGAACACCGTTTTTGGCACAATGAAGAGACACACTGAACATGACACTGATCTGGGTTTGGATCGAGTAAAAGTACGAGATATAGGTGTGGAGTATCTGTATCTGTTTCTGTGGCTGTATCTTTTTCTGTGTTGTGTGTGGGTGTCATTGATGTATGAGCGTATCGGAGGTGAGGGTGGCAAATGCTCTACAACTGGCTAGAGTTCCAAAGGAGTTACGATAGGATACGATACGATATGATGCGGGATACTGCCGGAACAACCCGTTCGAACAACTTATGTTTACGCATCTACTACACAGACACAAGCACAATGTTTCAGATCGGATCGGATGGGACCTACCAACGAATGCCTTTCAATTCAATTTCATTATCATTACAATTTCAATGTGGGATGTCTCCCCAGAGTTTTTTACTTTAAATTTGTTCAATTCCACTGTACATGTTGAATATAGTATATATATATATGGCACGTATGGTATATATAAAGTACTACGTTTTAGCACATGAGATACTGTATTCTAAATGTTATAGACAACCAAAATGAACAACGGAAGCACGTACAAAACTCAACTCAACGAAAGCATATATAGTTACACTCAAGAAATCATAAACAGGAATGAAGTAAATGAAGGCCTGAGACAGAGGTATATATAGAGATATAGAGAGGAAGAGGAAGGGGGGGGTATCAAGTAGGATCAGAAATACTCAAAAAACATCAACTAACGTAATGAAAATGTAAGTGGATATACTCGTAATAGTCATAATGGTAATTAGTAATTGGTATTTGGTAATTGGTAATAATAACTGCTTGGATCACATCGTACAAACAACACAAAAACCCGCTCTTAGCGGGCGGTTCGTTAGTGGATCGGCTTCAACTTACCTGTAATCGAGCAGAGCAGTCGCAGGGTGGGCGTGTTGCCCGAGTACTGATTGATCATCCCCTGGCTGTGAGCCTTGGGGGCGGGCATGCTGAGGGTGATGGCCTTGTGGAATTTCCGGCGACGCGGCTCGACCGTAACAATGGGCGATACGGCCACGCCGCGGCCCAAAAGCTTGGCGGTGAGATCGGGATCCACCGGCTGGGCCTAGAACGAGTGTAACGGATTTCGATTGGCGCTATAGACAAAAATCGATTTACCGGCCACGCTTACACGCTTACATTACACAGTCATGAGGTGAACCAAAAGGAAACTTAATCAAAACTGACAAACAAAAGTATATATACGAAATATGCGCTTCTTGTCGGTCATACGGAAACGAATAAAACAAATAAAATGAAATGAGTCTTGGGCTAAATGGTGAACATTCTCGATTCGATTACACTTTGTTTACAGTTTTTGTGTTTCTGTACAATGCTTATTGGTTGGATGTTTATGCATATCGTTTTCATGGTTGGTTGGTTGTATTGAGCAATTGCATGTTTCAGTTAAATTACAGCATAAGTTAACTACAAACGATAACAATGTTCAAGCCCATTTATGTCCCAATAAATTTAGTTATCAAAAAAACTCAGTCTACAACTGAAGAACTAGAAAGGTAACGCAAAACTTTATACAATGTACAAAACACAAAGGAAAATAAACATTTTTATATGTAGAAAGAAGTTTACAGATATCAGATAAATGCAAATAAAACGTGCGAAACTTTTAACTCATGAGTGGGGCCATTATAAAATCGTTTTTTGCTTACGGCATGGCTAAAATGTTACAACTTCGTTAGGCACTCCAAACCGGACCCAATTGTAACTCTCTGTGAAAATAATTTCACCTCTTCTCATTTTTTTTTTGAAAAAGCAATTGAATGAAAAAGTAATCAAATGAAAAGTAATTAAAACATTTTCATTGGCATAAATTTTTTTTCGAACTAAATTTATTGGGTAGTACTGCATTTCAGAGAACTTGTAAGTATAATCTTATGCATAAGTAGATAATAATCATAAATAATGTATGAATAGTTAAGAGTAGTTAGCATATAGGTAAATGTATCATAATATTCGATATAAGATATTCATATGTCTTATTAAGTTGGACAATTGTTTTTGCTCTTGCTGTTTATAAGCTTCACGAAGTTCTGCGATCTGACAGACTTCACTTGATCCATGATCAAATTGAATCGGTTCATATAATTGTATTATTGTATGTCACTGTTTTTCATAGCATTTCTGACTAGGTTAGCATGGGGATACCGATTAAACAATGGCTCCATAAGCTTAGTGCCGTAAAGTTATTAAGTGTGTCTCAATATAATCAAACAAAGTGCACATATTTCATACGAGTAATAACATTTGGAAAATTCAACTCCAAAGCTCGTTTACAATGGTTTAGGTTCGCGGTAATCATTCCATTCTGACCACTGTAAATTAACTTTGCAATTTTGTATCTACCATACTTCGCTACACAGGTTTAAGGGCGGGTTAACATAGATGGTTATTAGTTACTGGTTATAGGAGTACTGGTTATAAATGCTCATTTTCATAATGGAAAACCTTTTTTGCATTCTTTTTTGATATTCTTTGGGGAAGTTGTAGATTAAATGCTCTAGTATATATGCTGACCGATAAATAATTTGAATTTCTCTTTTGTTTAAGTACAGATTTAAGTGGCCTGTTTGGTTTACCAGATGAGCGAGAAGCGCTTCTTCTTGGGCACATGATTGACGCTTATTTTGCGCAATTTCTCAGGCGCAACGCCCTTGCGCGGTTTAAAGAGGTTTACCTGTAAGCCAACTTTGATCTTCTTGGTGAGGGCTCCCTGTGGGAAGACGGCCTGCACCTGCGGCACCACTGTGCTGGACACCATGCCGCCCTCGGGCCCAATGGCATGTACCTCCTGGCGTATACGCGATACCACGGCGAAGTACTGAGGGAAGTCGTAGGTGACAAAGCGGCAGACATGGTTGCCAGCCTGCTCCTCCAGTTGGGCAATTTCTGCAACAAAGAGCTCCAGTTAAAGACCAGCAAAAGGCTGAGAACACCCCTACCCCCCACTCACCCTCTGGCTCGAAACACTGCTGCAGGACATCGTGGATTATCTCCTCGGAGTTATCGATGGTGTGCTCCCGCCATGTTTCACCATTGTCCGAGCGCAGGATAATGATCTCGCGCTCCTTGCCACGCAGCGAGGCGAAATGTGGCACCTCCATGACCACCGGCCCAATGAACTTGGTGGAGCATGGGCCCAGTTCCAGGACACGACTGGCCAGAGCCTCGCCCTCCATCAGTTGAGGGGGATGCATGGTGCGCTGCGGCTTCACATAGCGACAGGTGACCCTAGTTGGCTGACAGGTGGATCGGGAGGGAATGATCATCCGGACGCCACTGTGCCGACAGCCACGCATGGCTCCTCCACGGGCATCGACCAGGAAGGACACCAGGAAGCTCTTCCAGCTCAGTTTGCGGCTGCAGAGAAACCGATAATTAGTTGAGAATGGGACTTGTTACTTGATTCGACTTAAAAAAATAAAATAAATGAACGATAAATAATAAAGCCTCACAACGAAACACACACTTTTAAACGATGTATTATATATATATATAGGATGTACTTATAATTAAACTGAAAATCGTTTATAGTGATGATTTCCAGTCTCAGAAGTAGTTCAAGCTATTTGCTTTTGAAAACAATCCCAGAAGACAATTATACATTTTATCTAGGTATTTCCAAAAGTATTTAGTTAGAAGCTTAGAAATTAAAAAAAAAAAACTTTCATAAAAGATACTTTACTTCCTGTTAAAAATAGGTCATCAATTTTTGAAAAGAAATTACTTATTTTAAAAATTTGATGAGATTGATATATACATTTGCTCTTTAATTTATTAATCATAGTTAAAATAAATATTTTGTAGATAAGTTTTCAAAACTCCGGAGCACATGAAAATTTAATCATAGTATCAATAAATCACAAGGAATTAAAATGAAATGGTATGGCACACAACAGAAACTCACCCCACATGCGGCGGCTCATCGTGTCCAGATCCATTGGCAATGTACACCCCATCCACGGTGGCCTTGGGCGAACTGCCGTAGACCTGGGCCTTGTGCGGACTGATCACCTCCTCACCGATGGTGGGCGGCACTCCAGAGGCATACTCGGTGCTCTGGGTCATCCGGTTGGAGTCCATGCGCTCATCACGGGTCACATCGATCGGGAGCGAGTCGTCGCCTAGGGATTTCATTTCATCAACGGTCAAATAGCGGTATGGTTGGTCTGATAGCATATTGTCTTCGCCTAGAGTTTTGATTCGATTTCGATGCGTTTCGATGGCATTCCGCAGCATTTGCATTTTGTTTAAGCACAAGACAGTCCAATTGGCCATATAGCGTTGTAGTTGTTGTTATTATTTTGAATTATTGTTGTTGTTTGGTGGTATTGTTGTTGTTAAAGTGTTGGAATTGTTGTTGGTTGGTTTGTTGGTTGGTTGGTATTGTTGAATTGCAGATGAGAGCGCAGTGCATTGAAAGTAGAAGAATGCAAATGAGTTTGATTTTAGTTACAAAATTTCGTAAGTTTTACATGCTTCCTTTTATAATCGGTATAATAAATATATATATAAGGGTGATATAAAGCTAGCATGACCATTAAATAGGAGCATATAACATGGATACGATAATAGTGGTGGTATAGATAAAGACACAGAGGAGTACATTTTTTCATGCCGCGACTTCAAGCAAATTCTGGTTCAAATTATCTCAGCCCAAACTCTGACAACCCAGACAAAAGTCTCTATGTTTCTGAAAGCTAATTAGACTATTTAAACGCTTCAAAGAACTATTTGATGGACTTGAGTTATATCGAATTTTTGTTTAGACTCCTAACTAATTTTTTTTCTAAAATCTTTTCGAAAAACCTTGTATTTTAATATACGGCTATGGTTTATAATTTTATTCATATTTCCTGCTAAAAAGGGTTGCGCTGACTTATATAGATTCGGAGTCAAAATTTTTAAAAACAAATATTGCAATATATCATTTTCTCCTATTAATTAATATTGCTCATTAATTTTTAAAGTTTAAGCAAAGTTTAGAGTCTCCACTCCATTGCCCAATTACAACGTCAAGAAAATAGTTTACATTTATACATTTCAGGCCCATATAAAGTGCCAGTAGAACGCCAAACTTTATTATGGACATTTCATTAAGCCAATTTTGTTCCAATCGCAGCCAATTAGTGCACTTGATAACGGCCAGCACTTAAGATAGGAATACGAATACGAGTATACGGATACGGTTACGGATACGGATACGGATAGGGGGTTTCCAAGTGGCCCTGGGCACTTACTGGAGACACAGAGTTTGTCGCCCTGGTAGTACGGCAGATAGATCGGGCCAATGCCGTACTCGTAGCCAGCGTCCAGTTGCCAGTTAGTGTCACCTGACACACACATGAAAGAGCGGGGATTCACTTAGGACTATCGTAATCTATATGTACTATGTAATCTATGGGTGGTGCTCAGTGTCTGTGTGCTGGCTGACTAACTGGGCAGTGATCTTGTGATCTTATGATTTTGTGGCTTATGGTTAGGGTTTTTGGATGGGTGTGTAAGTGGGGTATACGTACCGCCCTCTTCCTCGGAGTCGGACATGAAGGACTCGTGCATGGCCTCTGGAGCCACCACACGGTACTTCTCCTCGGTTTGGGCCGGAGCCGTGGCGGCCTCGTCCTCCTTGGTGATGGTCTTCAGCGAGTCGAGGACACTGATGTAGCCCAATTTGCGGGCAATGTGCAACGGTGTCTGCCCATTGACCGTCTGGGCATTGGCATTGGCCTTGTGCTCCAGCAGGAGGTTCACAATGTGGCAATGACCCTGCTGGGCGGTCTGATGCAGCGGCGTGTACCCAATCGAGGTGGCCGCATCCACATTGGCTCCGTTCTGCAGCAAAAAGCGCACCATGTTGGCCTGTCCGAAGTGCGAGGCCACATGCAAGGGCGTGTAGCCCGCCTTGGTGGCCATGTCGATGTTGGCGCCATTCTTCTCCAGGATTTCGGCCACATTCACGTTGTCCTCCTGGGCACACAGATGCATGGGTGTTAGGCCATTCTTGGCCGGATGGTTGACGGCGGCCTTGTGCTCGATCAGCAGATTGGAGATCTCGGCATGGCCTTCCTGGCTGCTCAAATGGAGTGGCGTGAATCCGGCCTTGCTCTCGGCATTGGCCAGAGCGCCGTATTCCAACAGGGTGGTGGCTATGTCCATCTGGTTCTTCCTGGCCGCAATGTGAAGTGGTGTGTGTCCATTCTTGGCCGTAGCATGTGGACTGGCTCCCTTCTCCAGGAGCAACAACGCCACCTGCTGGTTGTTGTAGTGACAGGCCACATGCAACGGGGTGACTCCATTCTTGCCCTGGGCGTCCACGTCCGCCTCCTTTTGGAGCAGCAACTGGGCCACCTTGATGTGTCCATATTTGGCCGTCAAATGCAGAGGGGTGAATCCCTTCTTGGTGGCGGCATCCAAGGCGGCGCCGTTCTCAATTAGCACAGCGGCCACCTGCAGGAGGTTACAACAAAGTCACACACATGAATACGATTGCCAGGCAATCCCACTGAACTACGTGCCAAAAATCAAATTACCAACATTTTTCGCAACAAATCATAATGTCAAATATGTACTAAAAAAAAAAGAAGAGTTGCAACATTTATTCAAAAACAAAACGCTAAAAAGACAACAACACAAGAGCTAAACAGACAACTCATAATACCGATACAAGTACAAAAACCAAAACCAAAAGGTCGAGTGAAAAACTTAAAGTCAAATGAAAAACTCCTGATGGCGTATCCAAAACAACTGCATCAGGTAAACGGTGTCGATGTGGTCGGTGATCTTTTTCGCAATCAGCTCTTTTACCTCGTCCTGGCCCTCCTTGGCGGCGATATGGAGTGCCGTGTACATGTCCTTGGTGGTGGCGTCCACCTGGGCGCCATGCTGCAGCAGCAGCATCACGATGTCCACGTTTCCCAGCCGCGAGGCGATGTGCAGCGGCGTCTGCTGCTCCCGGGCACGGGCGTCCACCTGGGCGCCATTGCGCAGCAGGATGCGAATGATGTCGGTCTGGAAGAGGTCATTTGGAGTACAAAAGAGCGTTACATTTCTACAGAGGAAAGGGGTATGTCCTTAGATGGTAAGACCGAATTTGTATCTCATATTTGAAGAGTGTTTTATATTTTTGGTGGCTTTTTATTTTATATATCTTTTCCCAGTCGCCTTAACTTATGCTTTCAAAGATCAAGATTAAACCTCGCACATAGATCGAACGGCTAAATGTTTATAATTTTGTACATCTATGTTTCCGATTTCCACTACCCAAATGTATATTTCATAGGAGGACAATTTAAATAAATTTTTTTAATACCCATATTGTAAGAAAGAAAAGATTTGTATATGTTATCATATTTACAAAGAAGTTTATATACTATGATAGTTATAAATAAAGGATAAAATAATATTTGCTGTTTTTATCTTTGTATTACTTGCAATCTATTTATATAACTAGTAAAATTAAAAAAAATAATTGTATATAAATCAAAACTATGTACTTTAAATGCTTTAAATTCAGTAGACTGCCTGCTCATACGCCATCAAAAAAGGTTTCAATTCGTTTAGTTATAAATTTATCTTAAAGAACTCTAATTGTTTTAATTATTAAATCATTAAATCCTGACTCACCTGGTTGGCCCTGGCGGCCAGATGCAGTGGTGTCTCGCCGCGCACAGTGGGCACATCGGGACTGGCATCGTGCTGCAGCAGATAGATGACGATGTTCATGCAGCCCATGAAGGCGGCCACGTGGAGCGGAGTAAGTCCGCTCTCCGTGGTGGCACTTATGCTGGCCCCATGCCGCAGGAGCAGCTCCACCACCTTCAAGCGGTTCTTCTTGCAGGCAATGTGCAGCGGAGTGAATCCATTCAAGGCCCTTGCGTTGGCGTCCGCATTCCGGTCCAGGAGAAGTTTGGCCACCCTCACGTGACCACAGTGGGCGGCCACATGGAGAGCGGTCAGGTAATCCACGGTTACCTCGTCCACGGGAGCACGATGGTACAACAGGATGCGGGCGGCATCCACATGCTCACCCTGGGCGGCCATATGGAGGGGTGCCAATCCGTTTTTGGTCTTGGCGCTGATTGGAGCTCCCCGCTCGAGCAGCATATCCACCACCTGCTCGTGACCCGAACGAGCGGCACAATGGAGCGGAGTGAGTCCGTCCCGGGTCTTTGCCTCGATGTTACCACCCTTCTCCAGCAGCAGCGACACCATATTGGTCTTACCCCACTTGGCGGCCACGTGCAGTGGACTGATGTTGTGCTTCGCCGAGTAGTTCACATCGGCGCCCTTCTGGATGAGCAGGTTGGCGATGTTCTGGTTGCCATAATGAGAGGCGATGTGCAGCGGGGTGAAGCCCGACTTGGAAGTTACGTCCGGATTGTGGTCATTCTGAAAGAGCGAAATTGGATTGAAATTCGTTATAAAGGCCAAATTATTAATTGGATATCGAAAATTAACAAAGTTTTCATTCAACCGAATTTTTAAACTTTGTAAGTTTCAAAACTTATGGAAAAAATCTGTACTTTTAATTTAATTTTTGTTTTAATTTTAAAACTGAGAGTCATAGTTGTACGAATAAATTTTCTTTCTAATAGAATGTTTTTCATTTGCAATAATGATATTAATAATAAAAAAAGCATTTATTTTTGATAATACAATGCTAATAACACTTCAAAAATGTTTAATTAAAAAATCTTATTAAAAGGCAAAGGTAATTCCAACATTGTAATAACCATTACCAAACTTTATGTCTTGTATAAATTGTTTTTAAAAATATTGTAGTCAATGAGCCGCGGCTCACATTTTTTCCATAAGATTAATAATCAATTTCATCTCAGGGATCAGAAATAAATCAATTCCAAATCCTACAGATGAGGATAAAAAAATAATAAACTTATACTCAGAACGAGAAGTCAATAAACAATTGATTGACTAAGCAAAAGCATTGCTTGCAGAATACTCACATCCAGGAGCAGAGTGGCGGCCTTGACATCGTCCTTCTTGGCGGCAATGTGCAGCGCTGGAAGCCTGACCTTTCCCCGGGTGTCGCTCTCGAGGAGCACGGCCACCACCTTGTCGTGTCCCTGCTGCATGGCCACTGCCAGCGGAGTGAAGCCATCCTCGGTGGCCAGACTCTGGTTGGCGCCATTGGACAGAAGCAGACGCACCACCGCATCGTGGTTCTCCTGGGCGGCCATGTAGAGGGGTGTGAATCCGTTCTGGGACTGCACATTTACGGAGGCATTGTGCTCCAGCAGCAGCTTCACCACCTCCTCCTGTCCGGCCAGCGAGGCGATGTGGAGAGCGGTGTTGCCCTTCTTGGTGGCACTGTCCACAATCGCTCCACGACGCAGCAGCTCCGAGACGACGTGAATGTGGCCATCCTTGGAGGCCAGATGGAGGGCATTTAGGCCGTTCTAGGGGGGAAATCATGGGATTAGTTAGGGCATCAATTTGCACTAGAATTTCTTAATGACTCACCGCATTGCTGGTGTTAATGTCAATGTTGTTCTTCAAATGCTCGAGTACTCGCTCCAGATTTCCGGCGCGAGCTGCACGCAGGAAGGAAGTGTTTCCATCGCCCTAAAATAAAAATGTAATTGTTAAGTTAAAATAGAAACTAAACAAGAAAAACTAGATAAGTAATTCTTAGGTTTAACCATTCGATTTTTTTGAGAAGATATCTTATATTTTATAGACAAAATTTCACAAAAAATTTACTTTCAATATAAATCCAAGTACATAAACATTAACCTGAAGTTATCATTTTAAATACAAAATATTTTTATTAATTGTAATTACTTAATAATTAAATTATATAATACCACTTTCGTTTAAATTTTAATTTACTACCAAACCTTTAGTATTACAGTCATTTTTCTGATTTAGTATAAAATCGCTTGAAAAAGGCATTTAAGGTGGAAGACATTGAGCCTTAAGCTGAAAATTCCGTTTATTTTTGCCCAGGTATCAAATGGGGCAAAGGTCAACTAGAAGAAATTGCATGTCGGCTTATCAACCGCAATGCAATATATCTTTGCCAGGTGGAAACCTGCCGAAGAAAACGTTACATCTGCTTTTCATTTAGTTGCGTGTCGGATGCGTATTCATCACCTGACGTGTGGGTGGTCATAAAAGAGGAGGGTTTTATTGATCGTTGCTAGGTTGCGCAACTCCAAGTTTGGTGCCCCGGCAAGTGGAGTGGAATAGGTTTTTATAGTTATTATGCACCTGCTCGTTGCCTCAAGTTCAAACCACGACGGTCAAGGCGAGGGGTCACCGGCGCTTTTCCGGCTTTTGGCGCAGGTGTACGGGTAGTTCGGTCTAATAGCCAACGCCCACCCACTGAAATAAAAAAAAAAAAAAAACCCACCCAACCACACAGCAAAGCTCAGCTGTCGATAGTGGTTTTGTTTATGTTTTTCTACCCCAACGCTCGCCACGGTTTTCGATATCGAAAATGACGTCATGTCGCCTTTTCAAACTGCAACTGGAAGTCGGCAAATCGGAAATTTTCGCACTGGAAGCGAGCGAAACTCGCTGGAGAGTGACCGCAGCTCAGACACCCGCCAGACCCGCTTCCTGAGCGTTAATACCCCTCCATGTCCGCCCACTCCAATGCACCACCCACACCCACATCCGTCCATCCACCCATCCACCCATCCACCGTCGTTTGGCAAACAAGGAAGTGTGTGAAGGATATACACAAGCGGACAAAAAAGAAAACTCATTTCTCATGCCCTGGGCATACATACGAATTCAAAAGGAGCTTGTTTGCCCCGACTGCTTCCTGAACTCTGTTTGCTCGACTGCACATGGAAAATATATTAGCGAGTGTTAATGTTGTTATTGATTTTCGCCATATTGAAGCAGTTTTTACTGCAAGGGAGTAATTGTGTACAAATTTTTAAATTTTCATTAACACAATTTTGGCATTACCATGAAAAAGTTGGAAAAACGTCAATATTTATATTTGTTTTTGGCTCACATAATAATGTTTTAGTACCGAAATGTAATAAAAAAATGTATATGTAACTATACTATTTTCTTATATGTATTCATTTAAATGACTTCAAAATATAGAATATCAATATTAAGTACATATTAACAAACAAAGTATTTGAAAAGCACCAAATAGTAAATAAGTGTTCTATGATTTACTACCATTATTTTGAAATAGCTTTCAAAATATACCTAAACCCATTTTTCTATTAACATTTCATAATTTGCTTTTATTGTTTGATACCAGCATGATTTTTCATATAAATTATAGTTATATTATAGCATAGCTGATGATGACAAACAGAAATTGAGATACATTTCTCTGCCTGTAGGGTGAGGTGATACCCAGACGTGTTCCGAAAGTTCAAAGGTTCTTGGGCTCGGCCTCGCTCCCCGTTTTCGTCATTGTATAACGAGGGGCTCAGCTCGGGCAAATTGAGTGCTCGTCTAAAGGAGTTTCGCCTTGAAGAGTATTTGCTTTGAACTTGTGTGGCCAAGTTGGTACTTGGCAACGAGCTTTACGCCTAATCGAAGTCCGAGTGGCTGTCCTTAGCAGGAGCAACAAACAATCTCTTAGTGCAGCAGCGAGCACTCAGATGGAAAAGTGAGTCATCTATTATGGATTTTTCCCCCATCTTGGCACGAGTGTCGCATGTCATCATTAGGCTTAACCTAAATCTCGATTACCTTACACTGCTGCCAACAATACACGCACGCACCACACCCAGTTCCGATTAAAAGGACAGTGGTGTAGTGATGGTGGTGCCACTGTGAACCACCACCTGGCTCGGATTGCCGTTGGTTAGTACAGCAATTATTTTTAGACCATTGTTTAGGCTTAAATGGGAATCGCCTGCAACGCCCTTAAATTAAGTGGGGTATTTTAATGAAGTGAAAAATCAATAAACTTCGTTGCCAACGAAAATGGTGTTACTACCCTAAAAGTTACCAATAAAATCATAGTTTTATCTCTTGTTACTCCTCGAGAAACCCCTTTTTACCAGATTTTTCCTCAACTTCGCTGCACTTTTTCAGCCAGACAACGAAAAATCGATAATCCGCAAAATGGACGCCAACATGGCTGCCCCACAGAATCTTCATTCTGTGCCCGAAAAAAGAAAAGCTCCACAAAGTGAAAACCGAGATGAAAAATTTGTTTTACCTGAGCTCCATTTTCGGTGACCATTTTTCTAGGATTCTCAATGGGAAAATGTCCGCCTCGAGTTTAAGTCTCCGATTAATTGGTGTAGAGAAATTGTGTAAGCGGCGTATGTCGTCACTGCAGATTAGTCATATTTTTTCACTGGCTCTGGGACTATTATTTGCCGTAAGCTAAAGCGGAAAATTCGCACTGGTCGAGATTTTTGCTCGAGACCTTTTCCTTTTTATACTGAATATTTAATGCACTCGAATCGATTTTTCCTTAGACTTTATGTAAGCTATATGTACACGAGTGCATGGGTGTGCGAGAGGGTGTGTTCGTACAGGCGACCGAGTCGGTTGTGTGCGTGTCAGTGTCGGTGTATGGGTGTGGATGTCTTTGTGTGTATGTGTGTGTCTGATTGGATTCCTGGCTGCTCTCACACAGTCCCTTCTGAATTCACGGATTTCGGGGAGCAGTTTTCGTTTTGCTACCGTTTTCTTCGATGTTCAACTCCAGACTGGATGCGACAAGTAAAAGTCCTGCTCCGAGTGGTTGAAACTTCAACTAGCAGGACTTCGAAGGACCTGCGCACTCGGCCGTTCCAATTGGAAGGCCCACCCCCAAAATCAGAGGGTAGTTGTTCGCCCTCTGGAACCCGGAGTTCGAATGGAAAATGCCAGCGGAAGCCAGAAAAAGAGGCAGGGCCCAGAACCGAAGGGTCTCCCTCAATCCCACACGTGCCCTTTGTTATTGTTGACGTTTTCGTTCCCCAGCACGTGCTTTTAGAAAAAAGAGACCTTTCTTTTATCCCTTAAATTAAATCGCCAAACAATTTTTCACTTTAAATTATCCTCTCTTGCATATTAATCAGTTCACAATTTAATGGCTTGGTTTTTAAGAAATTTGATAACCCTAATGCGTGAAAAATCCAGATTTATTGCTTTCTTTTGCACAGTAACTAGGACATGAATAAATAATCCCTAAAAAAATCAATTCAAATTTATTGTAAGGGAGAGTTTTCCTCCAGGCTACACAATCCATGAAAATCTTCCATTATTCGAGTTTTAAGGCTTGCAAAGCTGGGCATTACAAAATTTTGTATGCACCCTTAAACATGTTTAAATAAACCACTTAAATGTCGCAATATAATTGTATTAATTCATTTAACAATTTTATATACCGTCTTAAAACAAAGTTCGGTAATTTTCTAAACTGATTATTATAAAACTTTTGGATTTCATTTAAAACCGTGAATTTAGGGATTTTGACATATAAGCCTTATTAACTTTACTATTATTAAATTTACTATTTAAACAGAGAAGTTTAGAAATTATACAACCACTTTCAATGTTAAACGATCTTGAATTTGGTTTTGGGCATTCCTGTTTTGCTTAGAGGTAAAGTAAATTTGTCTTGCCAAGCAATAGGAATCCCATACACCACACCCTCAGTCGCAATACAAATATTTACACGAGTTGCAATCATCCCATCATGGGTGTAACTATAACTATCCTAACAAGACCCAAATTAATTTACCCGCCATTGCTCGCACAATAAAATCCGAGGCATTTAATTCCACCGACAGTTTCAGTTAGCACACTACACTAATTAGCTAAGTACACACAAAAAATGATGCGGCACACATGGAAACGGCCCTGTGGTCCTACCCTACCCCTCGATAATCTCCTGGCCCGGAACTGTGTTGACCGAGAGTAAATAAAGGCCGGGCCGAGTGCACACAATCCACAGTTGGTTGACGGCTGATGGATGATGATGGCTATGTTTCCTTCCAGCTGGGGATTAACTTTTGCGCAGACGCACCGCACAACTGGATGTTGTTTACTTCCCGTTTCGAACTGCGTTTCGGATGAGTCCAATTCGAAAATCCCACCCCGAGAATCACCACCCCACCCCTTTGGCACCACATTCAAAGGTCGAAAATCCCAATCGGATGCGTATGCATTCCCGGTCACGTTGTGCCAAGTAAGGCAAAGGCAGTGCCATCAATTTGGGTTCTTAGACAGGCAATCCACCCCTCGGGTGAGATTGAGAGAGAAACCCCTGCTGCCATCAAAAATCCACCCTTTCGAGCGGTTGCATAAAATTGCATTTCAAATTGCATCGTGACCGGGACAAATTGTGCAGTAAATAAAGGAATGAGTGTGCGTGAATCACGTTGCAGGTAATTAAATGGGCTAATGGGGGTGGCAACTTGGTTGGCAAGGTGGCAGCCACATTGTGAATTTAATTAAATAGCTTCCCTTAAGCTCGGCCTTTGTCGCCTGGCCAAACACCGGCCAGTTGTTTGTTTTCTTATCCAACAGCCGGCCGAAGGGGTTTCCTGTTCGCACTTTAAAGCCAAAAGCCCATCGAGTTGGTCTGAGTTTTGGTGGCAGGGTTGGCCCAAACCAAATGGCTTATTCGCATGTCACAAGGCACTCCACCAATCGTTATACACTCTCAATTCCTGGCCATTGTCATTCTTCTATGGCTTAATTAATAATTTAAAGGGGTATTTTGCCTTTGCTCGCATGCAATTGATAGATTTTTAATTACTTTACGTACCCGCAGCCAAGCTTAAGACTCCCCAAAGGGAAATAACCAGGGCATGAGTTTCCAAGTTCTATTTTTTTTTTTTTTATTATTTTGAAGAGGATATGTGATACGAAAATTTAAATAAACTATTGAACCTACATAGTTTAAAGATTTAAATTAATTATTTTGATAATGTTGTGGGACAGTTTTAAAATAAATTTTATTTTCTTAGAGAGTCTTTGTTGAATATTTAGTTAAAAAAGTTTAGAATTAACATAAGAAAGAAAACTAATTTAATGTATGCATTTTAAATATGGGTCTTAAAAATATTTATTAATAATAATAAATTGGTTATAAGGATTTAAAAATGGTGCTCAACTGTTGTCCCAAATTATGGTCCTTTACAATAGATCTCAACAATGTAAGTAAGCAATTGTTTAAGCATTCTGTTCCATAGCCATAATATAAGACAGGAACACTTAAACTTTGAACACTGCTCTTTTTTTAGAGTATCCGTAGTTCGATGCGACAAAACAGTTCTTTAGACCTCCCTGTATTTAGTTAATATTTGTGTTAGCATCGATGTCGAGGTAGCTTGTCGCCAGCAATATGATATTTCAGCCACCCTCCGCGCAGCCCCTTAAAAAACACCGTGGCAGGAATGTTTTGGGGCAATGCCTTAAGTAAATTACCAGCTAGATGAGCTGATTGCCCATAATTCTGACGACCCCAAAAAGCGCAACGCAAATTGGGCACGCCAAAGTCGCCACATCGTGGGTAATTTCTGGGGGAATGGGAGCAGAAAATGGAAACATTTTCACCGTGTTCAGTTCACTGCACCCGAGGGACGAGGGAGTATGGCGAAAAAAGGAGCACGGCACACGCACAAAATTATGAAAAAATGAAAAAAATTCACCGCACGATTCGCTGGCCAATTTGGCTGTCGGATTTGTATTTGTATTTATAGGGCAACCCAAAACAGATGCTTGGCGGGCCATTTTTTTCGGGGAGCTACCAACCGCATTATATAAATTTCAGTTCAAGGTGTCGCGAAACTTACGCCCAAACTCTGCAGCGATGGGAAGCGTTTCTTGAGCGTCTCCATTTGCCCAGATCACCCAGTGTGTCCAAACTTTTGGGGGCCAATAAAATGAAATATATATACGTGTATATATCTAAATATTGTCTAGAGGGCCACGCGCGGCAGCCGCACCGAGCGATTTGAGTCGTTTTCTGAATTATTTTCGAATGCGCCCCGTCGAACTAGAGAGCCTCCGCCGAACAACAAATAGGAATATAATAGACCCGAGAACGGAGACCAGACATCGGACTATGCCAAAGTAAAGAGTGCGGTAAAGAGCGCGTTTAGCTAGAGCGTTTAGCATGCTATGGCTATTTATAAAGGCCAAACAAACCGCGAAGATTGCGAAAAAGAGCTTTTGCTGGTTTGGCGACGCCAGGATTTCTCTGGTCAGAGGAGCCGTCTGAATTTGATGCCTTGGAGATGCCAGGCGCCAGCAGGAGTTGTTAATGCCCCCGCAAGGACAACGGAAGCGCACTGCCGATGACTCACTTGGCATTGTACACAGTCGGTCCAAGGATTACTATTGCGTCATCGCTGGGATGGGTTGCGGTGGTCTGGAGTCTCCGAGATGATGCCTCAAAAAGTTATGATTCATTGTTACACTGAAGGGTGAGTTATCCAACCTTACATGTAAAAGTTTGCAGCTGAGCGCAAGTTGAAGACATTATCACTGTCTAAATAAAGTTAGATGTGAACTCAATCAAACCGGAAGTGTCTTTACCAAGTTCCGAAACTATCTTAGATGTCCTTCAAATTTGACCTATGAACGATACTATTTTACTATTTTCTATTCATCTCAATTTAAAACCAACTTTCATTTAATGAAACAAAAAGACTATGAGTTTAAATTAAAGTCGAAGAATTTACTGTGCATAAAGAAGATCCTTAACGTTTTAGGATGTTAACGTTGTTTTAGAGTATGGAAAAATTTTGGCAACTAATAAAAGTAGCTCTAACTTTTATGACGGCAACCCATTTCTTTGGGCTATTAGGTGTTGACCTCTAATTTCGTCCCCTTGGACTTTTGCTCACGTGACTATCTATATTAGGGGAGGAATAACCCATTCCCGAGTTCCCAATGATGTAATCCTGGGCAGGACAACTCACCGCGCTCTGGTGTCCTGTGGGGCAGTGCTCGTGCTTGTTTGGATGGTGGTGGCCTTGCTGCTTGTGGCTGACGGTTCCATTGGCTCCATCGTGGTGGAAGATCTGCTCATGCTGATGCTGGAAGTACTCGTAGTGACCCACATGATCCGCATGGTGCTCCGTCGGCGGTGAGTGCACCCTTGAGGGCGGGCTGTGGTGTTGCGTCTTGGGGGCGTGACCGGTGGCTGAATGATGCGACTGCTTTTGCGTCGGATGCGAATGGCCACCGGCTGATCCATGATGAGTACCGCTGGTGTGGTGCTGGTGACCATGTACATGGCCACCATGGTGGTGGTTGTGGGTGGGCGGCGAGGGCATGTTGTGCCCAGAGTGGGGCAGATGCGACGAGTGCGGCACACCCACCTGATGTCCGTGGTGGTGGGGCACATGACCTTGGGACGCCTCCATCAGCGTGGGCTGGATGTGGGTCACAAACTGGGCCATCTTGCCGCAACCTTCAACCGCTGCTCCCTTTCTGTGTGTTTTTAGTTTGGTTTGGTTTGGTTTTTGTTTGGTTTGGGCTTAGGTAACACTTGTTTAAATTTTCACAGCTCCGCGAGGGGGTTTTCGGTATGGTATGGCATGGTATGGTATGGTGGGGGTGGCACTCTTCTATATGTATCCCAGAATTGGGAGTGGGGAGCACAGAAAACACATACACTATGGGAGACTTGCGGACGCGATGAGGGCGACGGAGGATTTGGGCTCGGAGCGTGGACAACCTTCTCGCAGGAGCAATGTCAAATGACTGACTGGCTGGCAGGCAGCCTAGAGCCAGCTATCCCAGTTGTGCCTTAGATGCCACAGGACTCTCCACCCGCCGTCGCACCACCCGAACCACTTCGGCTCCCAATCGGGTGCCCGTTCGGCGTCGTCCTGTCGGAAGAGCTTTAACCGGACCCAGTTTTATGCGCCTGGCTGATAAGAGATGCCCCACTCCCTTGGCTGATTGCGATTTTGGATAGCTGCGGATGCTGATTTAATGATGCCTTCGTGCCTGGCCACGTAGAGCTCTGTTTTTTATATCTGGCTGTCAACTGTGTCACGGACTCCCAATTCGTTTCACTGGAGATTGTTGCGGCGGCGGAGGCGGGCAAACACTCTGTGTATATCACTCTGTTATTTTTAACGCAGCCAGAAGAGGAACATGTTTCATCCATTTGTGTCAAGCGCGAAAGTATACCCCAATTTTCAAGGGCCTAACAGGTGGCAGGAGAAACTCTCGACTAGGGTTTACTCAGTACATCTTAAAGAAATAAAATGGTTTAAGAAAGTTAAAGTTTATATTTGTACTAGACAATTACACGATGCAAAATTGAAAAAGTATTAAATTAAGCGACCACCATCACAGGTTTTTTATCTAAGCGCACCAATAAAAGTGTATATGCATTTACTTGAGGCTAGCACATTCGTTTCAGCAAATATAATATTTTTAAAAATAAGTACGTCAAAATTATTTAATATGTTTTGAACAAAAGGATTATAAATTCATACATTTATAAAAATAATTCCGAAAAAGAGTAGTTGTAAATTTAAAAGGTATTTTCTAGTTCTTGCCTAGTTCCTATTGACTTTAATTTTAACGCCTAACATACCCATTATCAATACTCATACCTTCTTTCAAAAATACGTTTCGTTACGTTGCAAACTGAAAGCTTAACCTTACGTGGTTTGTTGAATCTTACGTAGTTTTGTTGTGCTTATAATGTAGGGTATTTATTAGGGTACATTGGTTTCTTAAAAAAGGGGGTGTGTCTCACGTCATACAAATAATGTACTTTTGGTAATACGGAAGAATATAAGAGGAAATTCAAATTTTAAAAGGATCGGCTATTTTTTAATGTATTTAAAATGAATAGCAATACTTAAAATTCATATAACTTTTCTTATATTTTATAAACAATAAATCCGACTACCTGAAGTTTATGATATGTTTTATGGTATTATGTTCATTTTAGAGAGATAAATAATAAATGTATAATTATATAGCATTTGTCAATATAAAGAATGTATAAAATTAAATCAGGAAACAAATAAAAACGTACCTTAAACTCTCTCCGAGCAGCTCTGGAGCGCATATGAAAGTCGAGGGCATCTTCCCTTATCTCTCCCTTCTGCATTTGCGTACATACATTTGTCTGTGGTTGGTTCGTCACCGTGATTCTGTAGCTTTTGCGATGCCAGCGCAACAAAGTCCAATGTCCAAAAGCGTCGCTGCTATATAGACATGTACATATATCGCTATACAGGCACATCGGGCAACTCGTTTGGATCAGTTCGCTGCCAGCCACCAACGAGTTAGCAAGGCGACCTAGTTAAATCTTAGAAAAATACGAAAATAAACCCATAACCCAATGGCGTTCCTTAACAAGGTGAGCATATCGTTTAATTTATACCGCAGAGAAAGTGAAACACACAACGCAAAGATAATTTATAACATATGAAAAATGGATGGTTCAAAGTTCTCTAAGACTAGTGACGACAACAACTGTTGATCGTCCGCGATTAAGGTTTGCACATATATATATATATATATGTATGTACGAGTGGGTTCCGTTTCGTAAACACATTTGTTGTTGCCTGTCTGCCAGCAATCATCTGTACTTTGCCCCCCTCGAAAAATTATTATTAGCGGCGTCTAATGGCGGCTTGTTTTTGCATTCGATTTAAATCGGAATGCGAACTTTATTGGCAGGCCTGATATAACCTTTTAAAATTTTACTTTGTTTGCAAAATCCTAATAAAGGGTGGGTTTCTGATCTCAAACGATCATACAATCAAGTTGTGAGTGGTTATTTAATAAGTTAAACTTAATTCACGGTTAAGTCTTTTTGTAGGTTAAACGTATACTTAATATGACCAAGGCTATGTTTTCTCATTTGAAACAAAATAAAAAAAAACATTTATTTTGGGCGAAAATATAAAAAAAAAGCTACGTTTGTTAGTTGAATTTAAAAAGAAAGTTACAAAATTTTAAATTTTAAATATAATTATAAAAAATAGTACTTTAAACAAAACGTAACCATAACTTAAAAAGTTTTTGCTCAGAAAATATTATTGTATGATGATCTCAAACCAAAAAATTCGAAAATCGTTATATCGTTAATAATAGTTTTGTAATATTTCGTTAATAAATGAATTAATTTGTTTTTAAATTTTTCCTATACCAGCTTGCTGCGCCCGCCTTGCGCCAGCTGGTGTCCCAAAGCCGCGCCTACGCCGCCGTGTCGCACGTCTCCCCCAATGGCACCTCCTTCGCACTCACCGAGGATCAGCTGCAGCTGCAGGAACTGGCCCGCAAGTTCACCCGCGAGGAGATCATCCCAGTGGCCGCCCAGTACGACAAGAGCGGCGAGTATCCGTGGCCCATCATCAAGAAGGCCTGGGAGCTGGGCCTGATGAACAACCACATTCCCGCTGATATTGGAGGCCTGGATCTCGACGTGTTCACCACCTGCTTGTCGGCCGAGGAACTGGCCTACGGCTGCACTGGTATCATGACCGCCCTGGAGGCCAGTGGTCTGGGCGTAAGTTTTACAATTGATCTGCATTCCTCGTCAGATGAGCTAAATCCTTGGTATTTCCTTAGCAAACGCCTGTGATCCTGTCCGGTAACAAGGAACAGAAGAAGAAGTACCTGGGCCGTCTGCTCGAGGAGCCGCTGGTGGCCGCCTACGGTGTCACTGAACCCGGAGCAGGATCCGATGTGTCCGGCATCAAGACGCGTGCCGAGAAGAAGGGCGACGAGTACATCATCAACGGCCAGAAGATGTGGATCACCAACGGTGGCGTGGCCAACTGGTACTTTGTGCTGGCCCGCACCAATCCCGATCCCAAGTGCCCGGCCAGCAAGGCCTTCACCGGATTCATCGTGGAGCGCGACACGCCCGGACTGACGCCCGGTCGCAAGGAGCTGAACATGGGACAGCGTGCCTCCGATACGCGTGGCATCACCTTCGAAGATGTGCGAGTGCCCAAGGAGAACGTGCTGATTGGCGAGGGAGCGGGCTTCAAGATCGCCATGGGCACCTTCGACAAGACCCGTCCTCCAGTGGCCGCCGGAGCCGTTGGCTTGGCCCAGCGTTGCATGGACGAGGCTCTGAAGTATGCGCTGGAACGCAAGACCTTCGGTGTGCCCATCGCTCACCACCAGGCTGTGCAGTTCATGCTGGCCGACATGGCCATCGGCGTGGAGACCTCCCGTCTGGCATGGCGTCTGTCCGCCTGGGAAATCGACCAGGGCAGACGCAACAGCTACTACGCCTCCATTGCCAAGTGCCATGCCGCCGATATGGCCAACAAGATCGCCTCCGATGCCGTCCAGATCTTCGGAGGCAACGGCTTCAACAGCGAGTATCCCGTGGAGAAGCTGATGCGTGATGCCAAGATCTACCAGATCTACGAAGGTACCTCCCAGATCCAGCGTCTCATCATCTCGCGAAACATGTACGAGGCTGCCAAGGGCAATGCCTAAGCCAGTGCCAACCAGGATTCCTCATCATCATTCACCTCAGTTCAGTCGACGTCATGCTCATTACAAAAACACATTCACAAATCCGATTAATAAAGTACAATAATAAGTAATAATTACAAGAAACAAAAATTAGACTTTTTCTTGGTAATTTGAAAGCCATGGCAAATACCTCAAGTTATAGAAACGTCTGAAGAAGTGAGTAAATAGTCTTCAAGTTAACTTTTAGACTCTTCTTCCACTCGAGTCTAGACCATCGCAAATTGTTTCGCCAGCAATCATCCACTGATTAGATAAGTCCAGTGGGTACTAAGTGTTTGTCCTACTTAGGGTCTACAATTTGGTGTACTGGTATCAGCTGAACGATAAGAGGGGTACTCAGATTTGCTATATATGTATGTATGTATGTCATTGTCAAACAATAAAAATAAAACAAAATTAAAATGGCTTATACATGATGAGACAACGCTATTCGGCATCGTTTCCGTCGGCCAAAAGCTTGATGATCCCCTTGTATCGCCTGCCACCTTTCCGCCTGTTCGATGTGGCGGTCAACATCTTGGCCTTGTCGCCGAACTGAAGCTGCCAAATGGACTGAAGGGTCTCCAGGGCACCGGGCATGGAGAACACCTGCTCATCGATGGTTAGGTCAAAGCGGCGGGGCAGCTGCTTTTGTTGTTCGATTTTCCGGAGACGAGTGTCGTCCAGAAGACTTCTGCAATTGGTGGCCAGCAGGGAGCGCAGTTGGGGTAGTTCATCTAGTATATATCCAAGGGCGGTTCCACTTAGCCTAACATTATCACTGATATCCAGCCATTGCAGTTGCTTGGATTTGGCCAAGTGTTGGCTAATTTGGTACAGATGGCCATCGTTTAAACCACAGCCGGCGAGTTCCACCCGCACAAATCGTTCGCATGTGCCACCTTCTAGAAGAGATACCAATCGCTCACCCAAAGCAAATCCACTCGCTTCGTCCAACGGCCAGCGCACAAAGCTAAGAACCAATTGCTCCAGACGACAACTGTTTAGCTTATCTGTCAACTGGCGCACACTTTGCTGGGTGAGTTGATTGAAGCTGATGTCGAAGCTCTTTAGTTGGTTGAATCCCAGGTCGAAGTCCTGCAACTCCGTCAGTTCACACTGAGCAATTTGTAGCGAAGTGAGAGCTCGACCAGCGGGACTGGTGCAAAACCTGTGCAGTATCCTTAGGCTGGCATTTCCCAACGGATTCTGGCTAAGATTTAGCTCCTCCAAAAGCTCTAGGCTATCCATGCCCTGGCCGCAGAGCAGGGCCTCCAAGCCCTGGTAGCCAATCGCATTGCATTGCAGTCGCAACGCCTTGAGTTGGAGCAACGTGGGCAGTGACTTGGCCAACTGTTGACATCCTTCGTTGGCAATGAAGTTTCGGGAGAGATCCAAGACCGTGAGTCGAGCTTGATGAAGAAGGGCTTTGAAAATGGGCTCAGTTTGCTGTGCTCGCATCCACAATCCGGAGAGCTCCAACATTTGAGTGTTTTGCGAACGCTCCAAAAGCAGCTTTACCTTGTTGTCCACGGCTACAAATTAATGAACATGTCTGTAAGTACCTAAGGAATTTGAAGGGAATTTCATAGTACTTACTCTTCTGCACTTGGTGGCACATCTCCTCGTATCGTTGCGAAAGGGGTGAGATTTTCCAATCCAGAATGGTGGCCATTAGCATGTTTTGCTCGAGAGCCACACTCACCGCATCCGTTTCCTCATAGGCGAAGCCATCGGCAGTCTTCAGTCGTAGGAGAGGTGTTAGGCCTGTCAACCTGGAAATTTTAATTGCCATCAGCATTTTAAAGACTTTGTTCTGCCCATGCATACTTGTTATAACGTCTTCCGGCTTCCTCAGCCAGCCAACGTATGTTGATGTCCTGCAATTTCTTGCGTTCGACAGGAACTAATAGCAGCTCATCCTGCACTTTAACTTTAAATGACACAGTAGTGGCCAAAACAGGAGTAGTTTGTACTTTAATAGGCGACGATTTGGCAGGAGAGATGAGCAGTTGAATAGTGCTCGTGGTGGAGTCGGGTTCAATGGTGCGCAGGCTGATCACAGAGGCGGCGCCATCCTGCGACGATTCACTGCCCAGAGGACTCTCGCTTCGGAACCTACTAAAGCCACTGTCCATCAGAGTGGCCTGATGCTTTCTCCGACTTGGAGCAGCAGCTGAACTGCTATGATTGCTACTCATGCTCGAGGAGCGGGAGAGGGTTAGTTTCCGCATTTGCTTCTGCCGCTGCGAATAGTCCATTTCTGGAGTGGCCTGGAGCAAATCCTCCTCCCAGTTTGCAGGCAGGGACAAGGGCGAGTCTTGAAAGTTCTCCTTAGAGGGACGGCTGCAGAGGTCTCCTGAGTTAACGCGCTTGCGTTTGCGTTCCGGACCCACATCATCGATCAGCCAGTTATCCGCATCCACCTCATCATCATTAAGGAAGGCATTGCGTTTCTTCTTGCTTACTGTACTGCTGGTACTGGGGGAATCATCGTTTAGGCGATTGGGTCTTTTAAGCTGCGCCATAACACTTCTGTATTCTTTGCTGGCACTTGGCTGCGTTGAGTTACCGGATTTGTTAGCACCATATTCACTTGCAGATCGGTTGTGCCTCAGCGATGCTCGATTACTCTCTTGAAGGGCCTCCTCTTCATCCTCTTCCTCCGATAGGCTTCCCCGCTCCGACCTGCTAACTATTTTAACATTAGCATTGGTTAAAGGTCGAGCATTACGGTCACTGCAGATGCCAACCTTGGAAAGCGTGCGAAGGAGTCGCTCGCGCAATTGGGCGTACTGCGCCTGCTCTCCATCCACCAGCTGGGCTCCCTGCCGCCACTTGTCCAGACCAGCGATGCAGGTCTCATTGTAGTCCGTCCGCACGGTGGCATCCGCTCCACGGTCCAGCAGAAGTTCAGCCACATCCAGGAATCCATTGGAGCAGGCGTCAAAGAGTGGAGTAATGCCATCACAACTGGTTCCGCCCTTGTCGTTAATGGCAGATGCGGCGCCCTTGTCCAGCAACAGTTCCACAATGTCCCGAAAACCATGGTTGGCGGCCTCATGGAGTGGCAGCCAGCCAGCGTGATCTCGCACATTGACCGTGTGGCCCTGGTCGATGAGACGTCTGACCAGCTCCAGATTGCCCGATATACACGCCTGGTGCAGCTGCGTTTCGCCCTTGTTGTTCTTCTTAATGACTAGGGATCTGTTTCCACGGGTGGTTCTCTGAGGACGTGGTTTCTCGCTCTCATCCAGATCACTGGCGTCCGAGTCGGTGAGCGTGGTCAGGTCGAAATCGTCGTCCCAGTCTGGAGTATTCTGCTGCAAAGCAGTCCCACCATTGACAGCATCCTCATCTTCATCGCCAAGGCTTTCTTCCTGGTCCAAATCAATGCCCTTGGCTGTGGCTTCCGCCTCCAGATTTTCAACCAGAACTTGCATATTGTGCTTTAGCATCAGCCGCCTCAGTCTCACCAGCGCAATCTTCTCCAGATTGTCAGAGGAGCTGCCAGCCTTGTCGGCCTGCCGGAGAGCCTTCTGGTAAACATCATGGACCGTCCAGAAAGGATGCGACTGCTGCTCACATATCTCGGCAATGGTGCAGAGCGTGGTAAACGCCTCCGAGGGAACATCCTGGTTCAACTCAAACTCCTTCCACAGGTACTCCAGGGCCTTGTCAAACTGCCCACTGTCGCGATAGGTCTGATAGAGACTCACGTAGATGGGCACCAGGGTTTTTCCGCTCTCCTGATTCAGTTCGGCGTTCTCCAACATCTTTTGGTAATAGGTCAGAGCTTTCTCATAGTTCATCAGGTGACAGCAACCGTCGCCCAGTTTCTCATACAAGCTCTTCAACTTGCCGTAGTCCAGGGAGCTGGTAAGGACCAGTTCATCCAGCGTCTGGCAGATCTTCACCACAACTCTCAGTTGCTTTTCAATACTCCCCCGATCGTTCTCGTCCGGCGTGTTTTTCTTATAAGCCTTTGTGAGTATCTGCTTGGCGCTAGCAAAGTCGCCCGCCTTAATCAGGATCTCCGCCTTGGTGATCAGCGTCTCGCAGATCTTTTTAACCTTATTGGGCAGTCTTTTGGCCACCTGCAAAGCCATGTTGCAGTACCGTAGCGCCGAAGTTGTGTCGTTCTTTTTGCAATTAAAGAGCAAGCTCATCGAAACGTAGCACAAGTGGGTCAGATCCCACAGTTCGTGCGTTTTGCTGATCTTTATGGCTTTCTCGATGTACTCGATGGACTCTTGGAAAGCCTCCATGTGCTCTTTCACCACGCCGATGTTCAGGTAACAGCGAGCTTGCATATCGAGTTGCTCCACTTTGGAAATTTGACCCGAAAGTCTGAAAAGAACGGAGGCAAAGGTTTAAAATATTGGGAGAACCATATTAAAATGAAAGTTATTTTACTTTTGCTTGAATTAAGCACTTAAGAAAATTTATGCCTAGTTAAATTACAATCTATCTTTATTATAAGATCGCTATTTTCAACTTGACGACATTCTTTCTATGGAGTTATTGTTTTCGAAAGTAACTAAATATTTTAATCTTTTATAAACTTTCGTGTTTTTTTGGATATTTTTAAAATTTATAAAATTAAGAAATGTGTGTGCAAATGATACTTGAACTTAAAACTTTAGAACTTTAATGGACGACAGACGTTCGTCTGTAGAAAGACTGTTATTGAAAAACCAAATTTTTAGAGAGTCCTTTGACCAGCGGGAGTTCATTGGGTCTACTTCATGAGAAACCTACTCTTTGATCAGCAGGAGGCTGCGAATGAAATTCTTCTCCGCCAGCTTGAGCTGCTCCATGGCTCCGGAGGCGGAACTGTCTGCCAGAGTCTGTCCATGGAGCAGGTGCACGCGTCCGAGAGTGGCGTATGCCCGCTGCTCCTCCACCTGGTTCTTCAGGCGCTTGGCAATCTCTGGGGAAGAAGTTTGGGGAGTAAAACAGATGCGCATAGAAGGGAATCCCTCAACTCACTCAGGTAATCGTTAATGTGATCCTTGGCGGCATCGTAGTCGCACAGCAAGGTGTACATCTCGCCCACCATCCGCTTGGCCTTGGCCGTTTCCAGTTCCTTGCCCATGGCGGCATAAATCTGGGCCTCCTGGACATATTCCCTAACCGCCTCGTTGTGTTTTCCCTGTTGATTGTAGAAGTCGCCCAATTGCTTGCAACTGATGGCCACCTGGTCCCGGTTGCCATCGCTGCGCGCCTTCTCCTTGCGCTTCAGGTAGCGCTTCTCATCCATTGGACAGGACACACAAAAAAGACAAGGATAATACAAAATAACAAAAAATCTCAAAACATTATATTATTGTTTTTTTTTTTTTGCAAGTCGGCGCGATCATAGAGGTGGGGAAACATCAGTACCATCATCGGTGTCATCGATGTTTTCAAAATATCGATCCTATCGATGTTTGACAGACACCATCGATATTTACCCATCTTCTCTGTTAGTTCGATGTTTCGCTAACATTTCGCTGTTAGTTCGACGTTTCGCTTACATTTCGCTGTTAGTTCGTCGCCCACTACAGGCAATTCACTCTGGTTAAAATTCTTAACATCTGCTGAAATGCACTCATATGAGAACTGCAACTCTTCGTTGCCGTCAGCAAGAAAAGCAAAGTCAGTCAAACTAGACCGACAAAGGAAAAAATAAGCCACCGTGGAAGCGCTGATCAAGGAACTGAGCGTCTGATTCTGGGACTTGAAAATAAAATTAATTACGGTAACTATATATTGCCAGATCGTTGCTGGATCAACTGGGAGTTTTACGAGCTACTTACATTTATAAAGCATTTAAATGTTATCGATGCTTAGCAGGGCATCGTTGGCATTTTTCCATCTCTACTGATTAGTGTGACCGTCGCACATCACAATGGTATATTGATACCGATCACGTAACGAATGACCTAAACCAATAAAAAAGAACAGTACCTTAGACTAAAACCACGTAATCCAGTGTTAGGAACAGTTTATAGTCGATCCACTATGTAAATAATAAACGCTTTCTGTAATGTAAATGTAACAGAAACACTTTTTTAAACCGCTATCAATATCTTTAAATAAACAAATTAATGCCATGTATTAAAATATTACACAACGAATATCAAAAAAGCAACTAGTATGGACTTGCAGAGAGGCGTTTAAATACATTTTGAGGTGTTGTAGAAATGGTCATATGAAAATTCCTCGCAACAAAAGTAATAAACCTTTTAGTTTGAGCAAAAAATTCTTTTATTTAAAGGATCTTGTTAAAAAAATAGCGAATAAATTTTACGGATAATCATAACAATACTGTGAGTACACCTGATTTTTTTCCTAGTTTAAACTTAAGGGTTGCGTGAGGGGATTCTTCAAATTTAAGTTGTTTTGCGCTTCATTCATGATTCTAATGAAATCTCTATCCATCTAATTTTCTCCGAATTGTCACTAGTTTTACTTGGAAGGGATTTCTGAAACATTCCGGTACAATAACCTTTTTCCAAACCAATTTCGCTGGCGCAGCATATTTGAATAGCTTTGTGGAGGTCAGCCAGTTTGACACCCATACCAATTAAACAGAATCATACGCGCGTGCATACTTTTTATTTATCCTATCTACACTGAAGATAAAGAAATTCAGCAAAAAGTTTTTTTTTTGCTTCGTTGTTGTTATTTTTATCAGTTGTTAAAAACTTTTTGAGACTACTCCCATTATTAGTAAATGTACTTTTATCAAAAACAAGTTATTGAACTCTAAGTTGCGATAAATCGAGGGGGCGTTGTTTTGAATACAACAAAAAACTGCTCTAATAAAAGCAAAAAGTGAGAAAAGAATATATTTCTAATGCCCTCTTTCCACACAGTGCATCCATTGGAAACGGTTGGAATTTTCAACAAATGAGCTCTGTGGAAATACGATGTAACAGGGAATCAATCCATGGGTTCTGTTACTTTATATATTTTATCAAGCAAAAATGATTTGAATATAATATATAATATTTCATTTAATACAATGGTATATTCTCCGTATCAACATTTAAAAGAAGTACTAATTTGGAGTCATACAATTTTTTGTCACTATCGATATAAAGCTTTCGATAGAGTAAAAGGACCTTAAAATTTAATGTTTAAAATTTAAATCATAATACATTGTTCTGGTGAAATTTGCCTTTCATTGGTTTGAAAATATCCATTTAAAATATTTTAAATATAGAATATTAATTTTTTTTTTAATTTGTAAAGATTTTTTTTCTCAGTGCGCGGTGCTCATTGCTTTTCAATTGTGTGGGTGACACAACTGGTTTAAAGTTTCTCAATTTAAACTTTTTGCACATGCCTTTTGTTGTTGACATTATTACGCTCTTCATTCATTATCTATTTTGTTATGGTGCACTGTAAGTTAAATTTATTTTTTTTTTGACATAATTCAACAGAATTAACCCATAGACTTGTAACTTGATGTATACGTTATCTTACGTTAGATACCACTAATTCTGCGGATTGGACCCTGCCCACATGTTGGCGGACATGATGAAGTTGAAGCTTAACCGGTTTAATAAAAGTAGTTTCCAAAATGTTTTGGCTTTTACCGAAAATAGCTAATCTAGTTCAGTTTACAGTGGAAGATCTTCTAACATTCTTATAACAACATCTTCTTTAGGCTGTACTTCGCACTAAAATTTAATGACTCGTAAAATATAGACTTAACGCAATAAAAGTCAAAAACATAAAAAGCGTTTTTTTTTTTTTGTGAAATATGCAATGTGTATTTGAACTATGTACGTAGACCTACAACATTTGTTTATTAAGATTTTAATTTGAAAATAATAAAAATAAGCACAAAAACTTTAACTGCCAGTTTTTCTAAGAAATACTTAAACATCGACCTAATAATTAGTAACCAGGACCATTTCAACATACCATGACCTCTTCAACTTGATGGTTTTTTTTTTGTGTCTTTAAAGCTTAGCAAATATGCATTCTTAGCATTTTGTTAGTTTTTTATGGATTTTGTTATATTTTCCTATAAACAAATTTTTAGTTGGACTCAAACCGTTTGATGGCTTCAAACATTGGTTTATTATAAACTCAAACCATGTAAGCTAGGCGTAGATAGGTATTTACACGCATAAAATACATGGTCGCCGTAATTTTATTAATGCTTTAAACCTTTGCAAGGCAAAAAAAACTGAATTTTAATTAATGGTTAAAATAAATGCCCCGTAATTAGTAAATTAATATTCAACAGTACTATTATAATTTTACCGATACATTTACAAATTACTAAATAGCTATTTGTGGTTTTGAAGGAGTGGGTGCAGATATAGAAGTATGAATAAACATTTAGAATCTCGAAATATATAGGAAGTTGTTAAAGAAAGTTCTTGAATAACAAAATCGAGTTGAATTGCTGAAGTTGGATTCGGCTTTAATTATTTTTTTAATAATGTTTCGTAAATATTTGATGTATTTTCAATCTTGTCACGAAACTTAAGTATGGGATGAGGTGTTTCGCCTCTACAAAAAGCTAAAGCACAAGTACTTATGGAGAAAAGAGACTTACAATATTTAAATAACTATAAATAATTATACTTCAAAGCTTAGAAATCTCAAAAAAATAAATAACATCCTGTTTTTAGTTATCAATTTTTATATATCAGCCAAAGGTCAACCTAAGCCTAACCTAAGCCTTAAGAATAATGCAATTTTACCAACAAAATCAAGGTATTTTATTTAATATTGGTCAGAGGTGTACAGACGTCACAACATGTACTCTTCACACCTTTACATTTTAAATTGATAAGTTGCTAAAATCAAAGAACATTATTGGGGAGCCCAGGCGAAATTCGAAACACGTTATCTCTGCAGTTCTTTGGCCCGCTTTGTCTTTGTCGCTGTGCTCGGCATTTATGTTAACAAGACTCGGCCAAAAACGGGTTAACGAAAATTAATCAAAGCCACTGCTTAAAGCCACGATCCAATCGCACTTGGCGACGTTTGGCGCGTTGTCAGCCTGACCGGACAACCAGTCTCTAAAAATTGAATTAATTTTCGTACATTTCGCATTCGCATTGGTTTATTTTTATTTTATTATCTAAATCCTATTTATAAGGCTTACGGATTAATAATGTATGAGTATTCTGCCATTATGCTAAGTTTTACATCGATCAATAACGCATATTTACAAGTCTCGAAAGTGTCTTACTAATGGAAACCCCCTTAATATTTGTTCCAGTTAAGGTAGACATCGAAGACACTTTTAGGCCTAGTTGTGTTTCTATTTTGGCCGAAATCGTAGGAAAGAACGGTTTTGGCACCTGTTTTCATCTTATTTTCCTGATATTTGGCATAATAAGGACTGCCGGTGGTTTGATTTTGATTTAGGCTTATTGGGGTTTTTGGACTTTGTGTTTGAGAGTCAAACTTTGCTTTGAATTTCTGGAAAAACGGGTGATCAAAGGGGTCTTTAGTAGTTGCACTCTTCTTCGTTGTTGAGGTAAATAAATATGGCCTTGGTGTGGTGCTTCCTTGCCGAGTGGCTTGTGCAGTTATCGCTGAGTTACGAGTTGTGGTTCTCGTCGTTAAAGGTTGGTGAGTTGTTGGTGAGTAACGAACGGCTGTGGGTGAACGAGTGGTAGGAGTCGGGCGTGTGGTGGGTTTATTTACGGATATATAGTTGTATGAGGACTTGCTTGGCAAACGAGTAGTTGTGGTAAATTTTGTTGTTGCATTTGGTCGAGAAGTTGGCGAATATAAGGCTGCATAGCGATTTGTGGTTTTGGTTATTAAAGATTGGCGAGTTGTTGGAGTGTAGCGAGTGGTTGTAATTGGACGAATAGTTGTAATTGGACGAGTAGTTGTAATTGGCCGAGTGGTGGGCTTGTTTACTGTTGTGTAGCGAGATAAAGTTCTCGTTGTTGTTGATTTTTGTTGATTGTTAATTGAACTCCGAGTTGGAGGAGTAGTTGTCTTAGTGGTTGAGCGTGTAGTTGGACGAGTGGTTGGACGGGTGGTTGGACGAGTGGTTGGACGAGTGGTTGGACGAGTTGTTGGACGAGTAGTTGAACGAGTGGTTGGACGAGTCGTTGGACGACTAGTTGATTGAGTTGTCGAACGAGTGGTTGCTCGTGCCGTTGAAATTGGGCGAGTTGTTGAATAAGTTGTTGGGCGAGGAGTAGACCGAGTAGTTGAGTAAGTTCCTGGACTTATAGTTGTACGAATTGTTGAATGTGTAGTTGGACGTGCTGTCGATCGGATGGTAAACGCAGTAGTTGGCCGAGCAGTTGTTCTACTAGTTGAGCGACTAGTTGGTCTAATAGTTGTACGAGAATCTGGCTTGTTGGCTATCACTGATCGAGTAGTTGTGAGAGGTGCAGAGGCTTTCGTTGTAGCTGTGTAGCGATTACCACTTTCTGTTATTGTGGGCTTAGCGGTCGTAGAAGTTTGCCATGACCATATCGGCAAGCTCGTTGTTTTGGCCGTAGTTGAGACTGGTTTTTTTGTGCCCGCTGTAAAGGGTTTCCTTGTGGTTGTTGTTACAGATTGCTTTGTAACGCTTGTAGTGGTTGCCACTGCCGCAGAGGTGGCCGTAAATTTAATCACCTCGTTGCGGAAGCTGTCGCTGCTGACATAGGGTCTGTTGACCAGCTGAGGGGGCTTAGATGGGCTTTTACTTGGGCTCGAGGGCTTGGGATTGATGGGTGCTTGAGCAGGTACAATTGGTTTGCCAAGAAGACTGAGAAATGGATTATGGGCATAGGAAAAATTGTCGTTTGGTTTAACTTCTTCTAAAGAGTGTGTAATTGAGCCAGGGTTTTTCAGGAAGGGATTGCTATCATACATGGGTTTTTGGGTAGAATAAGTAGCAGTTCCCAACGCGGAAGTGGGCTTATTTTTCACTTGATTATTGAGAAATGGATTGGTGGCATAGAGTTTATTGGTTTGGGGCTCCTTGGGAGTTGAAATATTATTTGTAATTTTATTTGTGAATTTGGTGGGCTGCACATGAGTTTGAGATGCCTTAGTAGCTTGCAGATTTTGCAAGAAGGGATTACCGCCATAGTCTTGAATGGTGGCTATCTTTTGCTGTGGCTTCTCCAGCACTGACTGATGGGGCTTCACTTGTGGCTTTTCTCCGTATGGGCTGATCTTATCCGCCTCTGCAATCTCATTTCCATCGAAGCAGTCACTCAATTGGGCCAAGTTCTGGTTCCTGCAATGCCCATTGTAGACAGTCCAGGCGTTGAAACCGTCTCCCGAGAGTCGTGTGTGTTCCTCGTGGATTGTGCGAATGCACTGGACATCGTCGGAGATGTCTGAATCTAGCAAACGATCGCATTCAATGTGGCAGGCTTTGCCACTGGACTGGTCATGGGAGCACCAGTAAATATCGCTGATCTGGAACAGGCCATGATCCTCACTGCCATCTGCATTGAGTTTTCCCACAGCGGCTGTGTTGAAAGAGGATTCATGTTGGGCTATGCACACCCAGGTGGGAATCTCCCTCATGGGTAACTTGTGTTTATGATAAAGTTCCTTGGCCAGCTCACAGCGATTGTAGATTTTACCCTTCGAAATTGGAGCTACGTTCTTGATCAGTTCGTTTCCCTTGGCTGGTTTGATGACTTCCCGAGGCAGATCTTTGTCCTCAAAGCAGCTGGCTATATCGGCTCGAGTTCTCTGCCTGCAGTGTCCATTGTAGACAGTCCAGGCGGTAAACCCATCCCCCGAAATCCGGGTGTGCTCTTCGTGGATGGTCCTCACGCACTTCACATCATCGGAGATGTCCGAGTCCAGCAGTCGATTGCAGTCGATGTGACAGCCCTTGCCGCCGCCCTTGTCGTGGGTGCACCAGTAGAGATCGCTGATCTGGAAGAGCCCGTGATCCGCACTCCCGTCCGCGTTCAGGCGACCCACAGCTGCCGTATTGAACGCGGACTCATGCTCGGCGATGCACACCCAGGTGGCCAATTCCTGCATGGGAAACTTGTGTGAGAAATACAACTCTTGGGCTAATTCGCAGCGATTGTAAACTTTACCCGTGCGTTGATAGTGTGTTTGGGGGTGTGACTGATAGTGTGGCTGATACTGTACTGGCTGTTTCTGAATGTAGAAGGGGTTAGCAGGGGTTTGGTTTCTAAGTGGCACTCCAATGGCATTGGGATGCTGTCGGGCGGGAGTTTGGAGCTGAGGCTGAGACAGAACTGGGCGTGGTCGGAGGAAGGGGTTCCCCGAATAGGTGGCCACATTGGTCTGGTAACTCGGAACGGGTGGCGCAGGTCGATAATATTGATTCACAGTCGGTGTCTGCTGCACCTGCACCTGGGCAAACTGATAGGCATAGCTGACCTTGGGCTTCACAGGACCTCCCCCGATGGCGTTGGGATGGTGGCCCTGAGCTGGTGGCTTGGCAAAACAGGCTGCCACCTGTTCGTAGTGCTGATTGAGGCAGTTCCGTTTGTACACAGTCCAGGCATTGAAGCCATCGCCCGAGATCTGGGTATGTTCCTGATGGATCCTCCTGATGCACTGCACATCATCCGCTATGCTGGAGTCCAGGAACTGATTGCAGGTGGCCTGGCAGCCCTTTCCCGCCCTCTGCTCGTGGGTGCACCAGAAGAGATCACTGATCTGGAACAGGCCATGGTCGGCACTGCCATCCGCATTGAGGCGACCCACGGCAGCCGTGTTGAAGGAGGATTCGTGCTGGGCAATGCACACCCAGGTGGGAATCTGGGGCATGGGCAGCTTGTGCTGGTAGAACAATTCCTGGGCCAGTTCGCAGCGACTGTAGATCTTGCCCTGCGTCTGGACTTGGGCCACCTGATGGTAGTGCCCAGGCGGATGGCTGTGGACCTGCACTTGCTGCGGCCTTTGGTACGAAGCAGCCACCTGAAGGGCTGTGCTGCCCAGACCTCCACATCCAGCCACATAGGAGGCCGCATCCTGGCGGCAGTAGGCTCCGTAGGCCTGCCAGGCGGTGAAGCCATCTCCACTGATCCTCTGATGCTCGGCATAGATCCGTCGCACACACTGGACATCGTCGGCGATGTCGTCGTCCCTCAAACTCGAGCAACTCAGGCCACAGCCCTTGCCCTGTCCCGGTGGCGAGCACCAGTAGACATCGCTGATCTGGAAGAGACCATGGGATCCACCGCCCAGTCCGGCGCCACCGCCAAAGGCGGCCGTGTTGAAGTCGCTCGAATGCTGGGCTATGCACACCAAAGTCGCCACTTGGACGGCGGGAAGGCCGAAACGCTGCTGCAGCAAATGGGCCAGCTCACAGCGATCGAAGACCTTGGCCGTGGCCAAAAGTGGAAGCAGTGCGAATACCACCGGCCAACTCAACATCTTGATCTGTTCTGACACTCGAACCCACCGCTATTTACTCTTATATAGAACACAGAAGGCACACAACACAACTGGAGCAGAATCCTTAGGTCATTTGAAATTCTAATTTTACAGCGATTTTGAACGCTTGTATCTCAACTTTTATTTTTTGTGGCCCGTTCAATTTTATTTTATTTCGCCAGCTGGCTGCGTGCGTTTGCGCGTTTCGTTGACGACTGAAACCTCCGGCGATGGCATCTTCAGCCCAAAGTCAATTTGAATATGACGACGTCGACTGCCGAGCGAGACAAACTGGTTGTGGCTATTGCATAATTACTACGGCGGTCACAGCTGAAAAAAGGTTCTCGGCCACTCAAGAACCCACAAAATTTGGAAGTGCGAAAGGCAACAGAATTATCAAATCAAGCATAAAAAATTATTTAGAAAGTTCTGCAGTCGCTGAGCCATTAGCGGCCCATTTGCCCGATGGAATTTAAATTTGAATTTGAAATACCCGTATTTATGGGACAGTCAGTAGGAGAGTCGCGAGTCGCGAGTCGCAAGTCGCGAGCGCTTTTCACGCGTTTTTAATCGCCTCGTAAGACTCAATCAAGACATCGACAGGCGCGAATTGCGGCTGTCAATCAATCCGGGGCGGACCCCACCCCATAGATAGTGTCTCAATCACATTGTAATGCAAAAATACCTTGGGTCAGCATTGTTTATCTGCCGACTGAAATATTTTGTTTGCATCGCTCGATTGGCCAAGTCGCATTTTGGAATTTGTTTTGTTTATTTTTTTTTTTTGCCTCCGTTGAGCAAGTTTTTGTCTGTTTCTCTGATAGCCAATTTGATGCAATATAAACTGTGTTTTAATTGCCGCTTTTTGTGCAAATTGCTGGGCCGAAAAACTGTTTGCTGATTGATTAATACCCGGGTTCCCTCATTAAGTGGTCTTGAACTTGAGTCATTGCCAAAAAGAAGGGAGGCGAATGGATCAAGGCTTTAGCTTTGGCTATGCAAATTGAATTTTGTGTTTAGCATTGATTTAGAAGTCCGAAAAAGATTTAATGAGATGTTTAAATATTTTTTTTTAAATTTATTTTCCTTGGAAACCAGACATTTTTGGGTAGTGATATTTATGAGAACTCCCGAATTTTATTTCTCATGTGTAGCAGGTTTCGAAATACTTCAAATGTGTAAATTCCCAATTATAATCTAAATATCTTTCAGTTATTACTAATACCACATTTACCATTTATTTTAAAACCCATATCCGAATTCATTCATTGGAATACCCCAATGTATAAAAAAGTTCCAAAAATTCCAGTTCCAAGAACTGTTTACGTTTTAAATGAAAACAACATTTTGGTTAATTCGTAGTAGTTTTTCTTGTTTTTTTTTTTTAGTAAACGCTAAATCACAATACAATAGAATCACAATTAAAAAAATAAATTATATACAAATTCGTAGACAAAAACTGTGTGTGTTACATCCATAATTATCATAATAAAATAACAAATAGATTTTTACATAACACTCAATAACAAATACAGATTTATGATTAACATCTTACTTCACGGGTGGCTCCTCGACACGCCCCTTTTGGTAGATATAATATATCAGACACATGACCGCCAAACCAATGCCACCGCACAAGGTCGCCCAGTGGACAATATTGAGGGTTTTCAGCGTGTTGATCAGTTTCTTTTTGAAAAAGGCCACCATTTCGCCATTAAGTTGAATGCCCTAAGGAAAAATAAAGGTTGCATTTAATATAAATGATTTTAAATGTTGTTTAGATGCAACCAACCTCCTCCACCCAAATGGCGGGCATCAAAACTGTGGGTAAATTTTCGGTAATGCCTATGCGATTAATGCTCTTCAAGAACATGTTAAACTGAACCCTTTTACCGCCTTGCAAGGGCGTACCCGTCAGCTGAGGGAATTAAATTTTGTACTTATATTTTTAAGATTTCTCTAGATTGAAATTATATGTATACACTTTACCGACTGCACATCCACAAAAGTCTGGTGCTTTTTGGCATCTGGCTTGAGGCCTCGTATCATTTTTCGGTACTCATTCGAGGCGCCCAGCATATGAGGCAATGTCAAAATTACAGGGGCATCTGTAACGAGATATCAATAAAATATATATTACTTAAAAGATGCGTTATAAAGCAGACTCCTTGATTTGCATAACCTGCTCCTTGAGCGTCTCACTGCATTCCATTTTAATTATTCTGTTTACATTGTTGAAATAATTCCGAAAAACAAGATTTGGCGACCTCAATCAAGCCAGCTACTTATATTTAATTTAATTAAATTAATTGGAAAATATTTCATAAGTTGCGGAAGCTTCTTAACCTCTCATCACGTTTTCGTAGAACAACATTTATTTATTTACTTAACTACTTGTGATGTCTGAACCAATTTGTAAGAATTTCCTCATCCGACAAAGTATTTCAAATGCTCATTACTGAAACTGTTAACTCACGTTTCGGCAATTAAACAAAAAAAAAAAAACACTACGAAAGGAAGGCATCAACCAAAAGAATCTCAAGTTTGAAACGTGCGCGATCGGCAAACACCCAAACAAAAAAGTCTAGGAAAAAAAATTATAAAAATCAAAGTTAATGCTTCAATTTGTAGAGCGTTCACAGCACTTGAGAACATCATAACGAAGAGCGGCTCATTATATCCCCTAGTTGAAGGAAAGGCAACACTTTTGATTTCAAATGCGCAATGCCTGAGGGGAATTTAACTCAGAATGCGAAGCAAAACGTTTTTTGTTCCAAGAATCTGGAGTGTTAATTAAGAAATTAAACAATCGAAGAAGATCAAAGTCAGCCCACACAGATTCGCGATCAGAATCGAAATCGGAATCCGTGCTTAAATCAACGTCCTAATGAAAAGCGTTGGCAATTTGTCTGATCGAAGCTAGCGCGTGTTTATAGAGATCTTTTGGAGATTTGAATGCCTTTTCAGCTTTTTATTTTATGAGCTGTGTTTCTTGATGCCTTCGCTTTGCACTTCCCAAGCACTTAATTTGCATATAAACGCATTAAAAGTCAAACTAGATCTGGCACCAACTCTGGTACCGTGATTACCATTTGATTTATAACTGGCTGCCTTATAATTACTGAGGTAATCGACCACAAGCTGATGACAGAGTTGTCTTCTGGGGTAGTTCGCCGCACCAGTTAATCGCCATAAAACAAACACAACACCGACATCAAGACGATCATTTGCATAACAAAATACCAAGAGCTGAAATTGTCAAATATTATTCGAAATATTTCCGGTTTCCCTGCGTATAAGATAGCCAAAATTCTAAAAAACCCAGAAGTTCATTGTTTAAGTCTTTTGTTTATTTTTAGTCGTGACCATATGGTGTTTAAGATCGCATTGCTCCAGTTAGTAATAAAGTTTTTTGAAATTGATCAAACAATCGTTAATATTTGAGTTAAGTGTTCACAAAACTTAGGATCACAAGCAAACTGCCAAATCCTAAACTATCAACATAAATAAAATGCTAATTAAATTAAATCAGTTTTATTCCAATAAAAAAAACTGATGAAGGTTGGATAAGCTCTGTGTCAAATTTTCAATACTCTACTGTACGAAATTGAATCAGTAGTGAGTTTTATTTTAAGGAAATGGAACTTGGGGAACCATTGTTGCCTTATTTTTGACAATTCATTCATGGAAATACCCCAAATCTAAAATGCTTATATCTTGCCTGTACAATTTTTTTTGTATGTTTAAATTAAAATTATTTTTCAATGTATGTAGAAATCAAAATAAATATTGGTTTTTTAATTTTTTGGAAATATTAACTACGACGATTTTTTACGTTTTATACATTTTTCTGTTAATAGGGCAAATAGTTTGCTGAAATACCCTCATTCGTATTTAAAAGTAGATCGGCGACACAGAAGTCTTTGATCTACTGAATTTATGGAAGTTTTTTTTTTTGAAATGCTAATCGGGCGTAAACTGCGAAATAACATGAGGAACTAAAGATAAGCGGAAGATACCCGAACTAAAGACGAAACATAAATGTTTTTAAAAGGTTTTGTTTGTTGTTTAAATGGAAAATGTGTCATATTTAATCGACGATATATGCTAGCATACGTTTCATTCATTTTATTAAGGCATTTGTTTCGAATTTTTTACATACCTCTGTATCTAAACAAATAAGGAAGTAGTATAAAATATTTTCTTGGTATTATCTTAGTTTGATTTTTTTTTAATTTGTTAAATAGAAGGTGTTGAAGAGGCTTTTTAAATGCGTTCTAAATTCTATTTAGATTTTGTTACAAATTCGTTTACCGATTCAATAGTGCTAAAAGAAAGAATTGTTATCATCACTCACCTAAACATGTGGTCAAATCCAAAGCACCCGCATATAGACATCCATTTTTCCTCTTGATCACATTCGCCAATTTGTCAACGCAAAAGCACTCATTATCATGTTCCGGTCCAATGTCGTTTATGAAGTTCTCGCCGATGGAGTATCTATATCCAGGTATTCCCTGGTATTGAATATCTGTCTGGTAAAACAACTGCACTGATCTACAAATGTCCGCGCTGAAGATATACATAGAATCCCCTCGCTGACGAAATGGTGGATAGGCTGAGGCATCAGTTCCATTTATCTGATTGCAGACTGACGTTTCGCCCTCTGTACTTGCATTCAGCCACACTTGTAGATTATGCGAGTCATCCAGTTTTTGGATCTCTAACACTCTCATGGGATCTCCCTTTCCAGTATGCACTTCAATGACTTCGTGTCCGGAACCATTTTTCTATGGGAGAAAATGATGACGTATTTAGTATTTCTCAATAATTTGATAGTAGACAAAATGTTATTTTTTAAAGGATTTCATATCGATTTATTTTAAATTTTCAATAACACTTACATGACCAAAAAAGGAGAAGGCCAGACTGCCATCGCTCTGCTCCCGAATGGTTTTCGAACCGCTCTCCTTGATCTGGTTACAAATAGCCTTGGCGATTCCTTGGGGATTGATACAGAAACGCACTCCGTCGAAGAGATATTCCCTCACCGAGGTGCTTACAAACATTGACCTTGGATCGTTGAAGACCGCTTTAAGATTGGCATTTAAGTGGACCAAAAGTAAAGCCAGGCCAGGATCGTTCTCAGATATTTGTAGGACGGACTGTTAGAAATAAAGATTTTCCAAAAGGTACAGCGTTAATTAAGGAAATTTTTGCGAATAATGACCAAAGCTAAAAGGCAAGGCAGCAAATGTTAAGCGTTTAAAAATATTTGAAAAGCATTAGCAGCAGGCGGGGCGGTTAGCTATAAATTAGTAGCAAGGCACAAGCTCAAATTTGTTATTATTAATTATGTTTTTGCATTGGATGTGTGAGAAATTTGACGTTTCCAATCATTCGGTTTTCAGCTGCCGTTTCCATTGATTTCTCCTCGCCAGTCGCCAGATTGAGTCGACAATTTATCAAAATATTTACATAGACGAGAGAAACCCAAGGCGAATGCCAATCAAAATTTTGCTGTTCTACGACTGATGCGAATGATCTTGACTTTGGCAGTTTGAAGTTTTCAGTTTTGAGTAGGAGATGCGCCGAATTGCAATTAATATTATTAAACAGTTGCAAAGCTGTCAGTAGATCAGAAAAGCTGGACAACTTACTTTGACACCATCGACAATGCTGATTATGATGCCATGTACCCAGCTAAAGGGAGCTATAAGTTTTGGGATCATTAAATTCGATTTTTGCTATCATTCTCATACTATGTATATTCATTGAATATTTATTCAATAGAATTTTTGATTCTAATTTTAATCGTTTAGATTTTGCTTTCAATTTTGTCTAAACTACATATATTGATGCATGTAGAAATTTTGATAAATTTATATATTTATTAAAATGCATTTATAATCTTATTTTAAAATGTATATTTAGTTATAAATTATATACTTTTCTGAAACCATTATAAACATTTTACAAAAAGAAAAAAATGAAGCAAACCTTTAAAATTTGTTTTTTAAATATTACTGATAAATAATTAATATTTATTTCTGTCCAAAAATGTCAAATAGTGTATCCTCTGTAACACCTTTTGCGATTCCGACCTAACCCACTCCCAAAACTGTTAATCCGACACAATCGGCGCAATAAATCAGCAATTAAAAAAAACATTAGCTTAATGACCTATAAAGAGTCTATCCAAAATATTCCCCATGTCCAATGACGCACGTCTGGGGTAAAATCATAATTAATAAACAATGAACTGAAAACGGTAAATAAAAGGAATAATAAATCTGTGGAATCGCTGGTCCGAAAGCAGAACAAAGACAAACAGAGCCGGACGATGGTATCGCCCATCGGAGAACCGTGAAAACCCATTACCATTAAGTTAAATTTACCAAGGCATGCTATTAAGTAAATCTTTGCATACAGTATCTACATAGACAAAGCCGAATTTGTTCGGGTTCTTTTGTCAGATAGACCATCACCAGTTGGGAGGGTTTTACACTCGATTAAATTAGTAGTGGATAAAATTACTTTACGTTTCCCTCGAATACGTTCCATCAATCGTTTCAGGACTCGTACACCTGGAGTTTGATTCAATCGGGAGTTTAGCCTATTGGCAAAACCCTGAAAGATATCTGTGATTTCTCTTTCAAATACTTGTAAAAATGCCTGTAAATTTAGTATTAATATTGTAATTTTCAAGGAGGTATATTGATGTTATAAATTGGGTTTTTATATATTTTTTTTTTAACTTACATTCATGTGCATATTGAGAGCCACAATCCGATCATCTTGGGTGTACGGAGCCGAGGCATCTGCGTCGAAATCAAAGTGCACATTTTGCACGTAGGATATCTTTGACCCGTCTCTCGAAAAATGTTTCACTTTCTTTTGACGGAACTGCCTAAAAATAATAAAATTTATATATTTTATGTTCTTTTCATATTTTATTTACTTACTTGTATACATAGGGTCCTATTTCCTCGACAATGGGTATGGCACCTTGTTGTATCCTGTCCGGATTGGTCACATTAAAAATGTAGACTTTGAAGTTCAATGGCTGAGGCAGGTTAACAAAACGTTTGTATTGTTCCGAGCCATCTGATATAACGACGCTCTGCAAATATTATAAATAGTCAACAAAATTCATATTAATTTCATCTATAAATATGGATATATTTTAAAATATTCAAATAAATTCTGATAGTTATATCTAATATGACTTCATGCTTTAATTTACGCTAGGGCCTAAAAACCACATATTGATAAACAGTTTTGTCGTCTTAAGCTGAATTTGTTTACATTATATCCATCTCTTATTTTACCTATAGTTAGTTTGACAGGTTTTATTTAATTTTTTGGCTCTCATATGCTAAGTAATATCATCAGACCAATATTTATCAGACCAAATTTTAACGTTGATTATCACGCGACTAAGTCGCGACTTTAATGACGCCGTAATGGCAATAAAAACCAAATCAAAAGCATCAGCACCGACTGAATTTGAACCGGTTTTCTTTTATAGATTTTATTTATTTGTCTCCACAAAGCAATTCCTATTGATATTTTTTATTGTGGTAATTATATTTGATAATAATCAACAAACAGAAAAGATCAATGACCAAGTGAAAAATTTGCTTTAATTTTTTTTTTTTGTCAAAACAAAACAATTAATTAGGGTGAGCTCTGAGCCTTGCCTAAAACAATATTCCCATGCTAAAATAACCTTTGATGTTAACCTTCCATTTTAATTTTTACAACCCAGTAGCCAGAAAATATGAACAGCTCACAGAAAAAAAATTGGCAAAACATAAAAAGGCCCACCGAAAAAACATAAATAAAAGTCGAAACAAGTTCAAAACATGACCAGCAATATAATTTTACGGTCTGCCCCTCGCACTTGATACAATTGAAGAATTGTCAAAAAAGCTACACAAAAATCTGGGTAAATATTTATATGACTAAGGCAGATCCCAAGGTCAATGCACACGCATTTCGGTTCAGCTCAGCATATCGAAGAGCATACAAAACGTTTGATTAACCTCAAGAGCCAAAGAGAGGCTCAGACGACGGCTGACAATGGCCCAAAATTCATTCAGAAAAACACTACAAATAATTGTTGCGAAACAGAGCGGTTTTGGCAAAGCGACAGGCCGAAGCGAAACGTGTTTAAAATATGAAGTTAGCTTAACATTCGATTTGGGACAAGAATGTGCTGGGTCAAAGGGGCAAATAAGAAATATTTTGGGGTATAAAATGGGGAATTGGTTGAGTAAAATAATAGAACCGGACAATTTTCGTAATTTTTTTTAAAGATTATTGCTCTGATTAACTTATTTTTATTTTATTTTTTTCTGTAATTAAGATATTGTTGTTGCCAGTTTTTATTATTATTAAACTTATAAAAATTAAAAAAAAAATGGTTTGGCATTAAAATATGAATGGCTTAAATAAATATTAAAATCCATATAGACATTTAGGAACCTAAAAAAATAAAAGTAGCTAAAATATGGGTCAGAATGATGAATGGTAAATGGCTAATATCAGGCCTAAAAAGTCTTTCGATTGTTTGGCATTGCTGGCGGGCTAAATTGCACAACAATATTATTGTTGACCATCGAATAGACTTCAATTGCTTTGAATTTCAATTTCAATTCATGACTCGTTTGTTTTGGCCATCTGTTTCTGAGTCTTTGGCGCCTGCATTTGAATTTCAAATAGAAATGGTTAATGTGCAAGGGACGGTCCACCTTCAAGTTGAAGGCCCTCAAATTTCGAGGGTATTTTGGTCATTCTAGATGGGATCTCGAACGCGTACACACGGAAGTTCATTGCTAACGATGGCTCGTAAAAAGAGTTTTGCGGCCCGAAAGCGTTATGGGTGGCAAACAAAGTTCCAGGGGCAGAGCTACAAAAAAGGGCAATTAACTTGGCTTGGCTACAACAATTAAAAAGAGCAAACAGAGCCACAAAAACAAGTGGATACCAAAAAGATAAAACTCTGTGTTTGCATTCTAATTGCAATAAAAAACAAAAACTCAGCTCAAAGTCAACCCAAGTACTTCTAGTTGCCTTGGCAATGAGCACCGAAGATGTCACGCCTGATTTAGGTAGCGTGTGCCCAGCGATGGGAGCGTTTTTGTAAGCGTTTTTGTACTTGGCAAAGTGCATCATTTCATAAAACATCATGAAGTACATTTAAATGAAATATTTTGTAGTTCAAAGGTGTATAAAGGTGTATAGGTAGTAAAAACCTTTGATTTTAACAAAAATACCTGTTAAATGGTAACAGGGTAAATATTTTTTTTCGAAATTTCTAGAAGTTGATAATAAATAAATATTAAATTAGCTACCTCAGTGCCATATCCAATTTGTAATTAGTTTTGAATCTTTATTTACTTGGGATACTAAAATGTGAATTAACTATAATAAATAAATCATTTTTAATTTTCTAATTTTCACTTAAAAAGCGAGATATTTTTTATTTGAAGCCAACATGAGGCAAAAACCATAGGGTAAATTCTTTGTATTTATATATATATATATATTAGATTATTTTCAAAACATTTTAAACTGACTTTTAGTCCGAGAAAAATTGTTCTTGAACAAACCCAATGTCACACATATCAACTTGGTCATAAATTAAATGCGTTGAAGGACAAGAACATGCATCGTAATTTAATTTTTTGTTTTTGGCTCTAATGGTTTGAAAAATGCAATAATAATAAAGTGCATTTGACTAGCAAATTAATTCGCACTGCTCGTGGCATTTCAATTGCATTTGGCATTCGTCGAGAGCGTGACCCAAGGGATCGGTTTTGTATTACCATTTCAGCTATATGTAATTATTCCATGTCATATTCGGGTATATACAAGGGAAATAAGGTTATATTGCACTTGTTGGCCGGCAATTAGACTTGATGGAGAGCGTGGAAAGCTATGGTTTGGGCGGTTGACAGCCGTTTGGTTATATAGCCAAAGATGTCATTATGGATAAGCTGGATAATGTTGGGTTGTCGTGCTATACCTTACGTCAAAACTTTTTAGATCAGAATTTGGTGTGTCTCGAATAATGCATGTCAATAATTGATCCGATGGTGGGACTCTCAATAAAACAGTCATGTAATTAAGGAAATTATAAAGCAAATGCCTTCTAGTTTTACCAAAGCTTTTGAATTTAAAAACTAGCAAAATAAGCAAACCTGTTTGTATTCTAATCGTTCACTGAGTAATTAAATCTGTTGACAGATCGTTAATTTTTTCTTATTCACTACTTGGTACTTTGAACTTTCTTTGACTCATCGCTAGTCGAACTATTATTCTTTGCAACTAAGTGAATAACCGCCATACAGTTTTCGTTTTGCCACTTGACAGTAAGCAGGAGTCAACAATAGAATCATTATATTCCCTTTGTTTGGTCAGTGAGAGAAAATATCTGTGTGAACTTTGAAGTCTAAATATTTAACTTAGAAACTTTGACAAGTTTCTAATGAAAGGTGTGGCTTGTTAGTTCAAAATAGGGAAAAAACTTTGCTTTAAAGAATTCATAAGTAAAATTCTGTCATAGTTTTGATTTTGGCATTTGATGGGAGCTACTAAATTCAGAAAATAAATAAAATCAGAATTAATTGTAAATTAATATGAATTTTTTCTTAGTCGACAAATTTTTTAAATTGGATTCTTAAGTTACATGTCGCATAAAATTATTTATAATCTGATTCCCATTCTAAATTCTGTATATATATTTAAAACTGAATTGTTGCATTTGATCTTGAGATTATAATAAAGCTTTTTATTGAATGTCTTTTAAATAAATGACTGCTGAAATTCTAATTAACGTGTAGTCATTATTGTGACAAGCAATGTAAGAGGTCTAAAAATGTACTCTTGCAAAGCCTAACGATTGGAATGAATTTTGTTTTTTTTTTTTAAATCTTTTTTTATCTTGTTCTTATAGTTTTTTTTGAAAATGAAGTAATTGAACCCAAGGCCGCATATACTGCGTTTCTCTCATTTAAATTCTTCAAGCTTCGTATGGTTCTTCTTCAAATTTTTGGGGGACTCACCTGTTCGACCTTTTTGTGTACCATGTTGGGGAAGAGAACCCAACCGCAGTAGCCGCCCAAGGCGGCCACGCAGACGCCGAGGGCGCTGACGATCAGAGACCAGTGGAGCATTTTCTCAGAGACGATCGCACGGATGGATGGAGTCTACGGAGATGGGGCGAGACCCATTTATCAGGTTCCCTCTCTTTTTGGCGATCAAAACGCCGGCAACAGGTATGGAATCTTTTTTTTTGTTTTTTTTTTTCTTGATCGAGCAGAGCTTTGGCCTGACCTACGTCAAGTGAGAGCCACTGTTGTTGGGGTGTCGATCTTGTGGTTATGTGCCGAAACAAAGCGCACTATTTATAAGATACCCGTTTTGGGGCTTTTTTTTGATGTTTGTTATATATAATTTTGAAATAAACAAGTTGCCGAATGCGATGCGACGCGAGGCGGCCGCTTGGCTGCTGTCTTTTGCTATATCTTATTATGTCCCTTATAGTAAGAGCAGCAACTGTATTCGTATATATGTCTATGCAGGTTTTTAAGTACGAAAACGGGTTTGGCTGTTGTGTTGCAGTGAAAGCTTTTTTCCGCCATCAGCTGGTATAATTAAAATATTTTTGTTAATTATATTTGCGTTTTTGCTTAATTGGGTCGAGTCACAACTTCACACGCGCCAAAGGAGTAGCTTTTTTTTGCTGGTCTTCCCCATTGAGGTATCACCGGCCAAATGACAAACGTGGTTAATGGTGGGACATTTTTATTTGATTCTCGGTTAACGTAAGCGAACTTGACCGGAAAATGGTGGGCGGCTTTCGGTTGCGATACAAATCAGGTGCACATTCAAATTAATGGCCGCACGCGAACGGGGGAAAATGGGAAAAACTTCCGTCACAATACGAAGTGAATCAGCAGAATAACACTAAAATACTTGAGTAATTGAGGGGCGGCCCTAAAAGTGATTTTTTATTGAGATTTTCTTGGTAGTGTAGGTATTTTTTTGTGATTTTGTTAACCGGAGATCCAACCGCTCGGAACAACCGCTGACGACTGGCAGAGTTCAGGCCAAGCTGCGATGACAACGCTTTGACTTATGGCTTTCAGCAGTAGTAGGTTGTAGTTTTTCGGCCAAAAGCCCTAAGCCAACCGATCGCTGAGAGGCTAAAAATTAAAGAGCGCATGCGCAGCGCTGCTCCACACTTTTGTCGAGGGCTTTTCATTAAGTTTTCGAGCCGTTAATGATCAACACGTCTGCAGTTAGTTGCTCGACTTTTTTCGCTGCTTTTGTAATATTTCTTTACATTTTATTTCACTTAAATTATGGATGTGCCGCTCATTAGCAAATTAGTGCAAGCTTTTGTCATGCCACTTTTTCGCTATATTTGTTTTGGCCAAAATTAAAATTCCCAGGGGGTGGATGAGACATGACCCTGGAAAATAAAATATTGCCTTCTTTTATCTAGCATCAAACAGTTCTAATGATGCACTCTGTTTAATAGAAGATAATCGGTTATATATTTATAGTGAGGCTATTAATGAGAAAACATCGATTAACTCAGGGAGGCCACAAATAGGTAATAGGGTAAATTTGTTATGAACTAGTTTCAATATGTTAATATAAACTGAAAAATTTGAGAAAACGGTTGGATAAATATTTTTAATTTGTGACTTTTAAATTTTGTTAAGAACTGTTATCGATATATTGGGTACATAGATTAAAAATGGGAGAAAAGGTTGGATCAATGTTTTTTGTGACAAAAAGTAATTGCTTCTAGACCCATTTTTCCATTCAATATAAATTCTTATTCTTTTGCCACCAGACTTATAAGATTGGTCAAAGAGCTTGTATTTGTTTGCAAACAGATTTCACTTTAAATTCTAATTGTGACGTAATATGTTAATTATTGCAGAAACATCTAACTTCTGTAAATATGCAATTCTCTTGCCCTTCGACCCTTTTAAATCTCTTTCAAGCTTAAAGATACTCTTTTCTTCAGCTCTTCACTTTCCGAGGGTCTATTTTTCAACTCTTTTGAAGTTGGCGTGGGTGCAAGACCCCCCCCTTGTATCCACTATTTTTTTGGACAAACGCATTAACAGGTTTTTCGAATTGCTGTGCGTGCCGTGAAATTTATATGTAAAAACTTGTAAGACAACAACAAAGACAAAAACAATAGCGATTGGATTGGCTGCGGGTGAAGCTTTTGTTGAACTTGACACGATTGTTGTCCATTCAGTTTTCGGTGTGGTTTTTGTTTTTGTGATTGTATTTGTTGCTGTTGTTCCTCGCATAAATTTTTCGGATGTTGTGCAAAAATGTAAAGCTTTAAATAATAAACAAATGCCAAAATATAAACCATTTTAAACGGATTGAAGAGTGATAGAAAAAGATAGCGACGTGACCTAACTAATTGGCATAAAATGGTAAATATTTTCTTTAATTAAATACATATATTCTGTATAAAAAGTATGTCAAGAGTCCTAAGGAGGTTATATAGTATATATAAGACAAAAAATGTCATCATCACAACTGAAAAATATTTTGATCCTTTTTTTTATTTTATTTTTATAAAGTGTACTCATTTTTCTATAAATTAAATTTAAAATTTAGAGATAGAAAAAATCTTTTACAAAAATTTATCAAATTGATAACAAAAAAAATCCTCATAATTCTCAACTGATTTAAAACCATTTCCTTGCCAATTCCTCAACATTTTATGTGACTTTGACACTCGACAGTCATTTCAATTTCTTTACAACATTTATTTTAATTATTTTTTAGTGCGATCCACATTTAGCCATTTCCTTGCCATTCCTCAACATTTTATGTGACTTCGACACTCGACACTCATTTCAATTTCTTTGCAACATTTCTTTTAATTATTTTGTAGTGCGATCCACATTTAACCTAGTTTTTCGAGAAGTCCCCCGCTCGTCTGCAAAACCTCTTGGGGATTCGTTCTCCATTTGCGTGCATCATGTGGATATAGTAATTTAAATATTTATTGCATTTTTTTATGCAGGCAACACTTGAGGCACAAACAACCTCCCCAAGCCCAAAACTCTTTGCCTTTGTCTGACCTCAAAATTAAATTCAAATCTCGGGCAAATGGCAAGACTTGGCAGAAGGCAGTTTTACGTTCTTTTTATTCTTGTTTGCGTATTTTCCTTGTTTATTTTCTCATTGGCAAATTGATTGTACTAGTGTGTGCATATGTGTATGTTGTAAGCAGTGATGGGGGCAATACCTCTTACTTATTCATGACAAATTAACTTAAAAACAAATACAGCATATGAGCTAAGTAAAATTAACTCAATTTTAAATAAATCTACAAATTTTAATTTAACAAATTGTAATAAAACTGCTACAAAATTAAAGATTTCCCAAATATATTGTACGTATTTACTTAAAAAATACTACAAATTATAACTTAACAAAATGCTTATTTGGGTACTATTAGACTTTTACCATCTCTAGCTATCCGTGCATATGTTCAATGGAGTGATATGAAAAACTTCACACGACAATGTAAGGCAAAAAGGAACAATCAGCGAACACGAACTGAATTTATCCACACCCAGCTCCTCCTCCATTTCCGGCTGAGGATTTTCCGTTGCATTGATGGCGTGCCTAGGCAATCGCAATTTATAGATAATTTGATACGAAACGTCAGACAGTCGCTCAGTCGGAAGAGTTGGATTGAAAGTGGCACAAGGACAAGTCGGGTGGCGGGGTGATGGGTGGCTTTCGGAATGCATTTCTAACGAATTTTCATTAGCCACTAAATTGCAAATGAATATTTGAATGCCCTGACGAATGGGTTACTGGGGCGTATGCGTAATTCGTTCCACATACGCCTCGTGAGCACTGGAATGCTCAAGAACAAAGGGGCTCGCTTAACTGCTACAGCAGAAAGTACAAAAAAATGCAATTAAATGGATTAAGCGAAGAAAAAGGCTAGAGTCAAATGAGGCCAACGTGAAGAAGGTTCAGCGGATTCTTTCTGCCCGTTCTCCGCTCTCCGCTCGCCTTTTTCTCGGCAGTGTTTGTTTGGCCAACAACAAACCAAAGGCAGTCACAACATTTGTGAGGTTTAGTAAAAGGGGAAAAAAGTGGGCAGGGCACACAAGGATTCAGCCACTCGACCGCTTATCGTCAACTGTCATCGTCTGCCAGTCTCTGAACCCCTGTGCACAGGAAGAAAAACGTATTACAAGTATAAAAAATTGAATCTAAATTACAATTACTACGTATAAAAATGTATGTCCAATGTTGCAGTCAGTCTTTTATTTTACAACAGCATATTTTGTAATGAAACATATATTTTATAAACTATAACCTAAATATACTACAACTTACTAATGAATATTTATGATTAATCTTTATAAGGTTAAATCCGCAATTTTTCCGACAAATAAATAAATAAGATGGTTAAAATATGAATTTTTCCTCTGACACTTTTGTACATTTTTTTCTCCGTATGCTACCTCTCCAAGGTGCACGGACATCACTCTGCATTGTTGCAAATGTGAGCGACCGATTGATGAGCATGTGACGTTCCGACCTGGCCCTTGTGCTGTTTGTCTATAAGTCTATCTGGCTGTATGTCGACCCGACCATCCGTCCGCTTTCCGGCCTGAAAGTGTGTCAAATAAAGTGCTAAAAGATTTATGCCCTGCACCTCCTTTTCCAGCTGGGTCGCTGCTGCCCTTCCTCTCGTCGACTCGTTCGTTCTCTCGCTGTCTATTGCTCTCAATAAGTGGCACAAAGGACGAACGACAGGCGCTCACCGCAGGCTTAAGTGTCTCAAACTGCCAGACAGGACACCAACTGGATATCTGCCTAGATTTTTTTTTTCAGTCGTTGTGAGTGTGCTCTGCTGCAGTTTTTCACCGGGTTTTTCCGCCCCATGGCTGCTGGTAATGTCCTTTCGACCCAGGCCAATTTGGAGCTGGAATATCCTGTTTTCCATTTCGTCTCTCAGTTTCTTTTAGATGCCTGAGTTCATGAATAAGTAAAGGTTTCTCATATGAAGTCATATGAAGTCAGCCTTATCCAGTTCATTGCTGAACTTAATGTCTAGAGGAGAAGCATAGCCAGAAAGAAACGTAATTAAGTTAACTTTACCGTTTATTTTAGAATGTTTATGCAATGCTATTTATTCAAATGTTAATATTTTTAACAAAATATAGGCTTAAAAATAAGTACTTGTGGGCACAACTTTTATTATTTATGTTATTATCTGTTATTTATTCAAATGTTAATCTTTTTAACAAAATATAGGCTTAAAAATAAGTCCGTATGCGCACAACTTTTATTATTTAAAAGAAAAAATAACATAATTGTAATCTTCTTTACTTTGGATAATTTTGTAATACAAATAAACGTGTAAATCTACTTGGATGCTACTAGATATCATTTCCACCAGAATGTTCTTGTTTATCCGAATAACGTTAAATAAAACGCTATAACCCGACCCTAACTGAGGATATAACGAGCCAAAAATTGAATTGATTTAGCTGGAAATTTCGAAACACGCAACCTTCGTAGCTCGCAGAAGTGCCAACAAATGAATTATTGCGCACTAAGATTTCGCCGCCTTTCTATCCTGCTAGGACAAACGCCCCCCTCCCCCCACTGTGTCACACATATACATACACCTAAAGGGCTCCGGGCCGCAGGACATCCCCACCACCCACTTTTCGTGTTGTCCTTCGCTGTGCAGTCCATGGACGCGCTTAAAAAGACAAGAAAAAAAGTGAAAATCGCGAAAAGCCAAAACGCTGCAGAGACGCTGGAGGCCAAAACGAAATCATGCGGCTGGCGAGGGCCTCCAACTAATGACAATAAGGCGCGAACTGGGAAAATCCCCTTACCGACCCAACAAACCACCCACCCAATATCACGCATACGCCGCCTTGCCTCGGGGCCCTAACAAAAATATCACGCATACGCCGTGTTGCAGCAGCGAAATCAAAACATAAACCCAAATCCAGTGACTGCATCGGGTTTTCCTGAGCGCGTGACCAAAACAGAGAGAAAGAGAGAGCGCAGAGAGAGAAACCCTCTCTCTCACTCACGAAGGAGTTTCCCCATCATCATCATCATCACCACGATGAACATAAATGCGACGTCGTGTGCTAGTTGGAAATTGCATTTTCCTTCAGTTCTGTTTCAGTTTCGAGTCCGTGCAGTCGTGTTGGCCGGAGTGAAAAGCGCCGAGGAAAATTTGCAAAAAACAAAAAAAAGAACACAAACAGAGGAAATAGAAATAGAGAAAAGTAAATAAGCAAACAAGTGCAGTTTTGTTGGAAGAGTGTGTGCGGAAAGGGAGATTAATCCCTCAGAACTAGCATAGATACCTACATTTTTGGTGCGCCAAAACACGGTGTGTTGAAAGTCCTGAAAAAGTAGAGAAACACTGAAACAATCGCAAGCATGTCGACGCTGCCCTTTCTCCTGAGCGTCGCCGACGAGCTGGACAACATACACTCGCAGTCCTACATGGACGACTTTGGCCTGGGCTTCCACCCGCACCGCCAGTACTATCGCACACCCACTATCCAGCTTTCCCTGCCCGCCAGCACGGACTGGACGGGATCGGGATCGGGTCGGGACTGGTCCCAGGCAGCGGGCAACAGGCACACTCGCTATCGCAGCTATAAGTTCTACGACGACTCGCAGAACAATCTGGAGGAGGAGGAGCCACCGGCGGAGGAGCACCTGCCCATAGAGCAGGTGGCGCTGGCACAGCAGTTGGTGCAGCAGGGTAACCAGACGTCATCCGTGGAGGCCCAGCCGTCGAGTGCAACCACCACTGCCGACGCCACTGCCGCCGCCACCACTAATCGCAAGGGCCTGGGCATGGTCAACTCCCACTCGCATGATGTGGGCGTGGGCGGTATGGGCCTGAATTTGAAGGCCGCCGAGGAGGAGGATGATGAGAACATCGATCACACGGTGCGCATGTACAATTTGTCCAAGAAATGCTGCAAGAACTACTATCGTCATGCCCTGGAGACCGGACCCGGCGCCAGTGGCAAGGCAAAGTGTAGCAACCTGCGCTCCGAGAGCCACAAGTCTAGCTCCAGTTCGGAGGAGAGCCTCCAGAAGATACCCTCGCCCATTGAGTTCCTCACCTGTTTCCTGGTGAAGAAGTCTCGCACCCCGAAGGCCAGTGCCCCGGTGGGCCAGCCCCTCAAGAAGACATAGAACACGGCCCGGCTGCTGCCAGCAGCGATGTCCGCCAGGACCTCCACCATCAGCTCCACGGCCACCGGTGGATCTGTGACCCATGCGACCACGGACACGGACACCACGACCTCAAAGCGGCGCAGCAACTGCTTCTGAATGTTGGCCGGAGTCGGAGTGGTGTGTGGCCAGGCCTGGAGTTGGCTTCAGAGGTGCGGTGAGCTGCCCAGCTCGGAGCCCGCATCGTTGCCATCCACGCGCCTGGGCAGGATCGCCTACTAGGCCCACTCGACCGACTCCGATACGCAGTCAGGGGTTCACACATGGGGTATTCAACTGAGTGCTAGCGCTAGGTATATGATTTCGCACTGGGGTTACCTCTGGCTTGAATATTGAGATTTTTGGAACGATTAAGGATTTCGGTTTGCACTTGGTAGCAAAAAAAAGGGGGAATTCGTCGAATAGGGTTTTCTTTTTGGAACTATTCTTTTTATACTTTAATTCTTAGAATCCCTAAACATGACCTCAGATTAAGTTTCCTTTGCATTTTAAATAAGTTTCAGATAAAGTGATATCCGTAAACCAATTTGAATTACGCTTCTTCTACCCAATAGTAAAAATATAATACGCAGTTATGTTAAAAGCATTAGTTCAAGCATAAATACTCCATTCAAAATAAAACGCCAAAATCTAATGCATTAGGTACGGACGCGGAAAGCTAGGATTTTGGTCTTTTTAAAAGAGTAGGTAAAGGTTTTATATTAATCTTCTTAAATTTTAATTAAGTAGTTTAATAAAATATTTTTTTACATTTATGCTCAGTAACATTTTTAAGAATTTATGATAGCTATTTTGTCACTTCATTAATGACCTGGTACTCAGAAAATTTCTTATTTAACAAATATTTTTTTTTTGGTTTCACAGTGCAAACATTACGTAACCACATTTTGCAAGCAACTACAGGCCAAAAGCAAAGCGATGCTTAAATCCAAAAATATTATAAGCGGATAAGTGTATTCAAAATATAGAACTTAAATAAAGAAAAACTATTCAACAAACACCGAAAAAATTTTGCAAAACCAAATACACACAATTTTTAAAGCCAGATTTTTACCAAAATAAGAAGATACCAAGAATTTGTTAAGCAACAATTTTTTATACAATTTTTTGATACCAAACAAAAGATATAAATTATATATGGATGTTATATTACTACTGGGAAAGTTTGATTAAATCAAGGAAAGGAATTTTGAGCTGAACTAAAACCTTGTGGGCAATTCTTATGATTCCATTCATTTAAGGGTCATTTTTTTTAAATGGAGTTCAATACTTTCAGGGAAACTTTTATAAACACCTATCTTATTTTTATAACGCCATTTTTTCTGTTACTAGAACGATTTAAAAGGTATTGGTTGAGCTTGAAATTCCTCACAATTTTATAAAAGCTGTTAGCTGTTTTAAGCCAAACAATCTGCGGGCTAATTTAATAGGTCTTCTGACACTCACACAAAAACACAAAAATAAACCAATAGTAATGTTTCATTTTCTCACAAACACAGGAAAGTTTTGTTTTCTCCTATTTTTCCCAGCTAACAGAAAATGTTAGCAAAAAATAAAAGGAAAATTTTCAGTAAGCTGGGGAAACTTTTCACAATGTCGGCAAGTGTTTGTGCTAAAAGGGTGGGAGGTGGGTGTTGTGGGCCGTATGAAAAGTGAAACATGTTTTCAATTTCCTTTTTTCGGGGACTGTAAACAAGTCAATAGCAAACTACGGCTAAGGACAAACACACAGAAGACCTTGGTCCCAATTTCAAATTAGCAAAAAAGCAAAACAGAAACGCAAAAAAGATTTTGTAGCAGAATTGCAAACGAAAAAGTTTGGAGAGGCTTGTGTCTAGTTAAATGCTGGAACAGAGAAATAACAGAATAAATATATATTTATAGTTTTGTAGTCAGATATTCTCTTGCGTGTTCTAAATGTATTCTAAATGTTGAAAATAAAATATTTCAAATGTATTTACAACTTATCAAGATGAACATTTTATATATATATGTTTAGTATATGTAGTCACACTGTTTGCACTTTTCAGAGTTTAGAATCAAAACATTAAAGAAAAGTACGATAAATATATGTATATCGCAAAACTCATAGCTTTACCGCAACACAAAATATAAAGTCAAAAGTCAGCATCATAACTCTCTGATAAATGCAATACCTAAGAGCTCCAAACCGAAATTACAAAAATGTCACAAGAAAAATGTTTATAAAAACTACCTAGCTACAGTTTGGACATATGCTCTTGAAACACTTTTATCTAGATGGAAAAGCATTTTAACAAAGTCCAACTTCGGCATCACTCATCTAACAATTATACCCAAAGTAATTAAGACGTTCCTTAGAACATGATCATTGCATTGCAAAAGAAAATTGTCGTAACTACATATTTTATCAACGAACAAAACACTCAACGCATATCATTCCGATACAATAGATTTCAGCAAAATCGTATTCAACTTGAGATTCAATAAATAAATATGGGAAAAATATCTATAAATATGAAGGTGTTTTATTTTTGGCGGATTTCTAGACAATTATTTTATAGAATAAATTTTGTCAAAAGGAATTTTTTAACTGAAATTTATAAATTTTGATTGTTTGAAGTGGCTTTACAGATGCATATTAATAGTTCTTAAAAATCTATAAAAATATCAAAACAGTTATTTTTAGTTTTTGAATGTTTACCATAATTGATTTATTTTGAATGCCGTATTGAGGAATGTTTTTGTTCTTTTTAATTAAAAGTTGGAAAATAATTTAATTTAATTTTCAGGACTTTTATATTTGTAATCAATGCAGAATAGTTACAAGCTTCTCCCAGATTTTTGCGCAATTGATTTAATTTAAAATGTTTATTTTTAGGTAATCTTTTGTCATTTATTAAGAAACGTTTTCATTGCCAAGAAAACTGTTTTTTTATTTTGGCCCTGGTAGCCGGACATCCAAGGTCATAATGCGTCCTTCACATAACACTTGTCACTTGCATTAATTTTACTGTCTTGCCGCTTTTTCGCCAACTGACACTCAAAACTGTCCGAAGGCATTTACAAAATTTTCAAGTGCAAGTATGCGAGTTTTTGCATTGTAAACGCTGACCTTTGGTGACTCATGGTGACGCGAAAGTGCTGGTATAAAGTGTCCTTAAGACGTGTGCATCTTGCCCAAGGATGTGTCGTCATAAGGTTCGTTTTGGAATTTTAAAAAAACTGCAATGGGCAAAAACAGTGGATGGGCAGAACCTAGCCTCAAAAATAAAAGTATATGCCAACCCATCATGTCCACTTTCCATTTCGGGGTTTGGCGTTGTTTAGCCAGCACGTCTATTGGGTTCAATAGCACAAAACAAAAATAGAATAATAGGCCGGGCCAAACTTTGCTTGCTCGCCTTCGGGCTGCCACCTCCTCAATTCTCAATCCTCCAGAGTCCTGCCCGCACTGCTATAAATAAGTCGCTCATTCGTATGCAAACAAGTGCAGCGCCAGGACGAAAGGGCGAGGCTTCGCCTTCGGTGGGCGTGACTGGCGGCATAATGGTCGAGTTAGGAAATGTAGTTGCATTTCTGGATTTTGTTGAAGGTTGCCTCTGCGTATGATTACTATCTAGAAGCAAACGAATCATGTGGGGCGTTTTAAGCGTTGCGAATATATTTTTAAATACAAGTCGTTGTTCCATTTACACCCGAAAAAAATGTATATTTATATAATTGTTTAAGATTATGAATGTACAAAAACAATATATTTTGCAGTTTTTCATTTCTTGGGTCTCAGTTTTCAAGCGTTCTGCATTACATTTCTCAAAAAGTTGTCCTTGTATTGCAGGTAGTATATCAATTGGAACGAGCCGTAACGGAGAAGTAAATCATTAGCTCCCATATAAACAATAGCTAAAGTTTCATTTCTGAAAAATATTATTTTAGATATAGACAGGTTAAATATCTCAGAAATACGGTTTTAAAAGAAATATGTGGAAAATCAAGAAAGGAAACAAACTTGGAAGAATTTGTTTTTACTTTTATGGAATGACGCATTCTCTAATTTATTTATTTGAGTAAATAAAAAAATGTTCTGTTTGAATTTGATGATATATTTGGCTGGAATTTAATTATTTAACTCCATTTAAAATAGACGATAAACAACTTTCTCATCGATAAATTCTTTCTCTTTTACTAAGAGTATATCAGGTCCGACTTTGATTTGAGCTTCATGCTGTGCTATTCAACGAGTTTTCTCTGGGAAAACTTTGCCAGTTTTTGGGTTCTGTTGTGGCAGCTATTATTGTGGTTGCCTTTTTGGGAGCTCCTTCTCTGGGACTGGAACCGGCAACTTGCAACTTGCAACTTGCGACCTGCAGTGTTCACTTCGCATGGCCAATTACAGTTTTAAGTCCTGCTGGCTCCTCGCTGTCCTGTCTTTTTCTTCGACTTGAACTTTTGCTTTCGTTTCGCCAGTGCTTTGTGTTTTTTCCCCCATTTTCCCTTTTTCCCTTGGCGGGCGTCGCATTGCAGTGGCCTGTTGGCCAGGTCGACTGCACCTGCACCTGAATGGTGCCCTTTTGCGGCTGAATGTTTAGTGTCTCGGTGGCCATTTATTGTTACACCCGACTTCACCGCCCGGCGACTTTATTTGCACGTGAGCGGTGCACCTTATTGATTTCTTTGACTTAATTTGCTTGCCATTTTGTCGGCCGTTGTTAACTACTGGTATTACGCATACGTCACGTTTGCCGTGTTTGGCTCCAAACTTTGTAGCACACTTTCAGCCTGTTAGGGGGAAATGATTTCATTGGCTTGCTTAATACTTCGTTGATTTTTATGGGGTACGTGTTAAGAGAAACTAACCATATGTCTTTGCTGGCTAATTATATTCCAAATACAAATGCAAGGTGGCTAAAGATTTTAGAAAATACTTCTGAAAACACGTTTAAAAGATTGTCTTTCCTATTTGCAAGTATAGCATATTATTGGGCTTCAGGAATAAAACAGCATATGTAAGTAATTTATAAGTATTACTAATTAAAAAACTTACATAAAAATGTATATATATAAAAAAAATTATACATTCGTGATTTAAAAACAATTTTGTTAAAAGTGATTTCTAAATATTTTATATTTATGTCATAATTTATTTATTTACATTATAAAACCTTCGTTTTTAGAAAAATGTTTCGGAGTGTACGTTTTAATTTAGATTGAATCCGTCGTGTGAATCACCTACATCTGTTTTAATCTTTTGGACTCACGCCAATTTTTTCATTATAAATTTGGTCGTACACTGAAATGCGTTCTCTTCTGAATCAATATTTGATTGAATGGTCCACACTGTGTTGGACTGAACTTATTCACACTGTCACTTTACTTTACTTCAAGTGACAACCTTTCTTTTCCGCGATCTTTGACGACAAACTATTAAAAAGGGGGTGGTGACATATGTACCTTGGAGATTCGAATGAGCTGCAGGCCAAAGTGGGTGTGTGTAGCCCGCTATGCTAATGAGATATACGATTATAGAAAGTCATCTCTTAGATAATAACCCGCACAGGCAGTCCCAAAGAAAGTTGTGCACAACCCACACCAGCGTGGAATTAATTCTGATTTTCATATTAAATTGCCATAAAATCAAGCAAATTAGTTGATGGCTTTGTTCAGGTTTAATTGGTAATGTATTGTTGATGCAGCAGCTGCGGCGTTTTAATTGATTTTCAAACGAGAAATGCTCTCTTGTCTAACACAAAATAACTTATAGAAAATTGTAAGCAAGGAGATAAACAACAGTAGTGACTAATCGCTCTATTAACTTTAGTCGTTTAAATAATTTAAATAATATTTTCACATGAACATTTTATACTTTTCATTATTGTATATTAAATGATATAAAAATCATTCAAATTTTTTTTTTAATTGCACTTATATGTTTGCTTTGACTTTCATTTGATATTTAGATGATTGTGAATCACTGAATTAAATATATATTTTTAAGTTTCCTCTTCGTTATATTTTTAATAGTTTTGATTAGAAGAATACTTATAGTTTTTTTTTTTTAATTTTGGCAATGACATGTGATCATATACAGATTGATTATTAGAAAGTCTCAGTTGCTGAAAATCTAGTTATTATTATATATACTTTAATTATACTTAAATTAAATGATCCTCTGATTCTATTTTTATATCACCGACTGTTTTCCAGGCTTACTAAGCTACAACACAAACTCATTGAACTCTGCCGATTGTAAATTACCTTATGTACAAATACGAGCTCAAATGGCATCTAAACTGCTGCGAAGCTTGTTATAATTATTATAAAATACACGCAAAATCATTTGCAGCAGCGGCAATAACAACAGAGCCCGCTAAAACAACAATTTACAATTACAAAAGCGGTGGGCCAACCCCAATCCAAATCGATGATTGTGTTCTGTCATGGGCACGGGTTTTATAAAGAGGGGAAGGCAGGTCAGGCCCATAAATGTGTCGTAGATGTCGCGACATTTTCAGAGCATGTTCCTATATGTGTTTGCTGTTTTCACAGACTAATCTGTTTTGCAAAATCGTCAAAAATTTCACAAATTGCCCTTTTGTCATGGCAAACTCAACCCACCCCCTTTATGTAGATTGTATCTGTAAGCACCATATCTCTGCTGATGTGTATCTTGCAGCGACATAAATTGAAATAGCACTGGCTTAAAAATCGAATCCAAATTTGGTCAAAAAGTGAAAAGAATGAATCGCTTTTCGGATTTCCGCCAAAGAAATGTCTTTTTTTTAATTTGGGTTTGTTTTGGGTTGGCTGTTTTGATTTTTTTAATTTTCTGGCGGAAACGCCGTGTAATTAACTCAAAAAAACCGAAGCTATGCAAACATTTTGGCAAGCTGCCATTATAGTTTTTAAGGCGTTGATGACAAGGGAAAATAGTTTGTCGAAAGAAAGGGAAAAATAGAAACAAATAAGGAAGGTCAGTTTTGGAAATTGCGGAAATATAGAGTAAATCAAATATATCTGTTTTATCTTTAAAATTATGTTTTTGGATTAAAAGTTTAGAAACGAAAACCGAATTTTTATAATCATTTTATTAAATAATACCATTTTTTTTAAGGCAAACGATAGAAAAACAACCCTATTACGGAAGCAAATCTGCCTTGAAACCCACCCAACATAAGATCTAACAGCGCCTCAAGGAAATGACATTCAAATCAAAGCATTTCCATTGACGGCAAAGAGACATTTTCGACCCACAGCGGCGTTCAGCCCCTTTCAGAATAGAAACAGCGAAAGCACAGTCAATGCGCCAAGATAAACAATCGAAAAACATCAGCTATAACTAATGCTGCAGTGAAAAAAACAGCGGTGATGATTATTTAAATTGAAGCCAATAAAAATAATTAAAATGATCATGTATCCAAAATTTTGAGACTCTTTAAAAACAATAAATTTGTACACTTGCATCTAGCTATTCTTAGGCTT